ATATTTGAAATCACCCAAAACCAAATATGTTTTCCTCCGCAAAGCTGAAGGCCTGAATTACCATTTCTCTCGTGGCATTCGTAAACATTTTATATATAAACCAGTGTGAGGTTATCCCCCCCCCCCCTCCGCCCTTTTGTTCTGGAAACGTGAGTGCCATTTTGTAATTACAGTAATTGTTGAAGAAGTGTCAACGCGCTGGGATGCTCTCCTTTGACACCTTTTTTTAGAATCGGCGATGATTTACGACAAAAAGAGCGGTTTGAGTCACGCTTTACGGTCAAAAATCGCTAAAGTCATTACGTCAACAGCTGCCGTGGGTTTCCCTGATTTCTATCCGGACATTTTTGTCGTTGTCTTGTTACAAACACAAGAGTTGCATAGTCTGCGTTCTGGCATCAGTGCACACGGCAATTTCCAGCGCGCACGGCATAACACTGCACTACTGTATTACCAAATAGCGCTTCAATAAATCATCCGCTAATGGTACGACAATATTCCTCGAATTATTTGCAATAGCTATGCGTGCAGCAATTAACCACGTCCATCCGTCATAAACGTGTACACTCTGACAAGCAGATTGGTATGGGTTTTCCAGGATGCGATGGTTAGTGGTGGTGGTGGGGTAATGCACTCTGATTACTGCCCGCACACACACACACTCAGCACGTACAGCTCCGCATAAAAATACAAGTGCTAGGTGGGGCCCATGTGTGTGTAGACATTCCATTTGTGTCTATCCTCTGCTGGATGAGGGTGTCCCCCCACGCTGTTAATTTGACTACATGCTGCTCAGTCCGGTTTGCAGAATGCTTAGTTTTCTTGAACATAAAACGTCTGTACCCGTGGCACGCGACTGGCAGGCGAGTAGAGTCAGAGGATGATGATACTGAGTGGAAACAGAGAAAGGGATGAGAGTAGAGAAGGAATGGTAAAGAGGGGCAAAAGTAATGGCGTATGAAGGGAGAAACTGGACCCTCAGGGATGAATGTTCCTAAGGCAGACACAGAGGAGCACGCCACAAGATGAGCAGCAGCAGCAATGGATTAAGAAGAAAAAAATAAATTAACCCGTAAAAACTAAGTTTTTCACTATAAATCCTTTATATGCGTGGCGGCTAGAGTCCTCTCGTCCTCTGGCTTGAGATGGCTGCCAACTATGGGTCAGATGATTGCCTGCCGCCATTAAGCAATTGGTAATTAAATATTTTAAAAAATTCCTAAAAAGTGTAACATTTTGGAAAAAAAAATTTTCACGAAAATTAATTGTCACGCACAACGAGTCTGTGTGCAAAATGTCAGCTCGATTGGATCACGGGAAGTGGGTTAAAAAAAACGACCGAAAGATTTGCACGGTCGTAAGCGCGCAAGCAAGCAAGCAAGTGAACTTAATATAAAGGATTTAATGACTGGGCCTATATGTCGGTGATGGAAGGGCAGAGAGAAGGGAGGAGCGAGCAGAAACGAGCTGAAAGGTAGTAGCTAGTAAAGTTGCAGCCCTGCAATGTTTTGTTCACGCCACTGCTGAAGAAAGGGCCTCCATGTTCGTTGGTGGTAGTTTGACCACACTTTCACCACGTTGATAATGGTGGGTTGGTGAAAGAGGAGCCCAGGACCGATTCAGAGTTTGCTCAAAACCAATGGCACCTTCTAGAGGGCCGCCACACATTTGAAACCGTTGGGGGATTAACATCAGCATGATGATGGGGGGGGGGGGGGTGTCACTCTTTGTGTATTTGCATTTCGTCATTGACTTATGTGCGACCTCAAATCTGCGTCTTTGGCGGAACACGACTAATAAAGGTGGCTTTCGCAACCACTGCAGGCAGACTAATTTAAATTTTTGTTGACAGATTTTATAGAATTGCCAACTTGTACAGTGACTCATCTACTTACGAACAATCGACTTACGAAGTTTAAGAGATACGAACAAACCTGTCCATCTGTCCAGTTTCCTGTTCGGACCGAGAGTCCTAAGTTCAACTGCTGCGCAATAGATGGCGGTGGTGGCATCTGCATCTGCAGAACGTGAAGAACCAGCGGCATCTACCTCTACAGGAGATTATACAAGTTGTAAAGCCATTCCCCGTGTTTAGTGTGCATGCCTTACAACGTGTTTGTAATGGACAGGAGTAAAGTTGGTCTTACGAACAAATCGACTTATGAACAGACCTCTGGAACCTAAGTTGTTCGTAAGTAGAGGTGTTAAATAATTATCCCAGCAGCTGTTAAAAAATGACAGCAATATGATAATACGTTACAAAAGGTTCAATAGTTTCATTCTTCCGAATATATAATCAAAGATTGTGTTGTTTCGGGAAATATTTTTTTTCATAATAGAACACATGTGTATGAAAACAACAAAAGTAATGTAACAGCAGTGTCTAATGAGCCATTTAGAAGAACCTACTCATCAATGTTGACAGTGGGATAGTGACTCCTGGCATGATTGCTGTGAAGCCATCTGTCTGCATGAGCCATGCTGATGTTTTCTGAATGCCCACAGAAAATGATTTATTCACATGGCACATTATCACAAGCACTTAAAACGACAATCTAAAACCCCCCAAAAAAGATGTGCTACCCCTGTGGAGCCTCGCTCTGCTCAACGTGACATTACAAAGACAAAGATCCCCCCCCCCACCGTATAGCCTGAACAGACTGTTAGGGCAAGTGCTTTTTGCAAGTTATTTTAACCTTAAATGGATACAGTTTGTAAGATCTCCATGTTGTTCGAATGTCGAGTTACCATGTGCTTTTGTTTGCTGGATACAATTAAATTCGTCTCTCGTTTGCATGCAATGTTCTTCTCAGGCCAAGTACATTACAGCAGAAACAGGAGCTCAATTATTTTGCAAGAGCTGGCCAAGTGAGCTTTAATGTACACGACAGATGCAATAATACTTAAAAAAATCCCTTTGAGAATAGGCGAAAGGTCACAGAGCACCGATATGGCAAAGCGGAATTGAATTTTAATCCGGTTAATTGCATTTTATGTCACTGCGAAAATGACTAATGATAATACGATAGCAATGCTGCGTTTCAAAAAATAACGTTCACCAAAGGAATAAGATCGTATATTTTCAACGTTTCTTGTGACACTACATTGGCAGGGGTGCACATGCACACGTAATAAAAACGCAATACATTCGTCAATAACACATTGGCCCTCGAAGTAAAAAAAACATTGGAACGGGTTGTGTGTCGAGCAATGATCCTTCTTCATAGCCAAAAGACAGCGACGAGAGAGAGAGTGAGTGCCTAATACTGACAGACTGCACTAAACACACCACATATACACCATAGGGCCCTGCTGCAGAAATACATCGTCGAAGACCCCACAATCCTCCCACCAGGATCTGACCTATCGAGGAAGATCCTGGGTCCTCCTTGCATATGATCCGGACACTTCGTGGAAGATGTTTGGGACGCTTTCGCGACGAATGGAAAATGAACGAGAGTCGAGTTTTGTGACTGTGGGTGGTTGCGAGATCTCAGACAGTGCCGGATTATCCTCGTAGCAATAGTAGCTACATCTGTAGTATCTACATCTGTAGTAGCTACATATGTAGTATCTACATCTGTAGTATCTACATCTGTAGTAGCTACATCTGTAGTAGCTACATCTGTAGTAGCTACCGGCTCCGCATGTTCAAGTCCCCCGCGCTAAATGCTTTCAAGCTATCAATTCCGGTTCAGTGATTTTGCACTTGCTCTATTACTATAGTACTATACCGCCTTCAACTTTTATGAACGACTGGGTGTTTAAGGTTATCGATTTGTCGTATTATCTGGTTGTATAGCGAATGAAAAAATGCAATTACTTTACTATGCAAGTAAAACATTTGTGTGTTTAATATTAAGTGTTTTTTTATTTATTTAGGGCCCCTTCATAACATATATGCTACAGGCCCCGCACTAGCTTAATCCGGCACTGATCTCAGACCGTGCAGAGCATCGCGAACCGACCTCCCCAATCGGTTGATTCGACGGCGATCTGAAACGAATCCACGCGGCGTACTCCTGAAGCGGTCGAATTGGGATATCAAATCTCGACATCGATTTGTAATCTGTTGCAATCCCCCCCCAAAAAATATTCCGTACGAAAAAGCAATAAGAAGTTGGGGCCCTGAGATAAATTTGGCTTTAATAATGTTTCCAGATTATCGGCCTTAATTTGGCATTTGGACAGTTACACATTCGTAGATGTTTAGTAAAATACACACCCTTCAAACATATAAATGCGTAAACTAATTTGAATGTTTTTCTGTTGTTGTAATTCAATAGTGGGACAGCTGCCTACACAAAACACGTGTTGACGTTTGTGTCTTGGGAAGATCGCAATGACGTCGTCCTCACCCTGCAAACTTGGTGTTCACAGTGACACAGCACAGGTCAACAAGAATGGCTCCGAGTACAGGGTAGACTGGGGAAACACTGATATACCCACACGCACTGACGCATATCGGGACACATACGCACACACTCACTCACTGGCACACGAGCAGCCACACACACAACCACACACGCACGCAGAGTCACTGGCACACACGGACAGACACACCGCCACTGGCACACACATTGACCCACTGGAACACACATATAGCCACTGGCATAGACACACACACACTCACTGGCACACACATTGATCCACTGGAACACACATATAGACACTGACACACACTCAAATCCACTGCCACTCAGAATTACGGCACATGCAAAGACAAAGGTCCCCCGTGTAGCCTTAACAGGGGCAAGCGCTGTTAGCGAGCACCTACGAAGGCCGGCACGGCACACGAGGGGGTGGGTGGCCAGCACCACGCCCGGCCGCCTTTGTCTCCCCAGTGGCGATGTTTACACATCGCACCAGGTACTCATTTGAGGCTGAGTCGACCTAGGGGAGGTCCAGGACCGGTTCAGATAATCGTCACTGGTGTTTGCCATGAGCGGGAATCGAATCCGGGTGGCCAGGTTCGTAACGCAGCCTAGCGCTAACCGCTACACCACCGCTCCCCATCCGGGCAGACACCCACACACGCTGGCACACACAGAGGCAGGCGCGCACACAAACACACACACACGCGAAACCACGGGCACACACGGGAGAGGCGCGTGCGTCGTGCATCATCACGCGTGGCTGCTCGCGCCGTGTGAGCCGTGGTCTCAAGACACTTCCACACAGTCGCGAGTGTTCGCGTGCAGCAATCAGCGGCAAGCAGCGGCAGCAGCAGCAGCAGCCGAAGTGCCGGAGCTGGGGCAGCTCGCGGAGAAGTGGCAGAGATCGTGAAGCAAAGGCAGCAACCACGCCGCCAGAGCAGAAGACCATGGGTTCTGTTGACAACAACGCGACAGACACGCGCTTGGATTACTACATGTCCTACATACACTGCTACAGCGTGAGTGACCCCCACCCCCCTTCTACCCCCAGCCCTCCGTGCGTTTATATAAGTAAGGTATCGTTACAGCATCCCAACACGTTGGTCAATACCTCAACACATTGGTCAATATATTAACACGTTGGTCAATATCTCAACATATTGCGCGCCATGGTGGCGAGATGTTAACTACCTCGCTCGGTATACAGGAGGTCATGGGTACGATCCTGACCTGGACGCCTACATATTTGGAGTTTGCGTGTTCTCTCTCTCTTTCTTCCTGTGGTCATGAAGGCTCTTCTCCGGATCCTCCGGTTTTCCCTCCACATTTAGAATCGTGCGTTTCGAGTATTTGGCTGCTATCAATTTCCACGTGATTAGCCACTCTGTCGAGCTATAGTTTGTGGCCAGGTCGCCTATGAAAAAGAGCTACATAGCTCAGTAGACCTTTGCAAAACAAATATATGGTTTAGTTTAATATCACTTTCCCTAAAAGGAAACAGATATTTACAGCGATAGAGGATGTTCAGGGCAATGTCCTTTCCTTGTATAATAATTTCGATGTTGTTGCGTGTGTGTATGTTGAACTTCTTTCGCACCGTACGTAGCCAGCCGTGCTAATTGTAGGTGGTGTGGAAGGATAACAAAGTAAGATGAGTTGTTGTGTAATGTGTAATTTATGCACCGCCTCCGTCAGCGCCACAAGCAACTCTTTCACAAACACGTTTGTTTAAATAATATTCACAATTTCAGGCGGTTATTCATGATTGATTAAGTAATGACTGTAATTGTGAATGTAAATTGTATTCTATAGATTTCATGATGTGGATGTATCGTGGATTGTTTATATATACGGCTCTGATGGTAAACAGATCTATACATATACACAATTATACTGTTGTCTTAAATAACATTAGTCTTTGATAGTGCTAACATGCTATAGTGATAGCAATTAAACGTGCAAATGTACAAAACATACACCGATGTAATCAACTACAGTACGCCTGATTAAATTTGCATGAATCAGTCTACGCGAATCATCATATTTCAGCCAAATTCCTCCTAATTACGATTCATAGCAAGTAACAAAAAATGTTAAAGTTGGCAAACGTGCAGAATTATTGACCCTTCAGCAACAAACCCCGCAATGTTGACGAGCGAGCGACAGCTTGACAATGGGGTACGACGTTTCGCTGGAGATGACATGGCCCATCATCAGGATGCCAACGACGGACCCAGTTCTCGCGTGCCCAGTGTGTTACCATCGCGTGCCAACTTCATTCGAATGCCTCCGTCGGGTGGTGGAGGGCGATGCGGTGGACAACAAAAATCGTGCGTGAAACCGACGTGACGATCCAACCCAAATGACACTGCATACAGACACTGGTCGCGATTGCCTAAGTCTCTATGTAAAGCTTCTTGGTTCTTTCGGTAAAGTCACGTAGAAGGTAAGTAATAAAATAATAAAAATAAAACATAATAAAATAATATAATAAGAACGTTTCGGCCACAACACAATAATAAAAATAAAAATAATAAAATAATTCTCACGACGTTTCGGCCACAACACAAGCAGCCGTCCTCAGGTGAAGAAACGTCGTGGGAATTATTTTATTATTTTTATTCTTATTATTTTATTACTTCCCTTCTACGTGACTTTACCGAAAGAACCAAGAAGATGAATCCCTGCAGTCACGAAAGCTCTAAATCGAAATCTTTATGTAAAATGTGGATACAAAATGTATGGATACGTAAATATGAAATTAAAAGTGGATATACCATTTGGTTGCACGCGTGCAAGTACAGTCTTGGGGGTTTTACAGCTGGTGGGATGTAGCGGTGGCGGCGAGAGGGGGGAGCAAACGCGAGAGAGAGAGAGAGAAATTCGCGAATATTTGATGCCGCGTTGAGATACATGAATGAGAAGGTAAAGATGTCATGATATAAACTATTTGTGCACATGTGTGTCTTCTCTGGGTGCACTCACGTGTGGATTTTTACAAGCGCATAAAATAGCTTTGACAGCTGAGAGCCCCATTCCCCCCCCCCCCCCCCCAAAGTGTGGTAAACACTGAATATGTTATACTGCACGAGATGTATGTATTAAGCAATGCATGGTGTTGCTGTGTGAATACCCCTGGTGCATTAGCGTGCGTGCGTGTGTATACTTTGTTGTGCATGTGCACATGAGCGGTGGTGTAGCGGTCAGCGCGCCGCGCTACGAACCTGGCGACCCGGGTTCGATTCCCGCTCATGGCCAAACACCGGTGGCGGTTATCTGAATGTGTCCTGAGCCTCCCGTAGGTCGACTCAGTGTCAAACGAGTCCCTGGTGCGATGTGTAAACGTCGCCACAGGGGGCGTAGTGTGGTGCTGGCTACCGACCCCCTCGTGTGCCGTGCCGGCCTTCATAGGTGCTCGCTAACAGCACTTGCCCCAGCAGTCTGTTAAGGCTATACGGGGGGAGGGGATCTTTGTCTTTGTATACTCTTCGTGCATGAGTGTACAATTTCACGTGTGGTCGGTTTCTTTTTTTTACAAGCACATAAAACAGTGTTTCTTTGACGGCTTGGGAGAGGGGGAGGGCGAGAAAATGGAGAAAATTCCGAATATTTTATGCTGCTGAGAGATATATGGCAGGAACGGGAAGACAGTGGTGGGTTTTTTTTTTCCTGCTGTTGCCTTGCGTGGGACTCGGCGTAATAAACAGCTACGGCGTGGGGCGTCGTCGCTGCATTTAAAAAAAAATCCTCCTCCCCCCCCACCACCACCGATGGATATGATAGAGAGAGAGAGAGGGGAGCGTTAATGGCTTTGTGTTTTTTTGTGTGACCCACCCCCCACGGAGCAGGCGGGAGTCGACTCTTTGCACGAGACGCCAACCAAGACGCACAGCGTGACCCTGGGGGATGAGCGCGATGTCGATGATGATGATGATGAGTCAGAGAGCTTGCAGGAGAACACGGAGGCAGCTTGCTTCTGGGTGCGTAATCATCCGTGTCGCATGGAGATCCGCGGAAAAAGCCGCGGGGAAAAAACGCACGCACACACACACACATTGACTTCAAGCTTTCGTGACTGCAGGAATTCATACTCTTAGGTTTTTTCGGTAAAGTCACGTAGGTAAAAAATGTTAAATTAATAAAAGTAAAATAAAACAAATAAAAAATTTCACGACGTTTCGGAAGCAACACAAGCCTCCGTCTTCAGGTGGAACCGTCACAGCCACGACACCTACGTGACTTTACCGAAAAAACCTAAGAGTATGAATCCTTGCAGTCACGAAAGCTTCAAATATAGAACTATCTACATTACTTTACCGAAATACCCAAATAATATTTTAAAAATACACACACACGAGTGCGCGCAACTGCATTTCCACACCCCCCCCCTCCCCCACATTACCTTATTTGTGTCTGCATGCGAAGGACTGCCGCGTATTTGCGCGTGAGTTATTTGTCCGCACGTGTCGCTGCGGGTAATGTGAAAGCGAGCGCAGTTGCCGTGCTTCGGTTCGCGATGGGCTACAATGGTAGAACATCACCAGCTTGCGTTGTAATTGTCATCAGCTTTATGCGTTCGCCGTGGGAGCTCAAAGGGTTTCGCCAATTTTGTAAATTGCCGTGTCAAGTTGTGCTAATTCGGTGTCGTGCCCGGTGGGCTTAGGCAATATGGCGCACTTTGTAAAGTAAGGATGAAAACTGAAAATGCTTTATTGTCAATATGATACCTAGATGCAAAGCAAACATGTGTTAATGTTCTGCTAAATTGGAATCGCGCATGTACGTACGCTCATGACACTTATTTTTAAACTGGAGGGGGGAAAAAGACACATTTCAATTGGAAGCGACTCCCCAATGACTTCTTAAAGATACAAAACATTCCTCTGGGGTTTCTGGTGATAATGACACCTCATTATGCACAGATTGTTCTGCTGGTTGGAAAATACAACAGACGCGGTGACGACGACAACAACAACAACAACAAAAACACACACCAGTGTGGCCATCTTCAGGACTCATACTCTTAGGTTTTATCGGAGACTTGTGTTGCCTCCGAAACGTCGTGATTTATTATTTTATTTTATTTCTATTATTACTTTTATTAATTTTAATTGAATTTTTTACCTACGTGACTTTACCCAAAAAACCTAAGAGTATGAATCCTTGCAGTCACGAAAGCTTCAAACCTCTCCAGGACACCAATCGTGCGAAACGAACGAAACTGGACGAGTTATTGGTTCTTTCGGTAAAGTCACGTAGAATGGAAATAATAAAATAATGAAAATTTTATATAATAAAATAATTCTCTCACGTTTCGGCCACAACGCAAGCAGCCGTCCTCAGGTGAAGAACAGGTCTCGATAGACTCAGGTGAAGAACAGGTCTCGATAGACTTGTTCTTCACCTGAGGACGGCTGCTTGCGTTGTGGCCGAAACGTCGTGAGAATTATTTTATTATATTTAATTTTTTATTATTTTATTATTTGCATTCTACGTGACTTTACCGAAAGAACCAAGAAGTTGAAACTGGACGAGTTGAAGGGAGAACAATTGCACACAGAGACAATGGAATACGAGAGGGATGCGTTTCGGACTTCAACATTTCGGATTTAGCTTTTTTTTTTTAAGGACGAAATCGCGTTTTTTTTTTGTCGTCACATGTTCTGATCACTTACATTCATGCGGTAAATTGAAATGACTTCGTGCCAGTACAGTGCATATCATTATCAGAGTTGTTTCTTTTTGTTTGCATTTTGACTGCTTGTGTTGTGGTTATTGCAAACATGATCCCTTGTATAAAGGTGTCAGTTTTTGTACCAGTTGAAAGGGTAAAAAGCTATTACTATATTTTGCCACTGGTAAAGGAGGTCTCATAGTGTAAATTCTTACCCCGAGCTCTCAATACTCTGATAGTGCGCTGTTTTTGAGTTGTACGCCTTTTGGCGTCATCTGGCCCAACACCAATGGAGACTAGGCTCTAAGAAAAGCTGTCTTGGGTGTGGACCAATCAACTTCAAGGACAGTGCATATCATTATCATTATCAAAGTTGTTTATTTTTGTTTGCATTTTGACTGCTTGTGTTGTGGTTATTGCAAACATGATCCCTTGTACAAATGTGTCAGTTTTTGTACCAATTGAAAGGGTAAAAACCTATCACTATACATGTGACGTTGCCCAATGCCACGTGACACCACTTTCGGTGGGAAAATACGCAGAAGTGACATCGTGCACTTGGCTTCTCCTTTTGATGTCTCATTTTCGGAAACATTCTAGATGATGGGGGGGGGGGGGGGGGGGGGTTCAGATGGTTATAAAATTGTACATCAAGGATCGAACTTTGCATTGTTCAGATTAATCAGAAAATCGGGAACACGTGCCCACAATACAGTGGTAGGATTCTGGCACGTTGACATTCTGTGTGTGTTCGTTTTTAATGTAGCCTTAGGAGTGTTTTTTTCATGTCATCTTTCCATTGATTGTCTGGATGCGCACGACAATAACAGTAATTGCAGTGTCCACATTTTCCAGCAATCGTTAGAAGAAGAAAAACCCCTGATTATTAAAATGCCACTGATGAAAAAAATGCACTTTGTTTAAAACATTAGTTGTTCTATTGAGTAAAAACTTAAGAAAGAAAATTGATGTCATTACATTCAGTCTGAATTTAACAATGATAATAACAATAACAATATTGCAATTAAGGATACTTATTTTCGCGGCAACAAATTTCATATTTTGTTTGTTCACCTAGTTCACTGTTATGTCTTCAGTTAAACCGAATTACTAAATGTAATGTATTGTTTGGCAGTGGATAACGCGCTGTGCTAAGCAATTGGCGACCTGGACTACATTTTTTTATTTTTAAACATTTTATTTGTGAATCATCTGCATCATCATCAGCCGTGTTCAATTCACTGCTGGGTGAAGGCCTCTCCAAGCCACCACCATCTCTCAGAGTACTACAATTATTAGTTAGCTTATGTTCTTGAAAACAAATGGAATTTTACATTCATAAATAACTGTATAAACCAACTAACGGTATGTTTTAACCCTTTTAAACTGGTACAAAACTGACACCTTTTAAAAGGGTAAAAACCTACGACTATATTTTGCCACTGGTAAAAGAGATCTCTTAGTGTAACGGTATGTTCATGATAGGTTTGTTACATCTTAGCACATATGAAGAAAGTCTTTTTTTCCAGATTGGAAGCCATTGAAATTAAGTTCAAGCCATCGTCATCGATTTGTAGTGAAACGTTAAACTAGTCAGATAATAAACACATTCCTGCGGACGGAGCTGGTAGGAACGTTGGGTTGCTCGGTCAATGGCCAGGGTCAACGACGGCGTGGTGTATTCCGCAAATATGCCCGACTGTGAGGGCGGGCACAAGCCGGCGTGAGTAGGTTAAACGTTGAGTTTTATAAGGGCACCACGGGATGACCAGCTCCTCCCCACCCAGCCCCACCCCTCCCACCCAGCCCCTCCCCACCCTCCCCTCCCCACCCAGCCCCACCCTCCCCACCCAGCCCCTCCCTGCACGATGGACACAATAATCCCCTGTGGGATGGTGTAACCAGGAGGTTCCTACCAGTATAATTGACATCCATTTGCAAGTCCGTTGCTGGAAGAAGTCTCCACGTTCTGTGGCTGTTATGGTGCTTATTTAGTGACGCTGCATTGGCAGTGGTTGCACAAATAAAATTTACAAAAACAATTCAATCACATTGTGGCCTTAAAATGACATATATAATAGAACATTTCATGTGGTGTGCAGAAGGTTCATTGCCTGCAACGTCACATTATATTTTTCCTTTTAAGGCAGTGTTATTAATGAGTGATTATGTTTTTTGTTTGTTACGTCATTTTTTTACCGTACTTCGCCATGCTGATCAGTGCAGGTTAGTGAATGAGTAATTCTGATATCTAAACTAACAAATATTTTATATCTTACCAGATAAGGCCCACTGAGCTATCCTTAAGAAACGACCTGGCCACAATTAATATCTCAATGAAGTGGCTTATCATGTAGGACATGTATAGCAACCCAAATACTCGAAACGCATGATTCTAAATGTGGAGAGAAAAACCGGATGACCCGGAGAAAAATCCACGTGATCACAGGGAGAGAGACACGCAAACTCCAAATATACAGCATCAGGCATCAGGGTCAGGATCGGACCCACGACCTCCTGTATACCAGGCGAGGTCGTTAACATCTCGCCACTGTAGCGCCCCATATCCCTCGCCTCCGATGTCAACCATGGCCATGAATGGAACTTAGATTTCTCGGTTCACAGCCCAGTGCACTCATGGCCGTGCCACCACTTCCCTCCAGTGAAAAATTCGCCATCATCACTAGTCGTGATCTATCATCTTGGTTCTTTCGGTAAAGTCACGTAGAAGGGAAGTAATAAAATAATAAAAATAAAACATAATAAAATAAAATAATTATCACGTTTCGGCTACAACGCAAGCAGCCGTCACGACGTTTCGGCTACAACGCAAGCAGCCGTCTTCAGGTGAAGAAGACGGCTGCTTGCGTTGTAGCCGAAACGTCGTGAGAATTATTTTATTTTATTATGTTTTATTTTTATTATTTTATTACTTTTCTTCTACGTGACTTTACCGAAAGAACCAAGATGATGAATCCCTGCAGTCACGAAAGCTTTAAATCGAAATTTAGTCGTGATCTATTCCCTGCTGGATGAAAGCCCCTCCCACGTTCATCATCAAACATCTCCCTTCACGGCTCCGCGCTGCCACAGTATATTTAACTCCTGCCTTATGAGCTCACGTCATCGCTCCGTCAAACGAACAATTAGCCCGAAGGAAATGCAAGAATGTCGGGTTCAATAGTTTGGTGTGACAGTTGTCTTCTTGTTGCTCCACCGGAGGTGTTTGAGGACGACAAACTGCGTTCGTGCTTTTGTGGCCCTCGAATCTGAAAGCGGGGAACTGCAGAAGCAGTGCGTCGTGCCGGTTTGTGAGTGGTCAAGTGATCTAGTTTTGTTTGCAAATCCTTGACTTGCCATCGACATCACGCAACTCCTGACATCCGCACGTGTTCAACTTAGCGGGCGATTGTGATGAGACGGCTCTGTTTATGGCCGAGCAATCTTCTCCCGTATGTTCGTTTTCTTTGGCCACTTTTGGTTTTTTTCTCACGTGCGGATGTCATACCCAATGTATATTTTATTCAAATCTCATGTTTGCTGGGCCCGAAATGTCAAGCGGGCAACAGCAAACAGCACCATTGAAGGTGGAGTGGATAAGAGTTGATACATTTGAAAGGGAGTCTACGCGTCTTCTTGGTTCTTTTGGTAAAGTCACGTAGAAGGAAAATAATAAAATAATAAAAATAAAACATAATAAAATAATTCTCACGACGTTTCGGCCACACAGGTCTATCAAGTAGACAGAGTCTGTCTACTTGACAGATATGTTCTCCACCTGAAGACGGCCGCTTGTGTTGTGGCCAAAACGTCGTGAGAATTATTTTATTGTTTTATTTTTATTATTTTATTATTTTCCTTCTACGTGACTTTACCGAAAGAACCAAGAAGATGAATCCCTGCAGTCACGAAAGCTTTAAATCGATATTTTATTTAAATTATTTCTATTATTTTTATTATTTTATTATTTCCCTTCTACGTGACTTTACCGAAAGAACCAATAAGATGAATCCCTGCAGTCACGAAAGCTTTAAATCGAGAGTCTACGCGTGTCGCCCTGCCAAGGGAACTGTATTCATCCTTACAACACGGACACCGACACTCACTGGCTGGGCACGAACAGCGCTGTTGTTGATGCCCAGCCTCTCCTACCCAAGGGGCCGTCCATAAATGACGTCACGTATCTAGGGGGGGAGGGGGTGGGGTCAGACATTTGTGACGATGCGTGACGAGGGGGGGAGGGTTGAGAAATGTGACGTCACATTAAAATGCGCAACTTTAAATAAATATAGAAAACACGTTCTACTTAATTAAATAGACTTTTTAATAAATGTTTTCTCCTACAACATTAGAGTGCAGCGTCACATTAAAAACGCACTACAATGTCAATAGTTTAAAGCGATTTGAAGAATGTTTTATTTTCAAAATGGAAATATGGTTTGGGGGGGGGGGGCAGTGCTTTGTCACGTCATATTTGAGGGGGGTCTGACTTTTTTATGACGCCGTGTGACGAGGGGGGGGGTCAAAAATCGTCCAAAATCGCGTGACGTCATTTATGGACGGCCCCCAAGAGCCTTTGTTTCTCCCGTCTTCATATCCCCTCTCTCTCCTCCCCTCGTCTCTCACACCAATCTGTTTCTTTTCCCCCCCTCCCGCCATTCCCCTATCGCCTTTTTGCGCCTTTCTTTAATTATTTATCTGCCCATGGTCCCTTGACCCTTGTATGACCCCGATACGCAATCCTCACCATGTCCGCGCACGAACTCTACACGTACCTTGAATCCAACAACGTTGCTTTTACATCTAGATAAATCCATAATGCAGGTCTTTTTTTTTGGCACGGCTCGGTTAAGCCAGTGGAAAAAAAAAAAAGGTTTCTGACCCTGACCTTGACTCGACTTTCCCGCGCGCGTTTCCGTCGACGGCGCCAGCCCGAGACGCGCAGGGCCCCCCAGTCGCCGCCGCACGTCCGCTCCTCGGCTCCGTGGAGCCCCCCCTTCCCCGCCGCTCCGACGCTGCTCAGCACCTCGGCGTTCCCCTTCCCGGGCCGAGCGGCCGAGGGTGCCCGGCGCTGCTCCGCCGCCACCGCGCTGCGGGCGCTGCCGGCGGGGACGACGCGACCGCCACCGCCATCGGCCCCCACGCCGGCGCTCGGGCAACTCCTTCGCTCCGTCTCCAACTCGGACTTCAGGAACGGCAACTTGGTGCGCCGGGCAGGGGCGGCCGGGGCGGGCGGCGGTGGCGGCGAGGCGTACGGCGTGACCCTCCGGAAGCCGCGGTCGCTCTCCGCCGACTACCGATACAGCCGGCTCAGCCTTCCCAGCAGCGTGCTCGTCTCCAGCAGGTTGGGGGTCGATTCTTGGTCGACGCGACGGTCGTCGGCTGGTTCTCGTTGCGCGCGACGCCCGGCGCGATCACTCCGCGAGTTGGGAGATTCTGCGGCCACGGATTGTTCGGGAGTGGAGGGAGCTGAACAATTCGGGCGTATGAACGTTTACAACGCGGGTTTTTTGGGTTAGATCGTGATCGTGATCTAACCCCCCCCAAAAAACTATATTATGGATGAGATGTGTCGCGAAAGCCTACGTGGTAAACCCGTGCCAAAATTATTGACCGGCCTTGTGGCCAACACGACATGTGGAGGTCTCATCCAGCTTTAACAAGCGGACTGTGAGTCAGTGAGCTCATGCTGTTGCTTGCTCGTCGGGCCCTGATCCATTTGGAATTAAATCAATCAATTAATAAAGTGAATCGCTATATTTCGTCTTCGCTTCTGTTTTAGTGGCAATGCAACGACGAAGGAAGGCGCTATGGTTATGCTTTGTAAGATTTACAGAGCATTTCCGTCTTGAGTCTAAACATACTGCGGAACTAGACGAGAGTGAGAGACATATTACGGACATTGACGGGCAATGAGTTTCACATAGACGGGGCCCGACACCGCTACTTTGAGCGGAGTGGGTGGGTGGGTGAGTGAGTGAGTGAGTGGGTGAGTGAATGAGCAGGTGAGTGGGTGGGTGGGTGAGCAGGTGAGTAGGTGGGTGAGTGGGTGAGCAGGTGAGTGGGTGGGTGATTGAGCAGGTGAGTGGGTGGGTGAGTGAACAGGTGAGTAGGTGGGTGAGTGAGCAGGTGAGTGGATGGGTGATTGAGCAGGTGAGTGGGTGGGTGGATGAGTGAGTGAGTGGGTGGGTGATTGAGCAGGTGAGTGGGTGGGTGGATGAGTGAGTGAGTGGGTGGGTGATTGAGCAGGCGAGTGGGTGGGTGGATGAGTGAGTGAGTAGATGAGTTACTATGGAAGTAGATGGACTGGACCCCACTAACATGAGCAAGTGGGTGAGTATGTGAGTAAATAGGTTTGTGCATAGGCAAGTGAGTGGGTGGGTTAGCGGGCGAGTGGGTGAGTGAGCGGGTGAGTGAGTGAGTGGGTGGATGAGCGGGTAAGCGGGTAAGTTGGTGAGTGGGTGGGTGAGCGGGTGAGTGAGTGGGTTAGTAGATAAGTGAGTGAGTGGGTGGGTGAGTGAGTGAGTAGATAGGCTGGATACTGCAAAACTACAGGGGGCCGTACCTCGATGTCTCGCTGGATGAGATTATGTGCTGCCGACTGATGTCGATGGCGCTCTGTGTTGGTGGAAATTGGTACCGCGCACATATCAGCCAGGTAGCGCGGTGCTGATTGATGCGATCCTTCCATTTGAGTGCGGGACACCTGGCCAATTTGTAATGATGCAGAAACGCTGAAGTCGCTATGGGCGAACAAAAAAAAGCATGGAAAATAGAGAAACACCACAATGGCTGGTGGATGTGTTAAGAGCTTCCTCTCTGCCACTGAAACCCGCAAAATATCTCGAACGAAGGTCGTTCAATGTAATGATGACCAATTTTACAATCGCGGTGAGAATGTCCCCCACCCACCGACCCACCTCCACGTGTCACAATACTAATTGCCAAACTGCAGCTGTCACAATCATTATCATCTATGACTCAAAATCGCTGTGTAGCCACTCCTACTCGGTGTTACAGGGCAGCCTCTGACAGTTGGTGACTGTTGTGCAAAACGCGGGTTGCGTGGTGCTGTCACTCAATTAACCATTTGCCGTGGTTTCCCAGTGGTCCCTCTCTGCCGTAGGTGGCCCAGAAGCTCACAGGTCTCAGAACACTGAGCCGGCGCTGCTGAGATCCTGGATTTATATTCCGGCCCGTGATCAAACCGTGTTGTAGAGCGTGGCGAGTTGAGTGTCTTGACCCGATCACCAATGGTTTGCCCACACAATAAAAAGGCCTCATGTTAAATGTGCGTTTCCACCTCCTTCGGTCAACTGCAGCCGTGCAACTTTGAGTTGTCGGCTTTTAATTGACACGCGACGAACGATATTTCGCAGCGGATTGAAAGCCGGTCTCCCTGGTTTGATATCGAAGTGAGTTAAGGACTTTCGCGGACATCATCACCCAGGGCTGCTCTCAAACGCACGGTGACGCGCTGCGAGCTTGCAGCGTTCCGAACGGGGTTTGTCGTGGGCGCAACAACAAAGAAATGCACGGCAGCGGTCGTGAGCTTTGAAGGTACTTTGCCTAAAGTCCTGCCCTGCGGCAACTAGGGGCACTTGCCGTTCATCGTAATAAAAAAAAAATATTTAAAAAAAGAAAAGAAAAAAACCCGAAATCGTGACAGGTCATCAAATTGCCGGGGGGGGGGGGCAGGGGTAGAGGGGGTAGAGGGGGGTAGGGGAGGGGGTAGGGGGGGGTGACCCGATTCGCCCCGAACGGGCAGCAGCGCAGGGAAGCAGCCTCACTCCAAACGGGATGTCCCGCCGCGCCGATTGTGTGCCGCGCTTCGTGAGAAGTGCGCGGATTGCGGAGCCGTGGATCGACGCGTGGGAGATGACGCGCGACTTCTGATCTTTCGACGTCGCTCAGATGCAGCGAGCGCGGTTGCCGCGTGCTCATTTGGGGTGCAAATGAATCATCGCGGACGATTTATTTGCCTTCCTTCTCGGGCCGGCTCTGCCGATCGGAGCGTCGAAGTCCGGGGTGAGGGGGGGCGGGGAGGATCTGGGTCACGGAGCTCCGCTCAGGCTTGAAGCGGTGCAACGAAGCGCCTCTCAAATCCGCGTCTGTTCGGAAGCGCATCTGTCACGCTCGCTCTCGTCGCTGATGTTCGTCGACAGGGGACGACGCTTTCCGTTGTCTTCGTGCGCAGCAGCGAGGGGAGCGCGGGGAGCGGTCAGCGCTACGCCGTGCTACGAACCCGGCTACCCGGGTTCGATTCCCGCTCGCGGACAACACCGGTGACGGTTGTCTGAACCGGTGCTTGGCCTCCCCAATAGGTCGGCTCAGCCTCAAACGAGTACCTGGTGCGGTGTGTAGTAAACATCGCCACCGGGGAGACAAAGGCGGTCGGGCGTGGTTTCTGGTCACCCACCCGCTCGTGTGCCGTTCCGGTCTTCGTAGGTGCTCGCTAACAGCACTTGCCCCTACAGTCTGTTAAGGCTACACGGGGGATCTTTGTCTTTGTGTGCGCGAAAAGAGAGGCCATTCTGGAAGAGCACATGGAGAGGAGGAGAATGTTGCAGCAAGAGATCTACTACAGAGAGCAAGCGAGAAGCATCCTCTCTCTGAACAAGAGGTTGGTGAGCCGTGCGTGGAATAATGCCCCCCCCCCCCCCCCCCCGGACGTACGGTTAGCGCCCTGCGCTGCTAACACGGCGAACTGAGGTCGATGCCAGGTCACGACCACGATTATCTGAACCGGTCTTGGGCCTCCCCTAGGTCGACTCAGCCTCAATTGCGTACATACCTGGTGCGGCGCGTAAATATCTCTACGAGGGAGACAAAGGCGGCCTGGCTTGGTGCTGGCCACCCACCCCCTCGTGTGCCGTGCCGGCCTTCATAGGTGCTGCCCGCTAACAGCACTTGCCCCAATAGTCGGTTGAGGCTATACGGGGGATCTTTGTCTTTGTGTGCGTCTAAAGTTGTTCCATCCTAGTAGGAGGGATGCCTGCAGCACTGGGCTGTCTCCACTGTGATTCATCTTTACACATCTAGCGATTGTTCTGACTTACACGCGTGGGAGTCGATGTTTTTACAGTGCTTATTAAATCACTGTCGATCGTAAGGCTGCCTGCCGTATTACGCCATGAATGTAAAAGGTAAAATAAGATTTTTAAAAGGGCTAATTTTTTCTCACGCAATATATTCTGGCTTGGAGTAGGGATCATCGGCATAAGGCACTACTACTCGAGTACAAGACTCCTGACTTCAGCTCTGATGACATCTTCAAATTTCATATTTTCATAATCGTGATTTGAAGCTTTCGTGACTGCAAGAATCCATACTCTTTGGTTCTTTCGGTAAAGTCACGTAGGTAGGAATAAAATAAAATCAAACAAATCACGACGTTTCGATTGCAACACAAGCGGTCGTCATCATGCAAAGGAGTCAGCCTCTCAAGGCAAACTGTTTATAAAGGTTTGGAGATGGGCGTAGCCCCCCAAGTGTATCAACAGCACCAGGAGCATGGGTGGTGCACGAGTGCCAATGCAGCAACAATGCCAATGCAGCAACAATGCCAATGCAGCAACAATGCCAATCCAGCAGCAATGCCAATGCAGCAGCAACAATGCCAATGCAGCAGCAATGCCAATGCGGCAACAATGCCAATGCAGCAGCAATGCCAATGCAGCAACAATGTCAATGCAGCAACAATGCCAATGCAGCAGCAATGCCAATGCAGCAACAATGCCAATGCAGCAACAATGCCAATGCAGCAGCAATGCCAATGCAGCAACAATGCCAATGCAGCAACAATGCCAATGCAGTAGCAATGCCAATGCAGCAACAATGCCAATGCAGCAGCAATGCCAATGCAGCAGCAACGCCAATGCAGCAACAATGCCAATGTAGCAGCAATGCCAATGCATCAGCAACGCCAATGCAGCAACAATGCCAAGTAGCAGCAATGCCAATGCAGCAGCAACGCCAATGCAGCAACAATGCCAATGTAGCAGCAATGCCAATGCATCAGCAACGCCAATGCAGCAACAATGCCAATGCAGCAGCAATGCCAATGCAGCAACAATGCCAATGCAGTAGCAATGCCAATGCAGCAACAATGCCAATGCAGTAGCAATGCCAATGCAGCAGCAATGCCAATGCAGCAGAAATGCCAATGCAGCAGCAATGCCAATGCAGCAACAATGCCAATGCAGCAGCAATGCCAATGCAGCAACAATGCCAATGCAGCAGCAATGCCAATGCAGCAGCAATGCCAATGCAGCAGCAATGCCAATACAGCAGCAATGCCAATGCAGCAGCAATGCCAATGCAGCAGCAATGCCAATGCAGCAGCAATGCCAATGCAGCAACAATGCCAATGCAGCAACAATGCCAATGCAGCAACAATGCCAATGCAGCAGCAATGCCAATGCAGTAACAATGCCAATGCAGCAGCAATGCCAATGCAGTAACAATGCCAATGCAGTAACAATGCCAATGCAGCAACAATGCCAATGCAGCAGCAATGCCAATGCAGCAGCAATGCCAATGCAGCAGCAATACCAATGCAGTAACATGGCCAATGCAGCAACAATGCCAATGCAGCAGCAATGCCAATGCAGCAGCAATGCCAATGCAGCAATGCCAATGCAGCAACTATGCCAATGTAGCAGCAATGCCTGATGAAGATTGCTTGTGTTGCGATCGAAACGTCGTGATTTTGTTTTATTTTATTTCTAACTACGTGACTTTACCGGAAGAACCAAAGAGTATTGTCGTAATCGTATGAACAGATTTCGTTTACACGCAAGAAAGGAACGTGGTGTGACTGCATCATTACGAAAACTGCGTTCTGGTCTCTTCTGGTAACTTCCAGCTGAAATTAAGCAACTGATATGACCACATTTCCTGTAATTCAGCACTGTGGAGGTTAGGGTTGGTGGTGCCATACCCTGGCTCAGCAGGGAAAGCCAGTACAAGAAGTGGACTAATCTCCATCTGTTTCCATCTGTACAAGGGGGGTTTGTTCCCGTTTCCTCCCCCCTTGTATAATAATAATAATAATGAACACTCAATTGGCTGAAAACATATTTAAAATTAAAATCCAGGACCCCTCCTAAAAAATAGTCCAATGGCTCAGTGTGCCTCTCCCGCATAGAGAAGTAACTGCAATGTCGATGTCTGCCTGGATTCAAATCCAGGATCTCAGCAGTGGCAGCTCAGCATTCTAACATTGTGTTCGCCTCCAGAGCAAGCCTCGTGAGTTTTCTATGAGCGCCAAGTGTTCTGTTCATGCGAACACGGATAGTGACAGGTCACAGAAACAATACGGTGGCTCAGATGATAAGGCATTAGGACGCATGCCATGTGAAGTCGCACTTGCACACGAAGTGATTGCCACAAATGAACCACATGGACCTTACTGATCTCGTTAAGGAGCATAAGCCATGACGCAAAACTCTGGTCATCCTCGCAGGGGCTTTTGGCTGGCCATCGAACAAAGACGGGCACTGCATCGCGCACTTTCAGACGCGCTTCTGCGGCCGTCTGGAACGCTCTCCCTTTCGATATTACGAAGCCGCTGGAGCTAAGCACATTTAAATCTCGATTGAAAACTCATTTCTGAAGAACTGCTTGTTAAGCTTAGTTTGTTGTCCTTCCCCCGCACCTCCGATTAGCACGGTTGGCTAAGTATGATGTGAAAGAAGTTCAACAAATATACACACACCGCCGCCGCATAACTCGCATCACCCTGAAAGATCTCAGAAGCTAAGCTGGCTTGAGCCTGGTTATTACATGCATGGGTGTCCAGCAGAGCATGCCAGCAGTCTGAAGATTATTTTTTTTCAGGAGGATGCCACTTTTTTTAGATGTTTGGCCAATTCCATTGATGATGATTTTTGTGATTCGCTACGCTTTGACCTGTATCCCATCTCGCTATGTCGTAGCCCTGTAATCTGAGCTCACCCCCCCCCCCACTCCCCCTCGGTTGGCACGCGCTTGGTGGAATAGTTACATCGCAGATTTGTGAGAGGGCACAATGGAGACTTTTATCCAGTGGTGCATTCATCAAAGCCGACGACGAGCCCTTTGATTTGACTCCACTCGCTTTGATCTGATACGGTATCTGCCTCCAACTCAGCCCTGTAATCTTGCCCCCCCCCCCCCACTCCTAGTGGCAGCAGCGAGTGCTGCGCGGGGGAGCATTGGCGGTGCCGCGTGTCGCCCGCGCTGGATCAGGGTGCCAGCTGGGCCGGTGGCAGCCGGGACAGCGCCGCGGATTTCCCGCACGTGCAGCGGAGCAAGCGGCTCCTGCCGGCGACTCCCACCGGTGGGCGATGCGGTGGCGGTGGCGTTGGCGGTGTCATATGCAGTGCCAGATTAAGCGAGTGCGGGGCCTGTAGCGTATGTTATAAAGGGGCCATAAATCAAATTAAGAACACAAAAATATTAACACCAATTTTTTACTTAGTAAAGCAATTGTATTTTTTTCATTTGCTATACTGCCATATAATACAACAAATGGCGAACCTTAAACACCCAGTCATTCGTAAAAGTTGAAGGCGGTATAGTACTATAGTAATAGAGCAAGTGCGGAATCACTGAACCGGAATTAATAGCTTGAAAGCATTTAGCGCGGGTCCCTTGAAAGTGCGGGGCCCATAGCTACTACATATGTAGCTACTACAGATGTAGCTACTACATATGTAGCTACTTTTGCTCCGATGATAATCCAGCACTGGCCATATGACGTGATATTTGTCGCCACGGCGGGGTACCACGATGGCGAGATGTTAACCTCCTCGCCTGGTATACAGGAGGTCGTGGGTTCGTTCCCAACCCCGACGACGCCTGCTGTATATTTGGGGTTTGCAGGCCTCTCTAACCGTGGTCGCGTTGACTTTTCTGGTATCCAATCGTTACAATTTTGTACAATGTTAATAAATAGAGTACTGTAGTAAATAAAGTAGTTGTACGTGCCCTTGCTTAATTTATTTTCGATGATTTACCTTCGAGAAAATATCTGGCCATGTCTCGCACCCTCAGAAAGGGCATCTCGCACTCCCAGGGATTTGTGCACCTCAGGTTAGTATTTGGCTGATAAATATTTGCATGTGCTAAGCCACTGCGTTGTGCTATCAATCGTGGCCAGGTCGCTTCTGAAAAAGAGATACAAAAAAAGTTAAGCTTTTGTTTTATTTGGCTATGTCGGGTGGAGTACGGTGTACGACACAACCCGGCATTTCACTCGCATGGCGATTTGACCCTAAAATCAATTACAAATCATGACAATGGTCGCGAGAACGCCATGTCCAAACATGAACTCAAGTCTCATTTGCAAGAGTGACCTGGGGATTCATCTGCCAGGAGGGTGCAATGACTACTGTGTATAATCCCAAACGAGCAGTTTGTGGTGTCATATTCTTGGTTCTTTCGGTAAAGTCACGTAGAAGGGAAGTAATAAAATAATAAAAATAAAACATAATAAAATAATTCTCACGACGTTTCGGCCACAACGCAAGCAGCCGTCCTCAGGTGAATAATGAAACACCACCAAGCTTGCAGCGTATATTTAAGCTGGCGTATATTTAAGCTGGCTCCAAGCTCGGTGGTGTTTCATTCTTCACCTGAGGACGGCTGCTTGCGTTGTGGCCGAAACGTCGTGAGAATTATTTTATTATGTTTTATTTTTATTATTTTATTATTTCCCTTCTATGTGACTTTACCGAAAGAACCAAGAAGATGAATCCCTGCAATCACGAAAGCTTTAAATCGAAATTTGTGGTGTCAATTTAGAATCTGGCAAATGTGGACGTCTTCCCGTGATGTGACGTCCCGATGTTTTTTTTGTTACACCACAAGGGGTGGTAACCCAAGCCACGGTGCCGGGCTACGAACAATGGGCGTAAATATGACAGGGGGGGGGGGGGGTTCATATCACCGGGGCCCGGTCCATGCCAACCAGGCCACGCCGCTGACATTGGGCGAATGTGCTTTGGCAGTGGGCAAGGAGAGTGGCTGTACAGATAAACAACAAAGACAAAGATCCCCCGTGTAGCCTTAACAGACTGTTGGGGCAAGTGATTCTTAGCAAGCACCTATGAAGGCCGGCACGGCACACGAGGGGGTTGGTGGCCAGCACCACGCCCGGCCGCCTTTGTCTCCCCAGTGGCGATGATTACACATCGCACCAGGTACTCATTTGAGGCTGAGTCGACCGATGGGAGGCCCAGGACCAGTTCGGACAATCGTCACCGGTGTTGGCCGTGAGCGGGAATCGAACTCGGTCCGCCCGGGTTTCGTAGCGCAGCGTAGCACTGACCGCTACACCACCGCTACCCCACACTGACGCACACACACACACATTGGCACACGCAGACAGACACGCAAACGCACCCACACATCTGTTCACACAGCCACTGCAGACATGCGTACATACACGCACACGCACGCGTGCGCTTGTCAGAACATTGCTGCGCATACGCGCGTGGCTGGGCGGCACGTGGCGGTTATTGGGGTATTATTTTCGCGCGAGTATTACATTGCAGGAAATTGCGTCTCGCTTTTTACGCGGCGATCATAAAACCGTTGCTCCGAGTGGGTTGCGCGCATCGGTGAGCGCGTGGCACACCGCCACTGCCAGAACAAAACGTTTGTAATTGGTGGGCAAAATTGAGTAAATTGGCGCGGTAGAATGATGCGTTTATTTCCCCCACGGAGACAAATGTACCACTCGACGAGGGGTTTACGTTGAAGCCAGACGGGATCGTGTTCCTTCATAACCGATAAAACACTGCGTAGTTTCCCAAATGTTGAGCGTTAGGGAGAAAGTAATCCCCAAATGGGGCACCTCGCGTTTGTAGGTTCACTCTCGCCAAAGGGACACGCAGTACAGCAAGGCACTTTGCGTGCGTATGTGCGGGCGTGCCAGCCTGTGTGCGTGAATTCGTGCTTTCTCGGTCACGTGGCCGAGAAGCAGCGTGCGTGCTCCTGCTCGGCCATGTCGGAAGCAGGGAGGACTTCTTCACAATTCTGGCAAACCGCCTGATGAAGCTGGTCGTTGTAATCACCAGCGAAACGTCACGGTACTTAAATTGTAAATGTTGTGGGTTGACCCTCCGACACACCGGTGGGTGCTGAAGTTTCGATTTAAAGCTTTCGTGACTGCAGGGATTCATCTTCTTGGTTCTTTCGGTAAAGTCACGTAGAAGGGAAGTAATAAAATAATAAAAATAAAAATAATAAAAATAAAACTCATAAAATAATTCTCACGACGTTTCGGCCACACGGCTGCTTGCGTTGTGGCCGAAACGTCGTGAGAATTATTTTATTATGTTTTCTTTTTATTATTTTATTACTTCCCTTCTACGTGACTTTACCGAAAGAACCAAGAAGGTGCTGAAGTTGTAACAGTTGGCACGTTTTTTTCACGTGACAAACTTTCCGATTGGCTGTGTCGGGTGTTGTTGGTGGTGGGTTAACGACACATTTATATTTACGCGATCTAACCCAAAAACCTTTCTTGGTCGCGAAAGCATTTGGCGTGTGCTACTTGTTGCAGGGGTTTTGCCGTATGATTCTGTCGGCCGCCCTGGTTAATACTTCGGGAGTGTTACCGTATCCTCCAGAATAGTATGCACTTTGGTTCACCCTTGTAAATGAAAGGAGAAGTTGGGGATGTGTCATCATTCGGTAGCTGTGCACGCACGCGTGCGGGCGCGTGTGTGTGTGTGAGACAAGATTATTTTATAACTTTATTGACACCGGGCACAAGTTTGGGGTGTGTCTGACACTCCGGAGCACCTTATAATCTGGAGAAAATGGTAATTGTAGATACGCGGTGACTACTATTTTGAAGTGAATGTTAAAAGATCTCGTGATGTTATTCTAAAATGAGTAGCCCATTCCTGACAGCACCACGGTCCACGTTTGCAGAAGAAGACATTTCCCGCACGTGATTTCATTGGCTAAAAACATCGAAAGCAACATCGCCTTCTGCTGGCACGCTATACCCGTCTGCGAAACACACCGCCGTCACTATAGGAACAGCACGAATGCCAAATGTACTCATCATCAACTTCTTAGGTTTTTTCGGTAAAGTCACGTAGGTAAAAAAATTTAATTTAAATTAATAAAAGTAAAATAAAAATAAATTAAAAATCACGACGTTTCGGAGGCAACACAAGCTTCCGTCTGTGTTGCCTCCGAAACATCGTGATTTTTATTTTACTTTTATTAATTTTAATTTAAATTTTTTACCTACGTGACTTTACCGAAAAAACCTAAGAATATGAATCATTGCAGTCACGAAAGCTTCCAATCTAGAATCATCATCAAAATCAGCCGTGGTCAATCTCCTGACGAATGATGCCAAGCCACTGCTATCTCTCATAATCCTGCCATTTAACAATCACTTGCACACGAACTGACTTTCCAATTGCATCACCGTCATCATCGGCCACGGTCAAGTCCACTGCTGGATGGAGCCCTCCTCCCCAAGTCGTCTCAATCTCTCACCGTCCCGCAATGTAAGAATCCCACCCAGCACCTGCCCGCAAAAACTTGATTCCCGCGCTCTGTCTGCTCGCTCGTGAGCCCTCTCTCTCTTGCAACACGTCGGAGAGCAATCGTTGTCGTTATGTTCTCGTCGCAATTAGGGAGGATGCCCTCTCTGACCGGCGAGTGTCTGCGTGGGGACATGAGCCCTGACTGGAACCAGCCCCTGGCTGCCGTTCAGCGGACGGCTTTCCCTTTCCGCCTGCCGCCACTCAACACTCAGGTGGGTGAACATTCGTGGGACATTTCCCAGGGGCAAAAAAAACGACCGCGGGGGTGGGAGGGGGGATGCTCGCTTCGGACCTGCACCTTGACCCAGAACATAGTCACGTTGCAAACGCTTAAGTGGCCTTTAAATCTGCCTAGCTGCTGGGTGCCGGGATTTCAGGTGGCTTCAAGATATCGAAGCGAAAGGGCAACTCCAGGATCTTGGTCACTGCAGCTTTGGCGGAAATTTTGACGGGGGGGGGGGGAGGTGGGGGCTTTCTGATTGCCCACCTTGTGCGCTCTCCAGAGGTCGCAACCGGGTAGCCGTTTGCGACCCTGGTGCGGCCGGGTACAGGTACGGGTAGGCCGTGAGTCACTGGTGAGTAGCCATTTGCCACTCATTTCGGGTAGGGTACGGGTACGGGTGGGGAACGGGAACCCGTACCCGGTCGGGTCGGGTACGGTTACCCATTTGCGACCCTGGTGCGGCCGGGTACGGGTAAGGAATCAAAACCCGTTTGCGACCTCTGGCGCTCTCCCACCTCACCTCGGTGCGTCTACCGAAGCCATTGGCGACGATGGGGCTCTTCCAGACCTACGACGACAAACAAACAATCGGCTCGCTCTCGTCAGAACTTCCCGCTCGTTAAACAAAACGCCTGCTCCGGCCAAACGTGTTACCGCGAGAAGCGTTCACTCCCCACCTCCCTCCCACACACCCCCCGCTGCTGCCACTGCCGCGCTCTGCGGCGTCTGGCCAGAGGCGGGGATCATGGAGAGTGCATCCAACTGGGCCAAATGTCAATTTCTGGGAAAAAAATTCAAGGCAGGCCATGGGTACAGCAGCAGTGTGGTGACCGAGTCGTGATCCACTCCCGCGTTCCGTGACCCCCACCCCTCCCCACCTCCCCCCAGCTCTTGGCCTTGGGTTCGCGTTGTCACCTAAGATTTGACGAGAGGGATTTGCTTTGATTGTGATGCTTCCAAAGAACCGCGGGGCCAAAGGGAGATGCCACCCTTCCGATGCAGGACCAGTCAAGATATCGCTCGCCACTGATGTTCACCATAGCCGGGTATCAAACTTAGATCGCTATATTAATGACGCAGTGCGCTAAGGGGCCGTCCATAAATGACGTCACGCACCTGGGGGGGGCGGGGGGTCAGACATTTGTGACGATGTGTGACGAGGGGGGGGGGTGAGAAATGTGACGTCACATTAAAATGCGCAACTTTAAATAAATATAGACAACACGTTCTACTTAATTAAATAGTCTTTTTGATAAATGTTTTCTCCTACAACATCAGAGTGCAGCGCCACATTAAACACGCACTACAATGACAACAGTTTAAAGCGATTTGAAGCATGTTTTTTTTTGGGGGGGGGGGAGGGCAGAGCTTTGTGACGTCATATTTGAGGGGGTGGTCTGACTTTTTGTGATGCCGTGTGACGAGGGGTGGGACAGTCAAAAATCGTCCAAAATCGTGTGACGTCATTTATGGACGGCCCCTAACCACTGCACCACTGGTCCACTCCTATATACAGTCTGTTCCCATAAAAGACGGTCATTGCGTTCCTGAAGAACACCGCATTACGGAAACATCGCGTAATAATAAATAATATATAACGTGGGGGGTAAAGCACAGTCCGCGATAAGGCGTGAGATGCGTAACGCTGGGGCTGAACAAAGACCGAGGCGAGTGGGTGGCGTCTCGAATCATCCAGCAGCATCCCAGTGCCGTGTGCGATGCTACGTCAAGGGAGCCTTACGACCGCTTAATCTAAATCGCGCGACGCAGCTACGTTCGCTCGATCGCGTTATATCCAATTCGCATCCGCGTGACAAAAAAATGTGTTCCCTAATACATTTCATCCTCGCGTTCTATACAATTAGCGTTATGAAAACCGCAGGGTTATAAGAGAACAGACCGTATATCTATCTACATGTAAAAAATAGTAAGGCACACCACCCCCACGTTCCATTCCCTGGTTACCACATTCAGATAAGCCCCTCCCCCCTTAACTTGTATTTAAGGGCTTGTCTTTTGGAATTTTCCTCACTTGATGCTGTAATTTTAGCTGTGACGGTCCCACCTGATGACGGAGACTTGTGTTGCCTCCGAAACGTCGTGATTTCTTATTTTATTTTATTTCCATTACTACTTTTATTAACTTTTAATTTCATTTTTTACTTACGTGACTTTAACGAAAAAACCTAAGAGTATGAGGCACACCTTCCCATCGTGCTGTTTTTAACTGCTTTATCAATGCGTTAATGTGTTTTCTTGGCTATATTTGACGGTCATTAACTCATTTGTGTGACTAAACTGTTTATTTTACCAGGTAAGGCTCCACTGAGCTATATAGCTATTTTAACAGAAGCGACCTGGCCACAAACGACCGCTCAACGAAGTGGCTTATCATCATCACGTGGCAATGTATAGCAGCCAGATACTCTAAATGCACGTTGTTTTTAAATGTGGAAGGAAAAACCGGAGGACCCGGATTAAAAATCCACGCGACCACGGGGAGAACACGCAAACCCCAAATATCCAAGTGTCAGGATCGATCTCACGACTTCCTGTGTACGAGGCGAGGTAGTTAAAATCTCACCATATTTACATACCCGGTACACCGCATCCAGTATACTATGCATCTCACTGTGGCCGTTGTGCTACTACTCATCGTTTGCCACCCACTCCAGAAACAGACCATTTCCAAGCCTGCAAAAACATTCCCGCACCCGGCACACTGCGTCGGGTATTCCTCTCGCCATGCGTCGTAATCACCACGAGTCACCTACCGCGTCCTCACATCTACTGACAACGTGGGACGCATCCAGCAACGTGATTGGCCGCGGGCGAGCGAGCGTGGCACGAGAGCTCCACAGCGGCTCCACGGTCGGGTTCTCTTCTCTCAGAATCCGGGAGTGCCGCTGCGCGACCACGCCGGAACGACCTCCACCGCCACCGCCGCCGCCAGAGGTCACGGCTGGAGCCCCGCGCCACGCTCCTCCGCGCTCCGGGCCGCGAGGTCCTCCGTCCCGTCGGGCGAGGCCCCTGCCCGGACGCTCACGCGGAGGCCGCAGTCGTCTCCCAGCTTCCAGCTGGACGCCCTGCGGGGCCTGGTGGCGGCGGCGGCGGCGGCGGGGGGCGGTGGCGAGCGGCCGCTCTCTGTCTTCCGTCGGTCGCCCTCCGTGGGGGAGGAAGCGACATCGCAGCGTCTCGCCCGGAGCCGGCAGCGCGAGACGCTGCGGCAGGGCAGCACCGGCAGCCTCGCGCCAGCGGTGAGAGGGATTCGCGATTTGTTAAGCAATTTTAAGTTCGATCTAGAAACTTGATTATTTTTAAATTGCTTTTACTTAAGATACTTTTATAGTGGGGTTTTTCTTCTTTTAAATATGCCTTCGCTAGCAATTTATTGTATTGCGATTTTGTTTTGGATGGAAATTGCTTTTATTGTTCTTACGATTTAGTTTTTAAACGATGTTTTCTTTCACCTGTAGAGCACTTGATTGATTGTTTAGCGCAGTTGGCTACGTACGGTGTGAAAGAAATGCAACGTACATAAATGTGAGAAACTAAACTAAACTAAACATTTTTTTTACCAGGTAAGGCCCACTGAGCTATACGTAGATATTTTTTCAGAAGCGACCTGGTGATCACTAACGATCGCTCGACGAATTGGCTCATCATCATCATGGGGAAATTCAAGGCAGCAGCCCAATGCCCTGTCAGGTCGGAGGATGTGAGAGGGTCAGGAGGGGGTGACGTTTTAAGAGGTTGCGGGTTGACCGGTGGGCGAGTGTTGTTGAGCAGCTCATTGGTTCGTACAAAGTCAGGGATGCGTATTCGATGATCATGCCCACGGCCAAATCGCCCGGGATGAGTCCGGACTTGAGATATCTCAGCGGCTAAGCGGGGTTGGTCCTGGACAGTGCTCGGATGGGCCACCACCAACGACGCAGGTCAGACATGTACTGTGCAGGCTTCTTTTGGGCAGCACAGGGCAGTGCAGCGAATTGCATCGCTCTATTGCACTTGCTACGCTCCAACAACTTTGCTTCCCACCTTCAGCAACACCATGAAACCCCACCGACCCCACCTTCACCAGCGAGGTGAAGTGCGGTCTAATAAGAGTGACAAACTGCACAGCGTGGGGAGACCTTCACCCGGCAGTGGATACACAAAAGGCGTTGCACATTCACGCGTGGGTAAGGCGAAGTGAGTGGATTGGTGTGTTCGTTTGCACAGCAATCTGTGGCGTATATATACAAATAGATAAATATTTACAGATGAATATATTATCAAGAGAGGGTTGTCCAGTTGCTCCATGAAAGTCCCTCATTATTGTACTATGCACGTATGCTCATCGGAGTTGTGGGGGAAGGACAACAAACTCCGTACGTATGATGAACTTCTTTCACACCGTACGTTGGCAACCGCGCTTAGAAGCACACGTTTGGCGACGCTGCTCCTGGTGCAGCCGGCAGCACGCTGGACCCACAATACAGAGGTTTTCCGCTTCAATCTCAGCAGGTGAAACGTTGGGCTAAATATCTTAAATCCCCCCACCCCCTTTCAACCTTCAGCACTCTAAATGTGCACCGCAGCGAGCCGATGGGTAGGTCGTGTATGGTGGGGCAACGTGTGGGTCGCTCCCACCCCTTCCAAGACAGCCTGGAAGCTCGGACAAAAAACATCCTCTCCTCTCTGGCGCTTCCTCGACTGGAGGCCCTTCCGGGCAGCGGTAGCGGCACGAGCAATTGTGCCGCGCATTTACCGCACTTCATCCATTGAAAGGGAGCGGTGCGCACCGACGATCCGCATCTTCCGTCTCGTTCTGGAGCCAACGCCAAAGCTTTAGGTCACATGACGAGTGGAGGAACGCGGCGGCGCGAGCAAGCGGTCGCGCGTCCGCATTAACACCTCCGACGCGTCGAAATCTCTCTTTCTAGCGTTTAACGGAGCCCTCGTTTCCCTCTTTTCCTCCGGTGCACGCTCCGCAGGCGGGCGTCTGGAAAGTGCAGCAGCAGCATCAGCAGCATCAGCAGCAGGGCGCGAGGGACAGCAGCAACGCCGTGGCCACTCCGGTGAACATCCGCCGGACCGTCAACGAGATGACGATGGAGGAGGTGAGCGAGGCGATGAAGGACCTCCTGAACGGGAACATCCGAAACGTCGCCGCCAAGATCGAGCGGCTCCAGCGGCCGCCGCGGCCGCACGACGGCTCGAGAGGCTGTGACGACGGCGAGAACCCGCCGCTGCCGCCGACGTCGCGATACGAGGAGGACCTCTCCGGCGAAATGATCTACGTGGCAACCTTGTGAAGTCACCGGCGTCGCGCGCTTTCACTCCCGTTGCGCGCAAAGCGCTTGCCGCAAAATGGACCACACCGCACGTTGCTGATTTCGTCAAGGGGCATAAACCGTCACGCGGACTGCGGTCATCTTCGCAGCAGCAGCGGCGTTTAGCTCACCATCGAACAAAGACGGTCACCGCTTCTCTTCTTTCCGATGTTAGGAAGCCACTGGAGCTATGCATTTTTGAATCTAAATTAAAAACTCATTTCATTAGAACTGCTTTTTGTGTTTGGTTTGTTGTCCTTCCCCTGCACCTCCGATTAGCGCGGCTTTCTATATACGGCGCGAAAGAAGTTCAACATACACACGTACTGTACCTACGATATCCGGCACTCGCGACGAGCCTCCGTCACCCTTTTTAAAATGTCATCACGCCCCATGAAATGTGATATTCTCCGAAGCTACCGTGTACGTAAAATATGTATCTATATTCCATTAATACTTGCCGAAATTGAGTATTTAAATGCGATTAACAACCCATGCCACTTTCTGCGATTTGCGACAGCCATTGGATTTGGATTGAAGCGGACTATCTGCAGTTACCGCTCGGTTTTAATTATTGTCTGTTAAGTGCCTCATTACATCGTGAACATAACCCACCCCCCTCCCATCAGTGTTCTCACTTACAAACAAACAAACAAAAAATCCCGTAGAATATCTAAACGTTTTAAAATAATAAAGCTTAAACTTACATGTCATCGTAATTTCCAACATTGGCGGTACCGCGCAAATGGCAATGAAGAAAACCTCCGACACATTCGTCAGTAACACATCCCCAAAGAGGACAATCGATCACGGTTTTAGATCTCTTCGCCACGAAGAAGGGCAGTTGGCATCACCTAATTTTATGGCAAGCTTCGGGGCCACTTCCTGGAGTTCTTCCATTACTACAGTACATTCATGTTTACGATGTTATATTTTATTTTAGATGCTTTCCTCTTTCGGGCAGTCCTATTGACAACGGTGTTGAGGAGCCGTGACAACTGATTACACCGTGGAGCTATTCCAAAAGGGAATTCTAAATTAATGCAAATCGCATATCAATTTCTAATCAACCCTGTGGACGTTTCACATTGCTACAGGATCTTCATTTTTTTATTGAAATCCTACTAGATTTATTCGAAAAAGCTGCATTATATTTCATCGGTGTTTGGTCAATTGAAGGCAGTAACACCCCAAGCGGACCGTCACGTTTGACGTACAGTCGTTATACGGTACTCAGCTTTGTTTATAATTGGATGTTTCTTTTTTCTCTGAATACGAACATTCTCTGACTGACGTCTCTTTCTAAATGTGATGATAGCTGTGTCGACGTGTGCGCGAATAAACACGGGTCTTGAGAATGTTAGTTTCGCCGTTCGGTTTGTGCCTATGTCGAAATATCATCACCTTATGGCTCGAGTTGGCAGACCCCACCTTCTCCTGGTTGAGCACCCACCCCCCTCTCTAAATTCTCAACAAATTGGTTGGGTGGGGTCAATGTGATTGGCTGCTCAAATGAGTACAGGGACTTTCTTACTTATGAACGAGTTTGGTTCCAGAAGTCTGTTCGTAAGTCGATATGTCCGCAAGTCCAATTTTACTCCTGTCGATTCCAAACACGTTGTACGTCATGTACACTAAGCACAGGAAATGGGTTTAAAAGTTGCATAATCTCCTGTAGACGTAGATGCCACTGGTTCTTCACGTTCTGCAGATGTAGATGCCACCATCACCGCCATCTATTGCGCGGCGGTTGAACTTACGACTCTCGGTCCAAACATGCCACTGGACATACCCACAGGTTTGTTCGTATCTCTGAAAGTTCGAAATTGGAATGTTCGCAAGTAGAAAAGTCTCTGTATTGAGAAAGTGTTCATCTCCCGGTGGAAATTACACATTCTAATAAGACAACCACTGCTTGACCCCCCGAGGGGAGGGATGATAGGACCGAGCCATCGGTAGGGTCCTATAAATGGTTAAAAACTAAATTAGCACGATTAATCGATGGGTTTTACCTAAGGCTTCACGATTATATATGTAGTGACATCGCGGATGTCACTGTATGGTGCCGGGCCTAGGGGGGCATGTCGTGCGATATACTCACATCGTGGACATCACGTATTAAGCAACATCGTGCATGTCACCGAGTCTTGCCGGCTGTAGCGAGGCACTTCGTGCGATGCACCGTCATCGCAGACACCCCGTAGGTGGGTGTAGTACCAGCCCTAGTGGGGGCTTGGTGAGTGCTGGGATAGCGCTCAGTGGCACCGCGCGTGGCGTGCAGTGCGGTCTCCCACCGGAGGGAGTGGGAGAGCGTCAGCCCAGGGACAGTTTTACCCTGGGCCATGGCACTCTGGTTGACCCCGACAGCACGTGACCGGTAAAGTCTACAGGGGGGTCCCCAGGTGTGGGCTAAGGGGTGGTCACGTGTCCGGGGAAAGTTGTCTCAAGAAGAGTCGAGAGCCAGAGCCCTCTCTCGAAGGTGGGCGGGGCCAAGGGCGGAGCCGGCCCCGACCCAGGAGCATATAAGCCGGGTCCCCGCAGGGAGCGGGGTTGGTTGTTACTGCCATCATCTGAAGATCTAAGTTCTACTTCCAGAAGAGTCTCCAACACGTGGTCCGGAACCCGAGCCGGGGTCCGGTCCGTTGTAGCGAACTCCCAGTGTGTTGGTGTAGTTAGCCGGGTGGTCCACCACCCTAGGCTGTTATCTAGTAAATCGGCAGCTACCCTTTTGCGTATTCGTGTTGGTGTAATAAATGTGTTGCCTCTAAGAAGTACGTCTGCGACTCGGTTGGGCCCGCGACATACACAGAGGGCGATGAGTGAACGTCGAGGCAGAATGCATGACAGACAAAAAGCGGATCGTACCGTTACTCATTGTGTGGCCTGTAAAATTCGCTTAAAGTTCGTTGAACCTTGACTCTATCGTGACCACCCACCCTGAGTTTTTGTATGCTACCCACCCTCCCCGTCTTTACAAGGTCATGCTACAGGGTTTTTTTTTTAGTGTCAAGGGAATTTTAAAAGAGTGCAATTCAACCGAGCCTCCATGCACTCTGCTATTGACCCCTAACATCTTTGTTCGATGGCCAGCCAACCGCCGCTGCTGCGACGATGACCACCGGAGTTTGCGTGATGCTGGTTTATGTTCCTTGACGAGATCAGCAAGGTATTGTGGTTCATTTGTGGCGAGCACTTTGTGTGTAATGCAACGCCGTAATTATAATATATTTTGGAGGGGGGAAGCATCCCCCCCCAAAATTCAAATATGCTCAAAATGTCCTGCCCCCCCCCCCCCCCCCCCCCCCCAATATATTGCTATAAAAATTAATTGGTATGCTATGTAAATAAAAATAACAATTTGCTAAACCTTGGCCACAATATCTGGACTTTTCATTTTAATCAATGCATAGATTTCTGTTTATATGATTGTGGTTATGGTTGTACTTAATTAATCCCCAATCTCTGCCATTACATACAATGAATCAAGAAATGTAAAAAAAAAGTAAAAACAGAGCAATGTAATACAATACACTATTAGACAATATTGTCAAAAATAAATTAAAAGTCCATCCCATGTGTTAGTGAATTTTTTAATCTGTTAGGCAGGAAATGAGTTTTCAAATGTAATCTTTTTCTGGGTTGGGACCCCCGGACACCCTGGAATATTTGGTCCCTCCCAATGTTGACTCCATGGCTACGGCCTTGGTGTAATGAGTTGCCTTATAACAATGTAATTCGTTGAGCAACCAGAAGCCAATTCAAGCTCGGCAAGCACTGGACGGACACAGGCGGACTTTGCAGTGTCCAGCACGACACGTTCCACTCGTATACAAAAAAAACATTTTATAGCATCGTGATCTTGGACCTGAGCAAACAAATTAAATGAACTGCAGACACCACTCGAATACATGGTATGCACTGTATTTAACATAGGCTGCTTCCATTTTCACTTCCTCATACGAAAGATAAAGGCGCAGTCTTGCAATGACTTGTTCACACCAACGATGGCAGAAGGGCCCTCCACTACAGGGAGCTCCTAAGTCCCCTCTACTGTGGTATTTGGCCTACTCTTCCACTGGTCACACATCAGCGCCTCCATTCGGCGCAGTTTGTGACGTCCAGTGCGAAAGAAATCCAGCATTTATATACACGCATCTTGGAATAGGTGGGAGTAACCACACCTCTCCCCACCACACGCCACCTTCCGATCGGCTCGCTGTGGTGTGCCGGTTTATCCTACTGGGTGGAGAGAGGCGGAGAGATTTAAGAAACCTGCCCATTGTTTCAATTTCCACGCGATAAGGTTGAACCTATGGCCTCTGCATCGCAAGTTCATTACGCTAACCATGACACCTGGGCAGCAGCATCTGGACAAAACCGTTCGTAAAAAAATCATGACACGCTCCAGTGTTCGACTCACAAATATTTTAATGCGCTCCACGTTAGTCAATCACCTCTACCATCACATACACATTCTCCCCACATTATCAATGCATCGTCACCATTTGTATTAGTCTTATTAGAAATGCTCCAACGGAGCAAAAACAAGCCATCTCCGCGTGAGAACCAAGTGTCACACCGGGCTGTGGCGCTGTGAATTCCCTGCAGTCGCCCCACACCCACAATGCGGCACTTGGCGTTCTGCGACTTCCAACACTGGGACGCGGTGGCACCAATGTAAAAACTTTAGGAGTGCAGAGACACGATGAGAAACAGCACCAAGCCATCGCAGGGTTGATCACCTGCCGCTTAAATGAGAACTATCATTACGAGAAGTATCATTTGAGATTTAATACGACACAGACAGACATGTAGATAGACAGAGTTGATACAACCGAGACAGACGTGCAGAGAGAGAGAGAGAGAGCTGATGCATTCGCGGTTTCAACTCGAGTTGGAAAACATTAAAAACAGGTGGAGCGGTGGCCCAGTGGTTGGTGCACTTGTACTATGAACCCGGCGGCCTGAGTCCAATTACCCAGACATCGCTAAAGTTCAGTTGGGAGCAGTATCAGAACTGGTCTCTTGCCCCACACACACACACAAGTCTCTACCAAGCCATACTGCTCAATGTGGGGAGGGGGGGGGAAAGGGGTAAATTCCATCTGACATCAATTGGTAGATAGATAGTTGTTGGAATTATATGTCGTTTTATTTTATATCAGATAAATTCTGGGGTTTATCGTGGGGGGCTTAGGGTGAATTTGTAAGCAATTTGGAAAGTGACGGTGGCGGTTGTGCAACAAATAAAAGCCGCGAGGTATTGCAGCGACACCGGTGCTCGTGACCTCGCACGGTGACTGGCGAGACAGAGCGAGTGATACGCGGTGGCGTGATGTCCTAAACAAAAAAAATGTGTACTCTTTCGCAACCAACAAAGCGGTAGCCTGCAATGGGAGGGCAGGTACGAGCTGGCTCCAGCCACCCCAGAGTTAACCGTGTAAACAGCAGCGGTGGTCACGCTATCACGCACCCCTGGCAATTGCCAGACACCCAATTGTTGACCGGTTCGAAGCCAACTACGATAACGTTATGTTCTTTGGGTCTTTCGGTAAAGTCGCGTAGATGGGTTCAAGTTAATAGAAAAAAAAACTCCGTTTCGATCACAACACAAGCTATCGTCTCTCTTTCTTCCTCCTGATGACGATCGCTTTGTGTTGCGATCGAAACGTCGTAGTTTTTTTGTTTATTTTATTTGTATTAATTTGAACCTATCTACGTTACTTTACCGAAAGACCCAAAGAATATTCATTCCTGCAGTCACGGAAGCTTTAAGGTCAAGATTTTCGATTACGTTACCCCTTTTTAAATTATTTTTATCCATTTCCAGGGCAGAGCTCCGTTAAAGATTTCTGCGCACGGGCAAACACATTTGGCGCAACCTCTCGCCGTGGCCATTTGCGAGCCGCCACACGCCACCTACTCCAGCTGGGTTCAGCAACCCCGGAAAATATTCGTGGGTGTAATGGGACAACCCCGCTGGGCATCTTAGTAACAGTCGCGTTCCGCGGAATGCCTGTGACAAGATAAAGGTTGCCAGAGGTCAAGGGGGGTGGGGGGGGGGTCACGATGCTCCGGCTTGCACATCAAAGCGGGGTTTAATCTGTGCCCTAACCGTGCCTAATCCGAGCGAGGCCCCCGCTGTAGTACTGTACGCGCGCGATGCTACTTCGCGTCGATGATACGCGCGCGCGTGCTTCCTTAACGACGGTGAAAAGGCCAACGACAAAGGGGACCCATCTCCCTCGCACTGGGGGCACGCGCGAGATACAGGGAACGCGTTTTACATTCGTTCATGTTTGGCAAGCCAAGCATTTGAGTGGCGGCCAAAATGCTCCGTGAGAAGAGCCACTTTACAAGAAAAGTGCACGCAGGCTTTCACCTCTTGCCGTATGTTTCAGCATACTAACACCTCACAACCTTACAGTTACTTTATTATACAAACATAGACATGGAGCCCTGCAATCACTTTCTCACAGCACCGCTGGCGGAAGGATTTCCGTATGTACGTACGTACGAATGTTGAACTTCATTCGCCCCGAATGTAGCCAACCGTACTCTCGAGATCCCCTTGCGGAGTGCGTTTGGCATACTCTTTCACGCCGGCTGGGGACATTTTGGAAGAGGTGGGAGCGACCCACACGTTGCCCCACCACACACGACCTGCGTTCCGTGCACCCCATACACACTGCTGGGTGGAGAGAGGTGGGGGCGGGGGGTTGAAGAGATTCAGCCCGATTGAAGCGGCAACCTCTGGATTGCGAGTCCAGCGTGCTGCCCGCTGCACCAGGGGCAGCGTCCTCCAAACGTGTACTTCTACAAGTTAATAATGAGGGGGGCTGTCATAGAGTAAGTGGATAACCCTCTCTTTAGATCTATTTATTTAATATATATAAATGGGATCCACCTCAGATGGCTACACAAACTTAACAATGCCCTTGCTTCACTTAACCCTTGCGTACATATGCATTCCTTTTGTTTACCTTGAGTAAAAGCCAACTAATAGCCTTGTGTAACTTTTTTTGTCGCCCGAGTGCTTCGGAGTAAAGGGATTTTTTTTGGCCACCTCTCGGGGTTAGAGGCAACGGGCACCGATTGTTTTTTTGGAAGAGAGATTTTTGAAAAATGCAACAGTAAGATTGCATTTTCAAAAAGGGCCCACTTCTCACAACGAAGACGAACACTGCCGTTGGTGCAGCCACATAACAGACGTGGTGTATGTCTCTTGTTAATAAAAAACACATTAATAAAGCTGGTAAACTCTTTAAATGAAAACGTCCAACAGAAGATCGCTCAGGAGTTTGATAATGGAGTTATCTTCAAGATGAATGCCATTGTTTAGTTATTTATCAATAAAAGGCTACCAAGAATTCAGACCGTGCGTAATCAACATTCTACTCTCATTATATTGTTTTTATTACAATACGGACGTCAATCAATAATTTAATTATGTTAAAGTGCTTATTTCATAGCTCTTTGGGAACAATGTACGTTAATTATTTGAAGGTAATTCAATGTAATTCGTAACACTCAATATGGTATATGCTACACGTTACGAAATCGGTGGGCTAGAGGCCAGCGATTTAATTCTGTAATGGAAGCGTGGATTGCATGAACGTCCGTCATTCATAAAAAGTGTTGTTATCGAACACTGTTGTCCAAAACGACATTGCTGTGGAAAAAGAACAAAACATCCGGCCACCTTAAATTATTTAGAAAAATGCTTGCACTGCCGTAATGTCTAAGGGTGAAGTTAAACTCATGGCTGTGCTGACACGACAAAATTAAACAATCAGGTAAAAGTCTACAGAACAGGCAACTCGCAAACAAATATTAACCTGTACAAAGTAATGCTCTTCAGTTTCATATTACCCAATGACTAACTGGTCACCATTTCACCCAAAGGTGAAGCGACAACTCTCGTCCCGACGAAGGCAAAAGGCGTCGTTTTTCGTGGTCGCGTTTCAACAGCTCTCCCCGACGCGCTTTCGTATCGTGCCACGCGTCGTTCGGCGCGACGTCCGACGTTTGCGCCGAGCGCTCTTTTCGTCGATTTAACTCGGTTCCAGAAAACGTTCCGAGGGACGTCGAGCAGCAGCAGCAAAAACGTCGGACGTGACGCCGGACAACCCAAAAACGCAACTTAAAAAAAAAACACATCGGACAAGCACGCGCCACCACGACTCGGACGCTGGCTTAGCTCGACGGGCGACCGCCTCCGAGGTTGTCGTGCGTGCCGGACAAAAGCCTCGCCACGCCGGAAGGCGTGAGCCGGACAGGCGGCAGGCAGCCGCCCCCACGCGGTGAAAACGCGGCGAGCGCAATCTCCGCGGCGGTCTCCACGTCGGGCACGATGACGTCGGCGGCCAGCAGGTCGCTCTCGATGCCCACGCCGCACAGCACGCCCACGGTGAGGCCGAGGCGGGCCGCCCGGCCCATGCCCACGTCGGTGGGCGTGTCGCCGACGATGGCCGTGCGCGACGGCGCCACGCCCAGCCGCCGGCATATGTCGAGGGCGAGGCTTGGCGAGGGTTTGGGGACGATGCCGGCGTCGTCGCCGCACACCACCGAGTCGAGGAGCGGCGTGAGGCCCTGGGCGTCGATGAACTCCTCGGTGCCCGCTCGCGAGTCCGACGTGCAGATGGCGATCTTTTGAGATGCGCGGTCAAACGGGGGCGGGGGGGGGAATATAATTGGGCGCGCCTGTTGGAATCTGGCGACGCTCCCAACGCATTCGAAACATGCGCTTGTCCACGTAAGTATCTATCGAGTGGCGACAGCAGTCGAGCACGCACCAAGCGAAGGAAGTCGTCTATCTGTAGGCCGTGACAAGATAACGGAGCAGGGACAGTGAAGTGGCTCAGCGGGGGAGGGTGCACGCACCACGGCAGGCAGCGCTCGCATGCCGAGGCGAAGGACTTTTAGCGCTGGTTTTTTGCTCTCCAAATTTTGGCCAAACCTTTGGCTAATTTGTCCGTTTTAATGTAGGTTAATTTCTGAATAGCAACAAACGTTTGATGTATATTGGATCAATCTTATGAGAGTGATCGTGAACCCCTCTCTGCTGCAGACATAACGCAACAATGCTTCCAGCCGGAGTGAAAATGTGTTCATAATGTATACATACACATGCACAAGATGCTTTATGGTTATGGCATGCCCAGGGGCAATCGTCACCGGCAACTGTTACTGCTACGCCATTCTCTATTGCACACATACAGGAACCCACAGTCAATACTCTCCTTACAGGGGCAACTAGGATGGCAACTTCCAATCGGATCCCTGAGGTCACACGGTCATCCGAGGTCGGGTACTCGGACGATAAGGATGATGGTGACGACAATGGTAACAGCAATTATGATGGCAATGACGAAGATTACCATAGTGACGATGACAACATCAATCTTGACTTTTGCAACCTGAGCAATTGCGATTTGGATTTGCATAGTGCCAAAGGCTAAACGCATCTTAATATTCTGCACAGGAAGTGGGCACAATTATGCCCGACAAAGAAGATTATGATGACAATTACGTTACATGTCGAACTTTTTTCGCAATCATGTTTCAAAATCATCCATGCTCTCACCTCAAGTACCACCCCTCCGGTGGTTGTCTCACATATACACCCACTCCAGCCGTAGGAGAATGAGAAATTCCCACGACTGTGGCTCAGGGGTCGCAAACAGGAGATGGGCACCACCCAGGAAAAAAGATCAATCACCAAGATGACCGACGTCGACTCACCTTGAAGCCCCGCTCCTTGAGCCTCCTGAAGATTGCCACCAAGTCGCCTAGCGGCCTCATACTGCCACCGCTGCAGTCGTCCTTCCAGGCAACTCGCACCACCCGCTCGACTTCCGCGTCCTCCAGGCCGTGCTCACGCTGCAGTGCCTCGCGCAGCATCAGCTGCACCTGCTCCATCGTCTTCTCGGCGATGCTGCCCAGCCGGACAACGCGCCTCTCGCCGTCGTAGCCCAGCGCCCGGTAGACGCAGCCCAGCAGCTCGGGGCGCCCCGTGACGGCCAGCACCCTGCGCGCGGCCACACGAAGACCCGGGACTTCGCGACGCGGTTCGCCTCCAGCCGCGGTTGGCTATAAAGTTAGGAGGTGAAAAGATGTCGTTAGAGGTTAGGGAGGGTTTTGTATCCAGGCCTAACAGATGGATCGTGGTCAGTGTTGCTGTTAGTGATGGGGGGGGGGGTGGAAATTTCTCAGGGCTCTCACACACAAAAAGAAGCCCACACAACGGACCTGCTTTTTTGTGGTTGATGGATAAGGAGGCCTCACGTGGCATTCTTTCCTGAGCCTACCAGACCCTCCGGGTCGCCCTGCGCTTGTTTACTCATCGACTGGAGTTCTGTTGATCTCCTGCAGCTAGCCGAGTGTTGCGGATGCAAGGGGGGTGGGGGGGAATGCAGGGTTGGTGAGCCCCCTCCAGGGTGCAAAAATACATTTAATCCCTGCTTTCATTCTCCCCTTGAGGGAAAGGGCAGAGACAGCGGAGAGGATGAGCGGAGAGGATGAGCGGAGAGGATGAGCGCGAGTGAGCGAGCGAGCTTCATGCTGCTTGTACCATCGGTGTCATCTCTTGTTGACGCGAAGAAAGCCGATGATTAGAAACGCGTTTTCTTGCCGATCGCTCTGCGGCTTCATGAACTATTTGGCTGCGTGATGCTTTGTCCTTTCCGTTCACGATTGACCCTGGTGTATTGCCTTTGCTATGCCTCTCCTAACTGTTTTACCGATAAGTCTTGTACAATCTTCAAGAAAATTGCATATCAAGAGGAATTTATCATATTTAAATATGCCAAATTCCTCTTGATATGCAAATTCCTTTGTCAAGGCGTCCAGCTTATATATATGCTCCAAGCTCGTGTGCGGTTTCATTCAGACTCTGTCGCCTCGACGGACCTGGTTTTCACCTGAGGACGGCTGCTTGCGTTGTGGCCGAAACGTCGTGAGAATTATTTTATTGTGTTTGATTTTTATTATTGTATTACTTCCCTTCTACGTGACTTTACCGAAAGAACCAAGAAGATGAATCCCTGCAGTCACGAAAGCTTTGAATCGAAATCTTCAAGAAATAAATAAAAACTATTTAGAGGTCAAATTAAGCAAAGGTTAAAGGTGCAACCGTACTGACAGAAGGGGCTTCTCAAAGAGCCCTTGTAGTGGGTACTGGTGTTACTCTTGTACACTGTCAATCTGGTACGCGTGTATTTCACAAACCCGCACGGACCAGCGTAGCAAAGTTTGGCCAAACATCCTCTGTGACCGATAAGTCATTGGGAGGCCCTTATCCAGGGCTGTGCAATATAGAACATGCAGGGCACGTACACATTCGTATAGTACACAGATACTCAAAACCTTGTGTACAAAACATGAAATAGGCAGGTGAGAAACATGACCAACAAAGGAAGGAATGCTTCAGTATTGCATTGCTTCAGTGTGTTTTTTCCAGTCATCTGAGCCAGCCAACCCACGGCACCTGGGTGTGTCCCGTGACCTCCTGTCAGCGAGCCTTTGTCACTTCACGTGGCCTCAAAGTGCGCCTGGCATATCACAGGCGCCGTGGTGACGTCATTGCCACTTTGGTGGCGAATGGCGGCTGTTGTTGTTGCTGCTATATCGCAGTATTACAAAAGACGGCAAGGACTTGAGGAAGCCTTCATCCAACAGTGGACAGATCATGGCTGCCGACGATGATATTGATGATGTATGCATGTTGAACTTCTTTCGCGCCATATGTAGCAAACGGTGCTAACCGGAGGTGCGGGGGAAGGAAAACAACCTAAACATGAAGAGCAGTTAGAGCAAATTACGAGTAAAAATTGTAAACCTACTGTGTTCTCCGAATTCACGTGAATTTTATCGGAGCAGTATTTGTCATTTTGAAACTTGAAGAGTGTAAATTACGGTGCCAAGTGGGTTCTGAGGTCAGAGTTACGAGCCAGATCCTGGGTCCGAATCCAAGCAGCTGCCTGTACAGGAATAAACTGGGCTCTAGTGAGAGTTTATGGTTTCAGCCTCCGCACAGAGTACAGTAACAAAATCCCCTACAATACTAAATTTGGTTGTCTTTAACTTATCCAAATGTATCTCTAAGAATCAAAAACGTCGCCTTGACGACAATACGACGGGCTGTCAATCTGCAGCAGGGTGGGCGGAAAAATGCGGCCCGCTACTTTGTGGACCAGAGGTTGCTCGAAAAGACCTCGGAAGTAGTTCTGCGATCTCCTTCCATGGGCTCCTCTCCAGCACGCTTGAATCATTCTCTAATACAAGGGGGAGGGGGGGGGGGAAGGGGGTTGCACAGTTCTATGAGAGTTCCAAATGGAATCTTGGCCTCATGATGAGGCACTGACTTGATAGCACAATCGGTGTCATATTGAAAACTAAAAAAAATAATATCCATTTGAAAACTCATCTCTTTAGAACTGCTTTCTGCGTTTAGTTTGCTGTCCTTCTCACGCACCTCCGATTTGACACGGTTGGCCATGTACGGTGTGAAAGAACTTCAACATGCGTGTACAAATCGTGCAATAGAGATTTTTTTTTTTACCCATGACACGTGCATGGATAGCACAATCGCGACAATATTAACCAATCTATTCTACGGCAACCATCAACGCTGGCGGCAACGCAGCCTTCTCTTGACAAGCCGCGCACGCCAGTTCACAGCTACAAGCGGCGCCACACCAAAGACGAGCAAACTCGGGGACGCTTCCCCTGTGACCCCAGCGACCCCCTCGCCCCCCGTCAGTAGTACCTCTGGCCGATCTCCTCGCACCAGGGCCCCCACATGGAATGGAAGCACATGAGAGTGCCGTCCTTGTCGAATATCACGAGGGCCGGCTCGTGCTCCGAGGGCGGCATGGGGCAGCCCTCACCGCCCACCACCAGCTCGCCCTCCTCCACCACCGCCGACTTGACCCCGGCTGCCATGGGTTCCACGTGCCTCCGCTGCTGCTGCGCGTGCCGGTCGTCCCACACCGAATAGGGGCCCTCCCCCGTCGTCTTCAGGGAGCCATTGGCCACGCCCATGAACCTGGGTTCATCTGCAAACACAGCCAGACGTGGTGCAGCGAAGAATGCAGAAGCAGTTGGGAAAAATGTGTTTTCTCACAGCGATATGTATGGACAGTAGTCGCTCGAGGGATACGCTCTGGAGATGCTCGCGAATATCTAATTTCCCGGAAAATGTTATTGAATTATCTTCAACAAATACATAAATAAGCTGTAAAAAAATGTTATAATAAACAAGTATAAAGTAAATAAATGTTTTATATTAAAGTATTAAATTACAGTTGTTGTATACTGAACTTCTTGGAAGCTTCTAGAAGTCATCTCGTACGCGCAACATCTGCAGATGCTTCTAAAGCTTCGAGAAGTTCTCTCCCTCTCATCTCTTTATCTCATCCCTTTCTATCTCTCCCTCCCTCTCTCTCGATGCAGTCGTGCAGAAATCCAGATGCGATTCATGGATAGCTAAAATTGCGGAACGCAAGTTTGCGTCTAACGACGGAACTGTACATTTGTCATCATGATGCTTGGTATTGTATTGTTTTAAATACTCATTGCAATAATGACGTAACTACAGTGGTGTAAAATATACAGTACTAGTTGTTAAAGGCTAATGTAAAAAAAAATTGTGAATGTCACTGACAATTGTGCATGTTTCACAACAACGAACAAAGTCTTAAAAAAAAAAACACACACATTTTGAAAGTACTCAGAGCTGGCACGAATGCACACCTTTGACGCCGCAAGCAAATTTCACGAGCAAGGCGAAACCCCTTTGAGCACAATCACCTCCTGAGCTCCGACAGAATTCCATCCACATGCATCTAAATCTCACGTCTCGCCTGCTTGCCGATGCGTTCGCACATGGCCGGCAAAAAAGTGATAGCAGCGACAAACAAAAAACGGCACAAGGGGGAGAGCTTGTGAGCGCGTGCCTAGAATCGATTCAGTGGCTATGGTGCACGAAGCCGAGGTACCGCAGCCGGTCATACCGCACACCGACGCAAACTTTACACATCCCGTATCTTTGCCAAGTTGACCCGGTCACCTTTTGTGATTCAGACGGAGCCACGACCTTGCGTACAAGGGAAACCACTGACACGGCGCCCATCGGAGGTGGCCGCTTCCCTCGGGGCCTCTCAATGGCAACCACGAATGGAACTCTCGCTAGTGGAGCACACATCTACGCGTGATCGCGTGCGTGCGCGTAGTGTCTATGTTACTACTCTACGGTGTACCAGTCGCAAGTCAAATGACACGTGCGGCTTTTATGGCATCACCATGCACAGTCAGCACTGGGAGGGAAGCAAAGCACTGCAGCTGACATTAAGCCACAAATATGAGGGGATGGCACTCAAACATCTTAGCACAGATGCAATCAATACACTTTCTCTAATGCTATGCCGTGGCCAACCTGCAGTGCAGAGAGTCGGAGAGTGTCACAATGCTGTGCGATGCAACAGCCCTCGCCTCGAAAGCACCGCATTACAGACGTGCACCGGTAGGCTTTGCTCGATAAAACTTCTAGACTTTACAGTTTTTTTTATTCATATTTACACTGGGATGCTGCTGCAGTTTAATGGTTATCACCCTGGAACTACAATCCAAATGGTTCAATCAGATCCCCCGGCACAGCAATTGAAACAATGGTCCAAATTTATTGAACAACCCCCCCCCCCCACCACTTCTGTTCAACCAGCAGTGTAAATGGGTGCACGACAATTCGTCAGTCGGCAGGCCACATGCGGCAGCGGCAATGGGGTCAAGTGCGGGTCACTCCCAAAGACGCCTGGTTATTGTGGAAGAGTAGGCCAAAAACATGTTGTCGAGGGGCTCTCCAGAGCTCCCTCTAGCGGAGGCCCCTTTTAATTCCAGGAGTTGGAAAACATTTTAAGGACTAATAACAATTCTCATAAGTTAGTACCTACGATTCTACGGGTTTTCCGTCCAGCCATACTGTGATACATTTATGATTCCAAGTGTCTGGCGTTAACAGTATTAAATGTCGGAGCCAGTATAAGTTATCTTTAGGAAACATAGGGTTTGGTGATAACACACGAGGCAAATGTGTAATTTTGATGCATCGTTGTTAATGACTAAAGGCTCAGAGAGCCAGGCAAAGCCAGCACTTGGACTCTTGCAAGGTTCAGTGTTAATACCCGAGGATCAGAAAGATTCTCTAACAGCAAAGACACAGGGAACCACCTATTCCTCATGTTAAAGAGATAACGGACAGCTTCTTGGTCACGCATTTGAGGATAGCATCACAGGCAGGACCACATCAGTCAAGAGAAATGGAGCAAAGCACTAAGGCAGTGTGCCCAAGATCCCATGGCATTATTCAAAATAGAATGGGTCCCGTGAGCAAGCGTCAGGATCCAAATTTGGCAAATAAATGACCCACAAATAACTCGACTGGGACAACGCATATCAATAACCGCCCCTCAAAGTATAAAACTACTTCAGACTGTCAGTGAACCAGCGCCTCCGTGATAGACCTGCCCTCTAAGAATGGCACGAAGACCACATGTGCACTTGTGCCTCAGCAAGAAGGGCCAGGGTTAAATTCAACTCGGGTACTATATACCTGGTATTAGTAAAAACAACCAAATCGTGAGAAACTAATCTCAAAATGACTCAATTGGGATTACACGGGGCAACACGAATACTTCCTGGGGAAACTTGACAGGGACCCTCCTTACTAAGATACATTGAGACTCATTGAAGATTTCCCCTATAAGCAGCGTATTGATAATAAAAAACACACATTTTCTCACGCGAACATATTTCGAAAAAACGGACGAAATGTTTGATCGAGAACTCGGAGGCAAAGTTGAAAGAGCATTGGTTCACTCGTGTAACAAAAGACCACACTGCAGTGTAAATCTATACTCGGTCAACACAAGTTTCCTTTTATGTCCTGTTGTTCTGGCACCGATCTCCAAGGCACTACTAATCTCAATGCAGATGCACAAACAGCAGGTGAGTTTATTATTGCAGATTTTATTTCAATTTTTTTTAAATAAGCCCGAGGGCCCATTGCTATTTTTTATGTTTGTTTGTTTGTTTAAAACACATGCTGCGCTCTGCCCTAAACCGTGTTTGGACAACCACTGATCTCATTTCCTTTGTCATTATTATTGGCATGAGTAAAAAAAAAACAACACAACTACAGAGAAACATGGGCATTTGGCTTATTGAGAGTTAAACGGTTAGGGGAACATACAAACTACGTGCTCACAAAATACAATAATTTAATACCGTATTCTCTGGATTAAAAGATTAACGTATTTTTCTCCTTGTATGTTAAAGCAAAGGTTGTGATAACGTCTTATAAGGTGTGTGTGCGAGAGAGAAAATATTTATTTCACCTAATTCACAACAGAAATAACTTTGGGGTGCGTCTTACTTTTCAGGGCGTCTTATAGTCCCCGCGGGATATTGTAACAGTTGTATTTTTAAGCAATTAGCTATTACCAGATATATTCAACCCCTTTCATTAAAAAAAAAAATTTAGGGAGGTGAAAAAATCGTTTCCAGAAAATTATGAATCTCTTTTTAAATGTATGAGACTTAACAACCCACGCACAGATGTGCAAAGCGTGTACGAAAAAAAAAAATCTCAGCCTTATCCAGACCACCTGCTCGAGAGAACTGGATGCATGGCCATTTTGTTTCATGCCACCAACTGAAAGGGTTGAGAAAATGGGGTCAACCAACAAGGCAGCAGTGAAAAAAAAGACAACTGTAGACCAGTTTCACCCTTACTAGAACTTATCAGTACAGTAGCGATCAATGTTCACCGCTGTCAAATGCCTGTGGTTTCTAATTTTAACTTTACTTAAATAATTTCTGGTGCGATTGGTTTTCTCCTCATTTACGGATTTGAATTATAAATGTATTTTTGGAAAGACAAGCCTTCCTTTGTCACGCATGTATTAGTGGAAAGCCAAGCCTAGTCCCAATAGGGCTAATTAAAGACGCGATTATTTCCTTCAGAAGGGACGTGGCCTGGTGAGTTAAGGGAACCCGAGATGGCACTGCTGGGATTCATCCTTTCAAAAATGAGTTTCAGCCACCCCAGGGTACCAACAACCGCACACAAATAGAAACTGCGAATTAACCTAGACCTGAGGATTATAATTTCAGTTTTATTGGCGTCATTAATATCGCGATGGCATAGCATGTGGGATAGGGAATGTGTTGGTGATACTGCATTGGCAGTGCAGGCCAAAACACGAATTGTTGCGTTTTTGTTATACTGTACGTGGAAGGTCACCGAAAGAGATCTCAGCAGTAGTTCTGCGACATCTCCTTCCACTGCCCGTTGTCCAACATCGGATGTGGCACTGCTCTATGAGCGTTCAAATTACATTCGTTTCATTCTGTGGCACTGACAGTGCAGTTGGAATAGCAGACGGCAACATAAATGTATTTTAAAGTCGTTGCCAGAAGCACAATTTATATGCACAGACAGCCCTATGTAATTCTAGATTTGAAGCTTTTGTGACTGCAAGGATTCATATTCTTAGGTTTTTTCTGTAAAGTCAAGTAGGTAAAACATTAAAATTAATTAAAAAACGTCGTGATTTTTATTTTAATTTTACTTTTATTAATTTAATGTTTTACCTACGTGACTTTACCGAAAAAACCTAAGAATATAAGCCCTGTGTAAAGTACGAATCTTCAGCAGGGAGAGTTTACACAAATATTCTCCACACATTACAGCTGTGGCTTGGTTCAAGATCACTCTATGGAGACAAAAGTATACACTAGCCCTTACACCAGAGCTTCAGTTCAAAAGTATACAGCGTTCCATTGGTCAGCTGGTGTGATGTAACCTTAGAGGGGACTTGATAGCGTATGCGTGTGCAACAGCACAAAGGCATGAATGACAAGTGTAAAAGTTACTGGTACGAACAAACGTGAATGTGCAGAGTCATTCTTTACTCACAAGAGCCATCGTTGCAAAAGGAAGGGCTATTGATCGTAGGACCTTACCGAAAGTGGATGGGGCTGGGTGGATGTACAGCTGGCCAGGAAATGTGCATTGTGCAGGGTAGCTCGGCTCATTACAATTCAAGTACACTCCACGACGGCTTCACACCGATTGAACGTTTCAAGGGCCTGCGTCGAATGAGTGGAACAGCGAAGTTCATTGAGAGCCCCTTCTGCCAACATCATCTTCTATTGCTGACCCCTAGAGTTGCACTTAACCTCCCCCACGACCCCACCCAAGAAACACGGCTCCCTGAAAGTGATGAAACTTTGCGCCTTGGTGTCACCATCGCATCTCGATTCTACGAGCAGAGCACACTCGGCCCACAAATGTTCATACCATTTGTACGCACGTTCCCTCTGTGCGCATGTGTGTGTGTTTCCATACAATAGAGAGCGGCAACGTACTAAATTTCAACAATGTACAATGCGTACATGATTTTAGGAATACAGCATATGTTTCCCAAATTGTTCATACCATTTTTTATGCACGTTTCTCTGTGTATTTACATATACACCAAGTGACTACCACCACCTACTAAACTTCAAAAATGTATACTATATACGTGTGTACTGCATACAGGAATTAGTAAAGATAACATCTTCTGGATAGTAGCCCTCTTCATATGTAATAGTAAAATGACTTCTGGCCACGTTTTTTTTTATATATAAATGAGGACATCTCTTCAACACACACACATTGGCAATAGTTGTTTAGTGAATTCAATTCACCGTTTGACAGTTTAAATTAACGCATTGTGCAAATATACTTTGTATATACGAGTCCTAACACCTGTCCAATTAACACAATTATCTACGCGAAATTGAAGACTGGACTTTGCAATACGATTCCGAAGAGAATGAGCAAAGACATTCGAGAACGCAACACAAGCATGGCTGAGCATGCCAATAGAAAGGGAAGTATGAAGGCAGCAACAAAATTAGGTTGATGATCGGTAACTCACAAATGAAAAAGCCCCAAGAGAGAAATATGAAAGCATAATGTGATTAGAGATTTAATCATACAATTATTGTAAAAAAAATTATACGTAACTCTATGGGTAAAAAAGTATATGCCCAGCCCCGAAATGATGTTCCAGATGTCACACTTGAAGCAGTCAAATGTGCCTTGCACAATATGAAACAGGACTAAAGCTACTTGACAAGGATGGCATAACTTCTGGACATCATCAAAGCAGCGGGACCAAATGTCTGGAACAACATTTTCAGACTTGTTCACGATATGTTCACGCAGAAATAAACCATATCGATAATGAATTACTACAGATCGATTACTCTTCCATTCAAAGAAGGGAGGTAAAGCCGACGTGAAAAACAAGCCCCATCATTAGACACGCGTATAGAAATTGTTCACCGAAATCATTGGAAAAATTAAACAAGAGTAAAACAGACTGGAGGTGAAAAAATTAGCAAGCAGGGTTTAGGAAATGTTTTTCTACCAAACCACATACATACTATTTATGATAAAGTATTCTGGAAAAGAACAATGAGCTTCAAGTATACTGTAAAAGCATTTGACTCAAACAAGGCTTGCCTAACAGATGTTCAAAAGTAATAAAAACACGTAAAAACATAACAGGCACCCCTAAAGTTTCATGACGAAAGTACAAAAATGCATGTTCAAAGAAGGGTAAGACGTTTCCCACAAATTGGATTGGAGAACATAATGACTAAAAAGATCAAGGAGAGGGTAGTAGCTTCGCAATGCTTTTGGAAAGCTGACGTTAATCATGAAAGAAACATGCCTGTGTGCCTAATGAAGAAGTGGTTTAATAAAATGTGTACTACTAGTCACCCTGCCATATGGTTCAGGAAAAAGATGGCCATTACCACTGTTACATTGCTTTGATAGCTTTATTTTGGTGATTTCGAAAACGTTTTGGTTTAGCCCCATATTTGTTTGTTGTAGTACAGAGTTAGACTGATAACTTTAATCTAAATTATCTTATGGTTGTTATTGTTTGACTTGCATCCCACTGGGATTTTGTACACAGCATTGATATACGGTGCTTTATCTGGAAGACTTTGCCGTTTTTTCCTGGATTTTTCTGTTTGCGCGTAGCAACTTTAAGATGTTTCTTGCTCATGTTTTTGTTTGTTGCGGTTACACCCGATTCAAGAGCCGAATGGCTCACAGGGCTATACCAAATAAAATGAAACTGAAACATGAAATAGAACAAAAACTACAGAACACAAACTAGCATAGAGAGACAGATGCACGCTTGGAATGACAGTATAACGAGAAAGGCAAACACGTGGATTAAGATAATTCATTCAAGATTAATTCATGCGGTAATTCAAACGGTTAGGCAAGCGAGGCATGGGCAAGGGACAGCATCTCTCGACTGCTTGATACAGCTGATGATCAAGGCAGGAGGCGAATCCAGTGAATGAAACACGTGAGAGAAAGCGCATCGGTCACGGAGACTGGAGCAATGAAATCAGCTGGTGTGTGGCGCAAGGTAGATCATTATCACATAGTGATGTGGCGTTGTATTGGGGAAGACTTCATCAAGAAGCGGAGTAATCATGGCTCATGGTGACGATGATGATTATGTGCTGGACATATGGAATTAACAGGCGTCTAAGACATACGGCACTTTTCATCACGTGCAGTTTGAATGAGGCAATTATCATGTCACCCATCGTAATGTTGCTACGAATACCATTCATGCGGGACCGTAACACGCCAGTAGCCGGTATACTTTGAATAAGAATAAAAACGAGACGACATTCACGTACGACAAACACCACACACACACAGACGCATGCCGATATTCCTTTATAATGCCGTACGAGTGTGTATCAACCGGACACATTTGACGCGGACTGGCAGTGCGTGTGCGTCGCCGTCTTACTTACAGTGAGCAGAGGGCATGTTGTTGTTACATGACGTCCTTCCCGGTGGCAACAGCACATCTGCTACAAACACCAACGAGAGAACGCAAACCAACGTGAAACAAGACAACCCAAATGTCGAGCGACCACGCGGCAACGAACAGCCGAGAGTCGAACGCCATTAAAGAGCCCTCCTATGAAAACGAAGCGGGCTGCTTTTGTTGTTGTTGTTTAGTTTAAAAATAATTTGTTTGTTTTTACCCATGGCTCAGAAGGTGGTGGTGGTTGTGGTTGTTACGCAGGCCTCGGTGGCTAGGGTATGATCGTGAGGCCTCTATCTCGGAGGCTGCCACAGTCTGCGAGAGAGCCGGCTTGCGTGGGACCAGCCGGCTCCTGACACCCACCGCAGCTTTATACAACAGCAGCGCAAACAGCTGACACGGCAACACGAACACGCCCACTGCCCACGGGTCGCAGCAAAGGGGCGGAAACCGGAGTGGCGGAGGGTGGAACACGGAGTGGCGGGGGGTGGAACACGGAGCCGGCGCAGTGCCCTGGCAGCAGCAACAACAACCCGGGAAGGATGTTAGATCCGCGATGGCACACGGAGCCGAGCTGAGCTGCGTTCATTTGGGGTCTTTCGGTAAAGTCAATTTATTTTACTTTTATTAATTTTAATTTTTCGGTAAAGTCACTTTATTTTACTTTTATTAATTTTAATTTTTTTTTACCTACGTGACTTTACCGAAAAAAACCTAAGAATGTGAATCTTTGCAGTCACGAAAGCTTCAAATCTAGAATCACGTAGATAGGTAGAAGGGAAATAATAAAAGAAAGCAATAAAATTCTCATTATCACACGATGATGATTGCTTGTGTTGCAATCGAAACGTCGTGAGAATTTTATTGTTTTATTTTTATTTTATTGTTTTATTTTTATTATTTTATTATTTTCCTTCTACGTGACTTTACCGGAAGAACCAAGAATATGAATCCCTGCAGTCACGAAAGCTTTAAATCGAAATTTCACGTAGGTAGGTTCAAAGAAAATAACAAAATAACATAAAACTACGACGTTTCGATCGCAATACAAGCGGTCTTTGAACCCATCTACGTGACTTTACCGAAAGAGAAAATAATATGAATTCCTGCAGTTACGAAAGCTTTAGGTCAAGATTTCATACTCGTTGGTTCTTTCGATGAAGTCACGTAGGTATAAAAAATAAAATAAAACAAAAAATAATAAATCACGACGTTTCGATCGCAACACAAGCGGTCGTCCTCAAGCGGAAAAAAATAATAATCCAGAAGTTCCACTGCTCAGCAGGATTATTCAGCATTCCATTATTCCACTGCTGGGTCATTATTTTAAACAAAATTCCGCCTGAGGACGACCGCTTGTGTTGCGATCGAAACGTCGTGATATATTATTTTTCGTTTTATTTTATTTTATTTTTCTACCGACGTGACTTTACCGAAAGAACAAAAGAGTTATTTCGGTAAAGAAAGAACTCTTTGCCTGCAGTCACGAAAGCTTCAAATCAAAATTTAATGTTTATTTTTTAAAGTGCGCTCTAGCCAACGATGTGAACGCGACATCCAACGTTCTGTAACGATCACCTAATTATTTGGTTATTATATATTTTAATTGTTGTTATGTCGTTATAAATCAAGCCGACTCCTTTCACTGCATTATTGCGGATGTATGTGTGGCAGGGCAGAGTTGTTGTTGTGTGTGTGTAGCGATTAACAGCGCTACGCTGCACTACGAACCTGGCGACCCAGTGGCGATTATCTGAACCGGTCCTGCGCCTCCTCCTAGGTCGACTCAGCCTCAAAATTAGTCGCCGGTGCGGTGTGTAGTAAACATCGCCGCGGGGAAGACAAAGGCGGCCGGGCGTGGTGTTGGCCACTCGCTAAACAGCACTTGCCCCTAACGCTCTGCTGCAGGCTAATACGATGGGTGGGGGATCTTTGTGTTACACTCGACAAGGAGATGGCGTAGTTGTTAATATTTGCGTGTACAGAGGAGAGAGGCTGTAACAACGCAACGTTTGATTCTGCCGTTGTTGAATGGTTTTAACGCAACGGACTTCTTGCACATCGAGGGGTGGTGCGGCACGTGTCCAATCCTCGTGGCCATGAAAATTGATGAGGATTTGACAATGGTTGTTGAATCTTGATTTAAAGCTTACGTGACTGCAGGAATTCATAGTATTTGCTTCAAGCTTTTAAAACAGTCTGCCTCATCAGCTTTCCCCCTCTTTTTTTTCTTCCGGATGACGATCGCTTGTGTTGTGATCGAAACGTTGTGGGTTTTTTTGTTATTTTTTTTGGTGATTTTCTTTGAACCTATCTAGGTGACTATAACGAAAGATCCAAAGAAAATGGTTGTTGAGTTCATCATCATCATCATAATCTTTTATCTTGACTTAAAACTTTCGTGACTGTAGGAATTAATAAACAAAAACCCACGACGTTTCGATCGCTTGTGTTGCAATCGAAACGTCGTGGTTTTTTGTTTATTTTTATAAATTTGAACCTACCTACGTGACTTTACCGAAAGACCCAAAGAATATCATCTTTTTTTTAAAATCACCCCTTATCCAAAAATATTCTGATCAGCTGGTGACGACTGAAAGAAAATTATCTGTTACTTTTTAGTGCACTTTTAAATAAAACCGTTGTCTTTTAAAAATAAAATGTTCAGGAGTTTATTTTTAAATCACCCCTAGCCTCTGCTTTCCCAGCCCGTGCTATAAACGGGTACAATATGCAGGCACCGCACTAAGTTGATACACCGGGTAGCGTGCGGCGGGGGCAGAATGTGGGTACCGCCACCGCTTTCAGAGACGTCTTAACCATCGTGGAAGAGTAGGCCAATGTACAGGGTAGTCCAGATGCATGGGCGGAATTTACGAGAGTGGGCTAAGACTCCTGCCCCCCCAAACTGGGCATCTTTAAAAATTTATTTTCAGTAGTTTACAACAAAGATAAAACAATCATTTTAATAATATTCACCCGCGTTTACTCATGTGAGGGACAAAGCGAACCACTGCCCCCCCCCCCAAATATAGAAGTCAAACTCCGTCTATGTCCAGATGTCTTGTGACCCCCATTTCTCGACAACTTAATGTATTATTTTTAGGTGAGATTTATTTAAACAGACGTGGATATGCAAAAAGGGGGGGGGCAACTTTTTTATGGGTCAATTAATTTGGGGGGGGGGGTCACAAGACATCTGGGCCCACACCATATACTACTCTTTGGGTCGTCTAGAGATCTATCTGTCGGAGGCCCTTCCAAGTGCAGGCCTCTTACACATCGCCACTGTTCGGACAGAAGCGATTTATTTAAACAGACAGGGATATGCGAAAGGAGGGCAACATTTTGTATGGGTCAATTAACTGGGGGTCACAATACATCTGGACCCACACCGTGTACGTCTCTTTGTAGGGGGCGGTGGCCGTTTCGAGATCCCATCTCAAAGAGGCCCTTCCAAGTGCAGGCCTCTTACTGTTAGGATTGAAGGGACACGTGCATATTTTTTTAAATTCCTTTTTTTGATTATCACCCCGCAGGCTGTGATGGAAATGTTATTTTAGCACCTAAGTTAAGCCTCAAACGAGGTTCGTGTGCGAACGTGTTCGCCCAGTCCCCGCTTGCGTAAATACAAATGCCCGATTCTGGATTGTAAGGTGCTTGTGTTTAAAGTGTGAGTAATGTTCGCTTCAGGACAAAATGTTTTTATTTGACAGGAGCATCATCGTGAAACACCCAACCGAGCTATTACACCACCGCCACAACAGTTCCACAAAATAACCGAGAAGTCAAAACACATTGTTAAAATGTGTTTTCACATCTTACGCTGGCAAACGTCAGAATCGGAATCTTTATTTATTTTATAACTAAGGGGGCCCCTTAGTAAAATGTGGCTTTGGGTGGCACAGCAGACGTCAGAGCGTGCAGTTGCTGCGTTTGAATCCAGGTTTTAGCCACATGTGGTTAAACTGCGTTCTCTAGGGTAGGGAGTTGATCGTCTCAGCACACTTGCCAATGATTGCGCTAAGTCCAAAAAAATTCCCCCCTATACCCTTAACAGACTGTTGGGGCAAGTTCTGTTAGCGAGTGCCTATGAAGGCCGGAAGCACACACGAAGGAGGTGGGTGGCCAGCACCACGCCCGCATGGGCACACACGTGACGAGTCATGGGCGGATGGATGGTGTATCGAGTGCTCATGGGTCCCAAGCCATCACTGATCACACAAAAAAGTGAGCTCCTTGGAATAAAACACTGTTTTGAGTCCGTTGTAAAACTGGCTCGGATTTAATGATGGCTGATACAATTATTTTGGGTTAGATCGCGTAAATATTTAAATGTGTCGTTGAACCCATCACCCGACGGCCAATTAGTAATTATTGTCATGTTCTGTTTACGTGACAAACCTTACTAATTGGCCATGTCGGGTGGTGTCGGGTTTAACGACACATATTTACGCGATCTAACCCCCCAAAAAACCTGTATTATGGATGATATTGGTCGTGAAAGCCTGCTGCGTGTTAAACTCAACGATGGCTCCCGGACATCTGCCGGTAACCGGTTCCAGGTGTTGGGGCGAGAGACCCTGAAACTGCACTGGCCGTACCGCATGGATACATTTTAGATGCGAGAATTAAAATTGTCAGTGTGACTGCCATGCGATGGATATCACTCTCGGTGGCAGAGTGGGTTGGGGAAGTGCTGGCCACTACTAACTGGACCAGGTTATTTGGTGCTGCTGCTGTTGGCAGTGATATACAGGGACAATAAATAAGTATAACCCGTAAAAACAAGTTTTTCACTATAAATCCTTTATATGCGTGGCGGATAGAGTCCTCTCGTCCTCTGGCTTGAGATGGCTGCCACCTATGGGTCAGATGATTGTTTGCCAGTATTAAGCAATTGGTAATTAAATATTTAATTTGTTTTCCCTAAACAGTGTAACATTTTGAGAAAAAAAAAATCACGAACATTAATTGTCTCGCACAACGAGTCTGTGTGCAAAATGTCAGCTTGATTGGATCACGGGAAGTGGGTTAAAAAACGACCGAAAGATTTGCACAGTCGTAAGCAAGCAAGCGAACTTAATATAAAGGATTTTAAAAAAAGCAACACACTTGTCAAAAACACTACCTTGCAAGAAAAACTATAGAATGGACGACATTTTGGGCAATGCCCCCTCCATTTATGTGGTACTAGCGGGAAGTACCCGGCGTTGCCCGGGCGAAAAAGACAGACACACACATCGACCTGCACACACTTACAGACATTGACCCACACACACAAAGACATCGACTTACACACACACATATGGACTCATACACACAGACATCGACTTTAGATACACACACATGGAGTTACATGGAGTTACATGGACTAACACACAACACATGCACCTACACACACACACGCAAAGAAATGTGGTATGAAGAAGGATAATTGCCCGTAACCTAACCAGTCACATAGTTTGACCTTTTAAGGCAGTATACTCTTTGGTTCTTTCGGTAAAGTCACGTAGGTAGATAAAAAATAAGAGATCACGCACGACGTTTCGATCGCAACACAAGTGACCGTCATCAGGTGAGACAATCACAGCCATTCAAATGAGACAATCAACTGCCTATTTTAGCAGTTTCCCTGGTGTGATTTTCTCACCGGATGACGATCGCTTGTGTTGCAATCGTAACGTCGTGATCTATTTTTTTCTACCTACGTGACTTTACCGAAAGAACCAAAGAGTATGGATTCCTGCAGTTACGAAAGCTCCAAATCCAGATTTTAAGGCAGTGTTATTGACGAATATGTTGAGTTTGATTAGACCAGACAGTAAATTTAATTGGATGTCAGACGTAGCTCTGTGGTATCCACCTTTGTATGGCCGTTCTCCAACACGAAGGCTCTTGCGAAACATCGTAATGGATACTTGGCCTCATAACGTAGCTGGTTGCGATGGTTCATTGGGGCAACTTAGGGGGGAGTACCCACACTTTACCCCACCACATGCGGACATACCATTGAAATCGACCAACTGTGGTTGGGAGGGTGATTTATCAACGTAAAAACACATTAATGGAAACATAAGTTGAATAATATAGATCAAATATTACTTATCGGTGTAGCTTGTACGCCAGTGGAAGTGCCGAATGCTGATGATCCTTACTCCAAACCAGCTGAGCAGCGTTCCGGAAAACATCTCGTGGGAAATAAAACCCTGCATGTGTGTATGGTGAGCTTCTTTCGCACCGTACATAACCAACCGTGCTAATCGGATATGCGGCTTAAGGGCAACAAACTAAACACAAAAAGCAGTTTCAAAGAAAAGAGTCTGTAACCTAGCTGTAAAAGTGCTCACGCATTGCGTAGCTCCCAGCGCATGTGTAGAATGTTCTTAGAGTGAACATGCCGAGCGCAGAGAATGCGTATTTCGTGATTAAGCCGAGGTTGCACCCCCTGGTGACATTCCTGACCACACACGAGGCCTCGGCAAGGTAAGGTAAAAACAACGAGCCTACCTTTACCCTACCTTTCACCTTACCACAATACAATCACTCTACCCTTAACTTTTATCCTTTAGCAAGGTAAGGGAAAATGTAAATAGCAACGTGCCTACCTTTACCATACCTTTTACCCTTACCCCATAAAAATTACCCGATTACAGGGTAATTACTGGGCCACTACACATTATGGTTTATAACAGGTAAATGCTAGGTAGAGCGCTTTATTAAATCCTTTATTAAATCCTTTATATTAAGTTCACTTGCTTGCTTGTGCGCTTACGACCGTGCAAATCTTTCGGTCGTTTTTTTTCCCGTGATCCAATCGAGCTGACATTTTGCACACAGACTCGTTGTGCGTGACAATTTATTTTCGTAAAAATAAAATTCAAAATTTTTACACTTTTAAAGAAAAAATAAATTATATTTAATTACCAATTGCTTAATGGTGGCAGGTAATCATCTGACCCATAGGTGGCAGCCATCTCAAGCCGGAGGACGAGAGGACTCTCGCCGCCACGCATATAAAGGATTTATAGTGAAAAACTTTGTTTTTACGGGTTAATTTTGTCATATAGAATACTCTCGATGATTCCAATTTTAAATGGAGGCTACGGACTGCGCCACGGAGCTTTTAGCGAGCGGTAAACAATGTATTTATAATACTTCACGCTACCTTTACCCTACCCTTTACCCTACCCCTTGGCATGTCGACACTTTTACCCTTTAACCCGGTAAAAAGGGTAAATTACCTTACCTTGCCGAGGGCGGCCACACACCTGTCCGTCTGGTTTGACGAGAAAGGGGACAACATTTACGTAAATGCTTCCTGGTTCTCGTGGGGTGCAGAGGGCCTGCGTTTATGGGTGTTTACAGAGTTCGAGCAATACGATCATTTCAGAAGAAACGAAAACGAGCAAACCATTTAGAGGCGGGGGGTTTACTCAAAATTGTAACGAGTAAAACGATGAATATGATGTACTGGTAGGTGTCGGGTCTGTTTCATAGTCGAGTCTAAGTTGGTTATCAGCTTCACAGAGCCGGTCATGCTGATTCTGAGTCGGGCCCTCGAGTTTGCCATCAGCGCAATGTGCTTCCACCGCATGTGCGCGGTGACTCTCGATGCAATTCTTGATTCTTACGACTGCTCCAAGCAGGTAAGCTTGAAATGCACTGTTAACCATCACGCACATCCCTCCCTCCCTCCATATACAATCGTGTGTTTATATATAACGCGTAATATTGATGTGTGCACGGATATGTTTGTGCAAGTGTCTTCAAGTGAATGTGTAACCAACGCTGTTTCTGTCGCATGTGGTTTGATCGCGGCTGGCAGGATGTCAACTGCACGATACAAAGTAAGTGAATTCGTATTTGCACAAACGCCATGTGTGTTGCGTCGCGAACCTGTGTAAGACGGGATATTGTTGTTATTGGTACGTCGTACGTCGAGACATATTCAACATGTATACCCAGTCTAAACAACTACGTTCAGCCCGTTTGCCACTCCACTGCTGGATGAGTCTCCCTCCCCACGTCGTGTAGGAAATGACCATACTTCACCACGCTTGTGACTGCGGGGTGGTGAACGTCGGGGTAGAGTCGAGTCCGTAACAATTTTCTCTACTGCCCTCCACCGTTGGCAATGCCTACTGCACCTGCTTTTGGGAATGGTGATCACTCATCCAAGAATGGTACGGACCCCAAACTGCTTCGCATTCTGAGGGTTTGACAGGGTCTGGGATATTCCTGGGCGATTTGGTCATAATTCTTTGACAATTACTAATAGTTTAATTTTATTTCTAGTCCTTTACACTGTACCTCTAGTAATGGAATACTATGCAGCCATTATACTAATGCAAATAAGTGAATTCCGATTGGATGTGTAAGGACAATAAAATTAACCCGTAAAAACAAAGTTTTTCACTATAAATCCTTAATATGCGTGGCGGCTAGAGTCCTCTCGTCCTCTGGCTTGATATGGCTGCCACCTATGGGTCAGATGATTGCCTGCCACCTATGAGCAATTGGTAATTAAATATTTTAAAAAAATTCCTAAAAAGTGTAAAATTTCGGAAAAAAATTTTCACGAAAATAAATTGTCACGCACAACGAGTCTGTGTGCAAAATGTCAGCTCGATTGGATCACGGGAAGCGGGTTAAAAAACGACCGAAAGATTTGCACGGTCGTAAGCAAGCAAGCAAGTGAACTTAATATAAAGGATTTAAAAATAGTCATTGTGTCTACAAGTATTTCAAGATAGTCGTGTAACTACTATCCTGCAACACCAGTATGGTGACTTAAAGCTTTCGTGACTGCAGGAATACATATTCCATTCTTGGCTGATTGCTTGTGTTGTGATCGAAACGTCGTGATATTTGTATTATTTTTCTATCTACGTCGCTTTACCGAAAGACCCTTAGAATATGAATACCAGTATGGTGGGTATTGAAAGTACAACCGTAAAAATGTTATACCACACTGCTTTTGAGTAGTAGCCTAAACAGCAAGGCCGTAATTATTATAATATATTAAAATGTCCCCCTGATATATTGCTATAAAATAGATTTCTGTTCATATGATTGTGGTTATGGTTGTACTTTATTAATCCCTAATCTCTGCCATTACATACAATGAAACAAGAAAAGGTAAAAAAGAAAAAACAGAGCAATGTAATACAATACACTATTAGACATTAATGTAAAAAATAAATATAAAGTCCATCCTATGTGTTAGTGATTTTTTTTAATATTTTAGGCAGGAAATGGCAGGAAATTAGTTTTCAAATTTAGATTTTTTTTTCTGGGGGAGACCCCCAGACCCCTGGAAGATTTAGTCCCCCCCAATGTTGACATCATGGCTATGGCCTTGCCATAAACAGTATTAACAAAAAAAGAGCACAACTAACCCAAGTTCGCGGTGCTGATGATGCGAGTGCTGAACACTATCCGAGATGGCCCCATGTCTCCCCTCTCCACTACTTTCATCAAAACCCTCACCAATCAGTGGGGTCCAGATGTCTTGTGACCCCCCCCCCCCCCCCCCCCCCATTTATCTCTCTAAAACGTAATATATATTTTTAAGTAAGGTTTCTTCAAAGCATAAATTAACATGTAAAGGAGAGGGAAAACTATTGTTAAGGTTGTTATTTAATTTGGGGGACTGGTCACAAGATATATGGACCACACTGTAGAGCAGGGATGGGGAATCTTTTTTTCTGCCAAGGGCCATTTGGATATTTATAACATCATTCGCGGGCCATACAAAATGATCAACTTAAAAATTAGCCTGTTATATTTGGTCAAACATTTAATTAACTCACCCCTAATGTGATGGCTGGAACTGCTTCTCTTTGGCGAGGTGTGTGATGTTAGCCGGTATTGATGATGTTGCTACTCGCAACTGCTTTTCCAGGTTTGCTCCTAGAGATTTATTGAATTTCGAGTCCCGCCTGCGGTTGCCTTGGCAGGGCCACACCAAATCATTTTGCGGGCCTCATACGGCCCGCGGGCCGGACTATCCCCACATCTGCTGTAGAGTGTGGTCAAACGACCTCCTTGAAATTATGCGGCCTTTATCCAGCAATGGATTAGCACAGTGCTGTTTTTGTTTTGTAATGTTATGTATAAAGTGTTTAATACCATCGAGCTGAACTAATTATATAGCACCGCTAACGTTTCGTCTCAACACATCAGCTATAATAGTAATGTATTGCATTTACAAATTATGAACCCCTTTTTACACGCTTTTTATTAACTCATTATGTCTGTTGTTGTTGTCGTTGTTGTATCCTCAAATCTTGTAACTAAATTTTTACCCACTTCCCAATGTGGTATCGACTGCAAACTTGGTATACTTACATCATACTGAGGACAATACTATATTATATGATAAAAAATATATATATTTATTTTAAAACATTCTTTTTTGTATGTTATGTTTCGGCTTGGGTCTAATTGTCCACGCTCAACTGACGTTGGCTGTAAATCAGCACAGTCCCTTACGTTATGGCAAGCTTCGGGGCCACTTCCTGGAGTTGTGAAGTTCTCCCATTACTAGTACTGTACATTTCATTAAAGTAAAACAAAAATATGTTTCCATTTGTTTGCCTTAAAGCTCTTCCACCAAGGGATGACGGTTCTGTCTTGTGGACTCCTGGTCGACCATGGCTAGTGGTCCTTGAGTGGTCCTTGAGTCGTCAAGGGACAAACACAAGCTTGGATGCCTACCCCACCGTGCTGACTCCTGTCCTGAACATCACTTGGTGGCTACCTTATGATGGTCTGTGCAGATGTATTTGTTCACATATGTATGTGTTGGAATTAATAGTGAATTTGCCACATTTTTACTGAGAAATGTAGAAAATTACTGTAGTTCGATGCAATTGCATAGTCAAGGGTTAAGTCGAATGAGTTAAGGAATGAGTCCTTCCACAGCTGTCAAGGCAATATTTGTTGAACACGTCGGCTTTCGTGACCAATGTCATCCATGATAGAGTTTTTTTTTAGGTTAGATCACAGAAATATATATATATGTAACCCCTACTAGTTGGCTGTGTCGGGTGGTGGTGGGTTTTAACGACACATTTATATATTTACACGATCTAACCCAAAACACCACTTATGGAAGTCAGGATTCGTTTTGATTTACCAATCGGGAACTCAAGCGACTATGATTGTCTCATTTTCCAGAGTGGCCCTGACCTGGGGCATGAATCTGTCAGTAGGAAGAGTTTATTACTACGTGCAATCCCAATTGAGTGACGTGCGGGTCATTTTCAAATTTGGCAAATATGGACCCTTACAACGGCATGCAATGGTTTATTCTTGCAAATGACGTTGGGGAATTTTTAAGGTTCACTATGAAGCAGCTGGTGTGTAGTGTATGATGGTTATTTCACCCACAGTAATTACCAGGGTGGCCACTGCATCTGAACAACTAAGCCATGTCACCTCCCCAACCACTACAATTTCCATCGAGAATCTTTAAGACAATGAGTACGATCTTGAAGTATCTAATATAAAAACACAGATGTCGTGCTTTTGTGGCACATCATTGACAACAGCATACATATGTAGCACCTAAGTTGTTTCTGAACATAAAAATACTTGTTATCATTTGTGTGCTGTTTGCCAATATCATCTGAAAATCCAGCAGCAGTTGTTTAACAAATCTAACTCGTTGGATGAGACCCAGAAGGTTGGAAGTGGTCCAGAGTTTTTTGTTTGCTTAATCAAATGCTGCTGGACATAGCATGATTTCAAAGAAGGGTCATGGGCTGATGGACAAAACATTCCTACATTTCCGTATAGTAATGAATATGATGGCTGGTTGTAGGGACTTCACGTGCATTATTTATAGTGGCTTAAAGTGTGTGGAAATGAAGTGCTATAATACGGCCGAATGTTTTCTGTGATATTTTCAGACAGCATTGTTGCGCTCCAGGGAACCGAAGTTTGTGTGACAACCGGAAATGAAAATGTAACCAGATGTGTTTGGTTTGTTTATTCCAGCACACCTACAAGGGTAAGATCATTAAGAGCTTCCTTAATGTAATTCACGAAATAGCAACAACATGCATTGAAATAGGATACGACATGTTTACAAATCAATGTTTTACTTGTGGTGGCTTCATAGACTGGCACATAGTGCACGTGACTATACGATTAGGAATTTAATAAAGGAATAAAATACAATTTGTGGGTAGGCCTTCATCCAGCAGTAAATATGCAATATCTGGGCTGATCATGATTATCACTTTGGATTCATGAACTCTCTACAAATAACCACATCTCAAGACTGTGTACAAACATGGGACATGTGTACGTGTGAAAGAGTTTGAAATTAGTTTTTTTTATTTTAGAGCACAGAATTTATTTTTGAATTTCACAGGTCCGAGAGGGAATTGAGGCAACATTTATAGCAGCAGTGTGAATTCAGACACGCCATGGAGAGAGAGAGAGTTATAGGCAGAAGATAATGGAGAGAGAGAGAGAGTTATAGGCAGAAGATAAGAGTCTTGAGGTTCGACTTTAACATGTTCTCGGCGAGTACGGGTGGCCAGAAGAAAGGTATCCAAGGGAGGGAATGGAACGGTGAGGGTGATGGTGGTGATGGTAACGTTTGCCATTTCCCACAACGCAATGATTTGTAGCGATTTTATTCAAGAAACCTTTTTTTAATATTGTAGATAATTTAGGGGCCCAAGTGCCTGTATGGGACAAGTGAACTCATTACATACTCTTAGGTTTTTTCGGTAAAGTCATGTAAAACATTTTTTAATAAACGTAATTTTTTTTTTTTTTTACCTACGTGACTTTACCGAAAAAACCTAGGAGTATGAATCCTTGCAGTCACGAAAGCTCAAATCTAGAATGAACTCATTACATTTCACCTACATGAATCGAAAAACATTAATTCTGACATAAGTGATCCTAATGCATGTGACTCAAGCTCAAAAATCGATACAAATGGATGAATCCATCCATCATTACATTCCAAATATCAAGGCCAAACATATCTTGCTTCATTAACTTTTTGTTCTCAACAATTGGCAGTGTGTCCTGGAACATCTTGATAATCCCAGAAGTATTCTCATGGCAATCTCTATAGATATAAATAAAATATAACATACGTGGGTTATCGACTTTTTTTCTCGGAAAACCCTAAAAATTCTCCACATTTCCTTTTGCAGTTGGAGAGTTTTTCATTTCACGGGTTTGCAGTGGAACCATACAAACGTTACCGCGTAGACGTTTGCAACTTTCCCAAACCCGTTCCACTGGAGCCAGAAACCATTGTTCGGAGCTACTTCACCTTGCCAGGTAAAAAAAAAACCACCTGTAATCGCACCTTTTACAGCATGTCTCAGATGTTCATGAGCACTTCATATGCTTGGGGTGCCCGGGTCGATCAGAGGTCGGAGCGCTGAGCTGGCAGCACGGAGGGTCTTGGGTTTGAATCCAGGCAGCTGCCTGTGCTTAAGCCGGGTCCTCAATGTAGTGAGTTGGTGGTCTCAGCCCAGTCATCAATTGACTGCACACAAACAAAAACCCACCACATTAAATTTCGTTAATCATAATAATGGAATTCATAACGCGCCAGATTTTGCAGACAAGTCAACAACTCAGAGGCGTGGAGCCAAGCTTAGGGCTGCCCGAAAGCCTGACCAAACAGGCCTTTAGATCTACATCATGAGACCTCCTTTTCCAGTACCAAAATATAAGAAGAGGTTTTTTTCCCTTTTTTTCTGGCAACAAAACTGAAACCTTTTTACAAGGAATCATGTGTACATTAACCACAATACTTGTGGTCAGAATGCAAACACAAAACACACTCTGATAATATATGCATTGTCTTTGAAACTGATTGGTCCACACCAGAGACAGCTTTCTTTTGAGCCTCGTCTCAAACGGTGTTAGACCAGAGGACGCCAAAAGGCGTACAGCTCAAAGAAAATGCACTATCAAAGTAATGAGAGCTCGGGGTAAGCATGACACCTCCTTTGCCAGTACCAAAATATTTGCATTCTGACCACAAGTTTTGTGGTTAATGCAGTAACATGATTCCTCGTAAAAAGGTTTCAGTTTTGTTGCCAGAAAAAAGGGGACAAACCTATTCTTAGGCCTTTAGATGTTTCTTAAAAGTCAGAGTGCATTTGATGTTGCGGATGTGCAAAGGGATTGAGTTCCACACTGAAGGGGGGCAAGAGTTCTGCAGTTAATTTGACTAATTTGCGGCTCTGATAATAATAATATTTGTTTGACTGTCACGTGACAAAGCTCACTACAGAGGTCGCAATCGGGTTCCCGATACCCGTACCCTACATGATACCCGGCTACCCATACCCGGCCGGTTACGGGTACGGGTACCCATTTGTGACCCTGGTGCGGCCGGGTACGGGTACGGGTAGGCCGTGAGTCACTGGTGAGTAACCGTTTGTCACTCATTTCCCAACGTCTTGTCTCTTCTCACAATTCAAGTTCCTAGAATCAACCCACCCGCGCCTGCAATATGGCTTCATCCCAGAGGTGCCTGCAATATGGCTTCATCCCAGAGGTCGCAATCGGGTACCCGATACCGGTACCGTACCCGGCCGGGTACGGGTACTGTTTGCGACCCTGGTGCGGCCAGGTACGGGTAAGGAATCAAAACCCGTTTGCGACCTCTGGCTCACTCTCACATGCAGAGTGAGGAAGAAAGTGCTGCCCCTTGTTTTGTGTCGCCAGAGATCATTCTCAGAGTTTCCTCTATGATATCCACTTCCGTGAGCCGTTCTCCAACACGAATGGTTGCACTTCAAGAGACCCGAAAGAATGCCCTGTGTCGTGAACTCACACCGAGAGCACAATCGGGATACCGTTGTAAAAATAAATAAGTACCAAACGTTACACACTAAATAGATGCGGCGGCGCTACGTGGAGTTGGATGGGTGAGAAATGCGGTGCAAATTGTAAAAACAATACAGTTACAGCGCATGGATTTGCAGCAAACATCACTATGATATCGAAATACTACGTGACATCATTCGCTATACATACCACGATTATCACATCAGTTTTTCTGAACATTGCGATGTTGTGCTCAAATTATTTTCTTAAATATTTTATTTCCTGACGATCTATAAATAACTATGATCGATTAAACGAGTGCTTTGCTCAATGTAATTTTTTCAGAGTGTCCTACAAGGCATTTACGTGACATTATCACTTTACATTTTTCCTTAAATATGTCCGTGTGGCCTTAACAGCGTGTTCGTTATCAGAATTACAGATTGTATTAGCAGACATGTCCCAATGTTGGACCCTCTTGCCACACACAAAAAAACCTCAGCAAGGTTCCCTTGGATAAATAAAGATTTACTTTCGTTATATTTACATGACCACACAGAGGCCACCAATGATTAATGTTTCACGTGTGAGTGTCTAGCCGCTCAGAGCGCCATTGCCGTGCCAAATGCACGGGACTTGACCAAGGCCGAGTTTCAGGAAATCCAGTTCGCCGAATCCGGCAACAATGTAGCACCGTTATCGCGCTGCATTTCTACTTGACCACGATGGAATATTCTGTCGAGTTGAAAGGTGGCGGTGGTGGTTATTGTCACAGTATCATTTACAGGCCCATCTGATGTTGGGTGGACAAGTCAAGGACAAATGCTCCATTCGTCTACGTAAAAACCAACTTAAATGGGGGGAAATTCAGATGACTCGGTGAAACGCTTTCATAATTTTTTTTTGCCAACGCATACATTCTGAACGTGCCCCAATTGTGTGCTCGGCCACTTTTTTTTTATCGTTCCCGGTTATTGCTCAAGCTTGGGCTAGACTATAGATAACTTAAACGAGATAGGAATGCCTATACTTGTCGGGTTAACCATGGTTAATTACTGCCAATACAGTGAGGGAAAAAAAGTATTTGATCCCCTGCTGATTTTGTACGTTTGCCCACTGACAAAGAAATGATCAGTCTATAATTTTAATGGTAGGTTTATTTGAACAGTGAGAGACAGAATAACAACAACAAAATCCAGAAAAACGCATGTCAAAAATTTTATGAATTGATTTGCATTTTAATGAGGGAAATAAGTATTTTTATGATGTCTGTCTACTTATATGTCTATCTATAGTTTTCTGGTTAGATTTTTGTTGCTATTTCTTTTATACCTGATGATTGCTTGTGCTGCAATCGAAACGTCATAGTATGCAATTATTTAATTTATTATTTTATCTTTATACGTGACTTTATCGAAAGAACCAAAGAATGATTTTTTTTTTAGTTTTAACATTTTTTTCACTCCACTCATTGCATGTTTCAATTTTTCTGAAGAGACGTGAGTTATTTATTTAAGGATACGTGTGTAATGTTTTTTTTCTAATCAAATGCAGTGCCAGAAACATGTTGTTCTTGGGAGGTTTCTGGTCTGACACAAGTGTTAGCATATCCCTTGGATTTGTTTAAGCTCATGAATTCCACCAAATTCAAGACGGCAACTGCTGATAAATGCACAGTGATAAAGATGTTCAAAACAAATATCTTTTAAGTCGGCGATTCACGAATGTCCTTCAATTCTATTAAACATTCACAGGCTGTGAGGATAATGTGATGAAAACTTCAACCCAGTGTATTCTGAACGGTGAGTAAACTGCATTTAAAACTCAGATTTTAAACACACGACAAGGAATTAAAGTATAACACTCTACAGTTTTAAAATTAACAATTAATTAACAGTGGGCTTAATTTGCTCTTACTCGCTCTAAAACGTATCCAAAATGTAGGTTGTCACATATATCATGGATGATTACATCACAAGATCTTGAGATGGTGGCGAATTGGGATGGCCTTCATGCAGTGGTGGATTGTCCATGGCTAATGCTGGTAAAATATGATGTCGTTTAATTCAGTATTCATTAAAACCTCAGATTAAATATATAAATTGGGCTATCTTAAATTTGTTTTTATTAGTTTACAATTCCTGACTCACCCCTCCCCCCATCCGCCAAAATTGGGGCCCAAATTGGAACATTTTTGTTTTCTGTTGTTTATAGGTACAGTAAACCCTTAATATTTGCACATTTTATAATCGCGGAGAATATGGTTTCGAGTATTTGGCTGCTATAAAGTTCCACGTGATAAGCCACTTCGTTGAGCTATCATTTGTAGCCAGGACGCTTCTAAAAATAATAACTAGAGCTCAGTGGGCCCTACCTGGTAAAATAAAAAAAAAGTTTAGTTTTGATTATATATAGATAAGAAGACTGAGATGGCATGTGGTTCATTCGAAGAATAACTACAAATGTTTATGTGTTCCTCGTATGACTACCAGGGAGTATGTGGTCACCAAATATAAGCATCCACCTGAATGACAGTGGGGCATCAGTCGAATTCTCAGCAGTGAACCTATCGAGGAGGTATCACGTCACGCTGGAGAGCTGCGGACAAATCCACAAGGCGTCCGTGATCGGGGTGAGTTTTACACGATCATGCCCAATTCTAGATTTGAAGTTTTCGTGACTGCAAGGATTCATATTCTTAGTTTTTTTCGGTAAAGTCACGTAGGTAAAAAAATTAAAGTTAATAAAAGTAAAATAAAAAATAAAATAAAAATCACGACGTTTCGGAGGCAACACAAGCTTCCGTCCACCTGAAGACGGAAGCTTGTGTTGCCTCCGAAACGTAGTGATTTTTATTTTATTTTTTATTTTACTTTCATTAATTTAAATTTTTTTACCTACGTGACTTTACCGAAAAAACCTAAGAATATGGATCATGCCCAATTCGATGCGCTCTGTGAGTCTTGTACAGAGTGGCGGCTGGCGATTAAGGGCCAGTTGGAGCCGGAGCCCCAATTTTGAAAAAATTAACCCGTAACAACAAAGTTTTTCACTATAAATCCTTTATATGCGTGGCGGCTAGAGTCCTCTCGTCCTCTGGTTTGAGATGGCTGCCACCTATGGGTCAGATGATTGCCTGCCACCATTAAGCAATTGGTAATTAAATCGAATTAATTTTTTCCTGAAAAGTGTAAAATTTTTGAAAAAAATTCTCACGAAAATTAATTGTCACGCACAACGAGTCTGTGTGGCAAATGTCAGCTCGATTGGATCTCGGGAAGTGGGTTAAAAAACGACCGAAAGATTTGCACGGTTGTAAGCACGCAAGCAAGCAAGTATACTTAATATAAAGGATTTAAAAAGGATAAAAAGAAAACAATATTTTCACATTTTAAAAGTCAATAAACTGCGCATTGTTGAACTGTTTTCACCAGATGAAGTACGGTTTTTACTAAGGTGGCTGATCATAGGTGTACTAGCTAGCCCCTGGTCAACACACGTGACTGATTGTGCTATTATGGGACTTGACCCCCACCACCTAATAGTGGCGAAATGTTAACTACCTCACCGAGTATACAGGAGCACGTAGGTTTGATCCCGACCCTGACGCCTGTAATATTTGGAGTTTGCATGTTTTCTCTGCGGTCGCGTGGATTTTTATCTGGGTCCTCCACATTTAGAAACGTGCATTTTAGAGTATTTGGCTGCTATAAATATCCACATGATCAGCTACTTTGTTGAGCTATCATTTGTGGCCAGGTCGCTTCTGAAAAAAAAAGAGCTGTCCACGTCAGTGGGTCTTACCTGGTAAAATAAAATAAAAAGTGTAGTTTAGTTTCGTGATGCAGTAATTGCACTGTGCGCACTACACCAACGCGTCAGCCAGAGAGTGCTTGTGCAAGGGCTGTTATCTGTCTTGGGTAATAAATGGACAAGCGAGCCCCCTGGTCCCTTCCCTGCTGTGCTGCACATGTGCCGCACACGTGCCACACACGTGCTTTTGAGTAACAGCACTATTTGTACTTGAAGAAGATACATTCACACCTTCTCTGCCACCCCCCCCCCCCCCCCATTCTCACCTCCACAATCACAGGCTTCTGTGCTCCCCCCAATAGGCTACATATATACTCACTGGCCACCACTGTAATGTAAATAGCAAAATTCAATGATTGCCATTGGTTATTTTAAATGTCTAATTTATTGTTAACGTTCATGGCAATTAGTCAAACATTTACTGTATATAGCGCAATGTGGTTATGTTCCTTGTAACCAAACACACTTTCTGCTTGATGTTGACTTACAACAAAATAAAAATGCTTTCAAGAAGAACATTTAAACATCAGCCAATGGGCCTATCAAAATGATTCGCACTCAAACAGTAGTCGTTTATGAAACATCGTTAGAAATGTAGTGTAGTTCCCATGTCAAAGCACACATTCTTTTTAGTCTGCTGTATATCCTTACAATTGACAGCATGACCAAATCCCTTAACCTATCTAGCCGTAAGCAACAAATAAATGAAACATAAATTACATCTGTCCACGGATTAACTCGTTTCAAAAGTGTTGGAATGGAGCATGATTATAATCAAAATGTCAATAACTCGGTGCTTAGCGGTGCTTGGGAATTAATTGAAATGTTGGCTGAATATTATTGAAATATTGTGAGAGCAATGTACCCATTAATATCAGATTTGTTTTCGGTGTGACCTCAAATGACAAGTCCCAGCTATCCGTGTTGCTGACACCCTGCCCTGTTCAAGTTTAAGTTCAAGACTTTCCCTCCTCCTCTGCCTTGGACTGTTTGTTCTCTGATAATAACAAATTTAAATATAAAAACCCTCCTTTCCCTGACATGTACATGTCCCACTTTGAGTCCAGTATCTTAACCTGTGGCTGCATGTAGCAGCGCTATTAAATGAAAAAAATCGGGTCGCTGGATTAAAAACCGAGTGCCAACCGAGTGCCAACCACTTCCCCAATCGCTGAGTTCGATTCCCGGCCATGACTAATATAACAGGCAAGTGATACCAGAACTGGCCATGGGCCTCCCAACTTCATTAACCCGGCGTGGTGAGGCGGAGCCAAACAACCTTTCACCACTGGCAGGGCTTGGAGAGGCCTTCATCCAGCTAATATACGTCCGTCAATCTTCATGCCCTGTCGCAATACGCACTGTGAAAGGGTCCCCGTGGGTAATGTCAACGTGCGGTGCGGCTTTCTGTTATTAGGCAGTGCTAGTGCGTCGAGTGTGATTTTTTACATGCTTTTATTTAACTCACTTCGTCTGTTGTATCCTAAAAATATATATTGTAACAAAATTTTACACACTTCCCAATGTGCTATCGACTGCAAACTTGGTATAGGTATGTCATACTGATGACAACACGATATTCTATCATAAAAAAAATATTTTAAAACTTTATACACGCTTTTATTTAACTTGCCCTGTGTGTTGTCGTATCCAAAAATCTTGTAACTCAAGTTCAACCGTATTCCCAATGTCGTATCGACTGCAAACTTGGTATAGGTATGTCATACTAATGACAAGACTATATACTATCAATCATCACGGTCCCTTACGTCACGGCAAGCCTCGGGGAGCCACGCCGAGGGGCGGGGGATGTGGAAGGAGGGGAGGGGCGATGGGGGAAGGGGGCAGGGGCAGCTCGGACAGTACATTTCATTAAAGCGTGTTTTTAAAAAAAGTATTTTTTAATATTTTTTTAGTGTGTGCCTGAATTCAATGTTTATATTTAATAGGGGATCGGAAAATATCGACAGGTGACCTTTCCCGGTGTTACACCGACACCAAGCTGTCGCACATTTGAAGCCAAGGTATACAAATACACAACAGAGTACAGCATTGTCAACACCATACCACAACACTTTCACTTGCCTTGTCGATATGTATGGTTGCGACGTTATCATTTTTTGCTATATCAGATTTTACCACGTGGCAACTTTTGCAATATCACTTCCCCATAACCTTGTAATTATATTTTTCAACACTATGATGCTATTGTGCTTTTCTGTACTTCCAGTATAAATAAAGGGTTTAACACGTAGGCTTTCGCGACCAATATTATTCATAATAAAGGTTTCTGGGTTAGATCGCATAAGTATAAATGTGTCAACCCTCCACCACTGCAGTTCACGCAATTGAAGCCTGGTAAAACATTTTTTTAAATCATTACAATATTTGATGCTTATTTAGTGCACGCACTTTCTGTTGTACAAATATTGTTAAATACAAGACGACATTTATAACAATGTGAACAATGACTAATTTCTGTTTTAAATCCACACGGACAGATAAAACCTTACTTTGACATGTGCAAAGACGACTGCACAGAAAGAACAATGTTGCTGACTCTTACAGGTAAACCCTTTTGCTTGTCATTTGCTCTTTTTGCCTGCTTCACCTGCTATTCGAGAAGTCTTGGTGCGTACGCTTCTTTTGGAGGGAGTGACAACCTAATCAGTAAATGGACCAAATCTCAAAACACCTGATCCTGTGAGATCTCTGAAGCCAAGCTAGATTTGAGCCTGGCTAGTACCGAGATCGGTGACCCCCACGACTTTCCAGGCGTTGTAGACATGAGTCTGTGAGGTGTGGCCAGGAGATGGAAATTGCTGAGAGATGTGCGGTGGTTTTACTCCCAAGCTTTTTCTTCGGTTTCCTCTCACACGCCATTTCAACATTCATAGAATTGGCCAAACATCCCAATGCAGGACCCCCACCTCCCTCCTCCAGGAATTAGTCTTGAGAATCGGTAACGCTTTCCTGGGTAAACAATTGGACTTATTATAAATATCCACATAAAATCAATTGTCATTTTGCAATTTTTGGCAAATGCTTGGTAAAAGATAAAGGTGCAGCCTTACAATTGCATGCTCATGCCACTGCTGGCGAAGAGCATTCATAATATGGAGCTATAGAGAGCCCCACTAGAGGTTATTTTGCTTACTCTTCCCAACTAGCTAGAGTTGGGGGTCCTCTACCTCTGGCTAGGGATGCCCACGCAGTACCTATCGAACAAATCCCTTTTATCTGGTATACTCATTTATACTGCTGGGGCTGAACTCAACGTGACCATATATACAGTATGTCAGTTCATTCTAGATTCGAAGTTTTCGTGACTGCAAGAATCCATACTCTTTGGTTCTTTCGGTAAAGTCACGTAGGTGAAAAAATAAAAAAATAGAAATAAATAAATCACGACGTTTCGATTGCAACACAAGCAATCATCATCATTATCATCAGGTGTGACAACCACAGCAATTTTTTTTTTTACTGAAGTGGGAGAGATCTCGGAGTTAAGAGGGTTTATATAAGTCAGAGAGGGCGGTGGGGGGGGTAAATGAGGAGACGGGGAGCTTTGCGTGTTGCGATAATGACTGAGAACATGAGACTGGGCAGGTGGGGGGGAGTGGGCGGGGCTGTAAGTTACCTGGCCCGGAGTCAGGTGCGGAGAGGAGAGCAAAACGGCGACACGATTGCCGTCTAGACAGATGCTGGAGCTCAAAACAAAATAGCTGCACTGCTGAACGTTGAGGATGTAATTAACTCGGTGAAATAGACTAGTAATTCTAGATTTGAAGCTTTCGTGACTGCAAGGATTCATATTCTTAGGTTTTCGGTAAAGTCACGTAGGTAAAAAATTAAAATTAATAAAAGTAAAATAAAAATAAAATAAAAATTACGACGTTTCGGAGGCAACACAAGCTTCCGTCTTCAGGTGGAACCGTCACAGCACGATAGCTGTATCAAGTAAATGAGAAATTCCAAGAGATCCGACCTTGTATATATACTGGTTGAGGGGGGAGGAGCCAGGGTAGGCCCCCTAGATAGGAGTTTTTTTTTTATTATGATAAGGTTGGTGCCGCTGAAGCTACGGCTAGTCTACATACCAGTCTACATAACAAAGGCTCGGATCTCTTGGAATTTCTCCTTTACTTGATACAGCAATCGTGCTGTGACGGTTCCACCTGAAGACGGAAGCTTGTGTTGCCTCCGAAACGTGGTGATTTTAATTTTATTTGACTTTTTTTAATTTTAATTTTTTACCTACGTGACTTTACCGAAAACATAAGAAATAGACTAGTAGCCCGGTAATTAAGATAGAACAATTATGAACCGTTAAATTTTACTTGGTTAATAACATCTTTCCAATGATTGCTCAATTTGTATCCATCTTCTCGGTTGAAGTTATGTCTATGTTTATATATCTGGATGGCTTCATGAACAAATCTTTGATGGTATCCAGACGGCTTGCAGAGCACCTTGGTCTCGGAGAAAACAATATCATGAGAGCCCACAGCGTTGTAGCAATGATCAGCAACGGTGGAGGAATTAGTTCTGCCGTGTTGCAGATCTGACTCATGCTCGCGGATCCGGTCAGAGACATGATGTATCGTTTCCCCAAATATAGTTTGTTCTATTTATAAATCCTTTATATTAAGTTCACTTGCTTGCTTGCTTGCGCGCTTACGACCGTGCAAATCTTTTGGTGTTTTTTTACCCCACTTCCCGTGATCCAATCGAGCTGACATTTTGCACACAGACTCGTTGTGCGTGACAATTTATTTTCGTGAAAAAAAATTCCAAAATTTTCCACTTTTTAGAAAAACTAAATTTCATATTTAATTAAAATACCAATGTGATAAAAATGCAACTCTTACTCAAGAAAAAAAGAAATGAATAATAATATAAAACCGATGCCACGCATATTAAAGATTTATAGTGAAAAACTTTGTTTTTACGGGTTAATTTTTTTGTTCTTTTTTTTATTAGTATGTCAGTTCACCAATTTTTCTTCTGCCATGCTCTTTTCAGATCAAAACTCCGCAACGCCGCCTCCTCCCACAAATAATATCTTTGCAAAAGTAGTCATTGCTGTTACATTATGTCTTGTTATGACACTTGCCATGGGTGTGATTGTCTACTGCAAACGAGGTAAGTTATGGTAATAAACATGCTTTACTTCATAGCTGGGATATTTATCTTCACTTGTTATGTAGGCGATGTTATCGCTGATGCATTGCTTAGAAACACTGAACTGAACTACGAACTTGGCTACCTGAGTTCGATTCCTGGCCATGGCTATCATCGGTAGTAAGATATCTAAATCAGTCCTGAGCCCCTACCGTCGTCAAACTGTGGTTATCAACATGGCAAAGTAAAATCAAACAACCAGCATGACTGACGCCGCATGGGGAGGCCTAGATACAGCAATGGTTTGACAAAGGGATGTAAATTATTCTTTATATTCGATTATGCTAATGCTGCTTGATAATGTTGGTCTGGAAAGCCAATAGGCTGATGGACACTTAAATATGTATAATTATGTTAGGAGATAGAATGGCATTATGCTTATATTTGCCCTATTTCCAAACAAAGCAACCCATCAATTTTGATTTAAAGCTTTCGTGACTGCAGGGATTCATATTCTTGGTTCTTTCGGTAAAGTCACGTAGAAGAGAAACAATAAAATAATACAAATATAAACAATATATCTTGTTTTATATATTTTTTATTTTATTATTTCCCTTCTACATGACTTTACCGAAAGAACCAATAATATAAAGCAACCCATCTTCTCTTTTTGCAGATGCCATAAGAAATGGATTTTGCAGAACGGCCACAACAGTGGAAGAAGAGAAAACTGAGATCCCTGTTGCACAACTGCCGCCAAAGCTGCAGCCCAGAAAAGTGTTCATCGTCTACTCGAACGACCACAAATTGTTCAGAGACATTGTCCTGCACTTCGCAGCGTTCCTGCAGAGCAAGTGCGGCATGGCGGTATCGCTGGACCTGTGGGAAGAGCAAAAGGTAGCCAAGACAGGCAGGATGCAGTGGCTGATGCAGCAGTTGGATCAAAGCAAGGACTCAACGGCCAAAGTCATTGTGCTGTTCTCTCGGGGGTCGCAGATGAAGTGGAGAGCGCTGTGCGACTCCACACAAGTGGAATTTCGGGAAGATCTCAAATCCCTTGTCGGAGACATGTACAGCCCCGCCCTCAGCCTCATCTGCGATGGAATTCTGCGGCCGGCCACGTTCGAAAAGTATATCGTGGCGTACTTTGAGGACGTAAGCAGCGAGAGGGATATCCCCAGTTTCTTCAACATGACGCTCAAGTATAAGCTCATGAAACATTTCAAGGAACTTTTCTTCAGGATCCAGGACAAGGAGCAGTACGAGCCAGGAATCACGTACGGAACGCACGGAATCTCTGCAGAAGACTATTTTGAAGAGCCGTGCGGGAGACGCCTGCTCGAGGCCATACAAGCATTCAAACTATTTCAGAAGTCAAACCCAGACTGGTTTGAGAACAACGAACGTGACAAAGAACTGGATAAGGCCACATGGGAAGGAAACAATATGTATTTGAGTGCAGCAGGCATGAAGCAGAACATTCCTCTTTTTGAACCAAATGACGGATGCGATTTCGTTATCCGTAACAGTCCAAATTTAAGTAACGACTCCACTGACATGCTGAAGGCTAGCCTTACACAGTTTTCACATGACTCGGGAGTATCTGGGATAGAGAATACATACCCCAATGAACAGCTGCCATTGCTGTCCGTTTCTCCAGCCGAAAACGATATCCCTGAATATGCAGCGCGCGTGCATTATTCTAATCAAGTTAACGCTATCGCACCGCACACAAGTCAGGACCTGTTGATCAACCCTGATGATCTCGGTGCCAATGGTAGTGACCAGCAGTTTGGGGAAATTTCATCTAATGCCCTCTTTCTTTTGGAAGGTTTTCAGAGAAGTCTTGTCAATGAAAACAGTAACTCTGATCTGGGCGAGTGTTTGGAAAGGCCTGGTTTGTGTGAACCACAGCGTCACATAATCCCCGCATTGCAAACCAACGATGGGCCGATGTACAATTCATTTGACGGAGGCAATGATGTACACATTGACTTTTCCGTACCATCTTACGAATGTCCCGGAGAATTATGCAGTGACCCATATAATGCAGAGTCGAAAATGATGAAAGAACTGATTCAGCTGCAGCAGCAAGTGCTGCAAAACAGCATTGCCAATATATAACGAACTCCCAAAACTACGTGTCCACACTAGTTTATCCACCGGATTAACAACTGTACCTTCGTGAGCACACAGTGAATGTCTACCTTCTTTCATCTGTATGCATGTATGTTGACGTTCTTTTGCATCATGCGTAGCCCACGTGCTGATCGGAGGTACTGGGGAAGGACAACAAATTATACACAAAAAGCAGTTCTAAAGAAATTCGTTTTCAATCGAGATTTAAAAGTCCATAGCTCCAGTGGCTTCCTCATATCAGAAGGAAGAGCATTCCGGCCGGCCGCAGAAACGCATCTGAAAGCGCGCAATGCAGTGACTGTCTTTTTCCCTTGAAATAAGAGTGCCACGGTAGTATATGGGAGGTCGTGGGTTTGATCTCGACCATGACGCCTGTATATTTGAATTTTGCATGTTCTCCCCGTGGTCACGTGTATTTTTCTCCAGGTCCTCCGGTTTTTCCATCCACATTTAGAAACATTCGTTTAAAGTATTGGCTGCTATAAATTTCCACATGATCTGCCTCTTTCTTGAGCTATCAGTGGGGCTTTCCTGGTAAAATGTAAATAGTTTAGTTGAGTTCAATGGCTAGCCAAAAGCCACTGTGAGGATGACCGGAGTTTTCGTGATGGGATGACCGGAGTGTGTGCGATGGCATTAATTGTGTCATAGGCAGTGGTGGCCACTCGTTATTCGGAGACGGTGGAGCCAGTCCTTACTGGTGGTTCCAGGCCTTACTCGTGCTGCCAGGCCTTACTGGTGATACCAGGTATTACTGGTGATACCAGGCCTTACTGGTGGTGCCAGGCATAAGCAAAGAAAATAAATTCATAGGGCCTAAAGCAGCCCATGGGCCCCCAGATTAGAATTTATAACAATATTAGTCGTTTACATTTATCTGGCACTTAATTTCCTCAGAAACTCACAGTGCCTTGCATCACATCTCATCTCAAACATTTTAAGGGCACCCCCAGTGGCAGCTGTCCCTGTGCGGCAGAGAGTGATTCAGCACGGGCCTGCGAGTGGGCATTAGTATGCCAGTAGAGGGCGATGACTGCTATGTGTAATCCCAATTGAGCAATTTGGACTAAAACTATATATGTAGTGGTGAACCAAATGTGAGCTTGAATTCAAATCCGAGAAAACAGCGAGCGAATGAATGTAAACGGCTATTAAAATATCTCTCTCCTCTAGTCTGTAGCTCATCTCCCGTCTAACTACATCTTTGTTTCTGTCTACATTTGTCTTCGTCTCACTGCATCTCTACCTCTTGTCTATATCTATTCTATCATCTCACGAGCAGCGTATGTATCAAAAGGACCACTGCAACTCACCCCCCCCCCCCTCCCCAAATTATCATTTATTTTTTCGGGTGCTCAATGGGCAAGCACCACTCGTGTAATATGCTACTTTATTGTCTCTAAGTTGGTGTGTGGTATTTAATATTTATGTGCATGTGAAAGGTTTTACACTTGTTGCTGCTAGCCAATAATATTGATCTACATTGTTGTGATAGTTGGCAATACAATGGAATATTGCGGACTGCTCTATTTGAACGCATCACGAATGCATGTCGCTACGTTTTCCAGTTTAAAAGAAATACAGGACTGAATAAATTGGCAATAACATTTGAATAACATATACGTCCGGGTACGCGTGACTTCGCAAGCAAATGTGTGATCAGTAGGCTACTTATTACAAATACATGTGTAGCGTCGGTGTCGGGCATTGTAGATAGCATTAAGCACACTTACCTATAGTAGCAAACATGTGTCCATAGGGGGCGGTAAACCGGGATAGGCAGGATGAGCCGGGCCGCTGGGACACTCAGCTCTCCCAACCCCAAGAGAGGGGTTGGGGGAGATATTCCAGACCACCCTAGAGAGTTCCAGAAGGGAGGCGTGGCCAGGGCCACGGGTATAAAAGCCGGACCTCTGGACGAGTCTGGCAGTCTTCTTCAAGCTGAATAAAGAAGACCTGCTAGGCTAGGACCATGGGAACCCCCGGGACCCGCCGTCCTTCTAAGGGCCGGGACCGAGTGGGCCAGTGGTCGGGACCCGAGGACATTGTCTGGGTCGAGTCAGATAGCCTCCCCCTAGGTTCCCTTAGCCAGAGGAACGTGAGTGTAGTCCCAGTGATTAGGACACGCTAGCACAGAGGCTATACCTCCTTGGGTATCGGGTGGAGGGGCCGCTATTCCTCTGTTAGGGACCCGTGTATCCCGCAGTTGTATTGAATAAACGTGTTGCCTCAAGTGCTCTGTCTCCGGTCTCCCTGGAACCCACTACACATGCAATTCAAAAACAATGATCTTTGCATGCTTTGCGCTACAAATATATACATGCCAAAAATGACAAAGATGTAGGTGGGTATTTATGATGTAGGTAGTAGGTAGGTATTTATTATGTAGTACTTGGTAGGTATTTATGATGTAGGTACTAGGTGGGTATTTATGATGTAGGTACTAGGTAGGTATTTATGTCAGACTAACCTGGTAAGGTAACCCGTCTGTGCTGTTGGAGATTGTGAACGGGAACGTTGAGGGGTGTCACAGAATAACTGCATAACCCACTGTTAATAATCACCTTCAATAACCCAACCTAACTTCATTGATATTAGGTGCTGGAAGTAAAGGTGCAGCCCCTGAAATTCCTCGTCTCATTCCACTGCTGGCGGAAGCGTAGAGGTGGATGGATTGTAAGAAACTTGCTCCATCGTTTCAGCCACCGAGCCGTGAGATCGAACCAGCGACCTCTGGATTGCAAGTCCGTGACATAGTGGCACCCGCCCCCCCTATTGAATCGCTCTAAAAGTCGCTTATGACAATATTTGATATAGTCTTGTATCATCTTCCCACAGATGGCTGGATAGTGAAGCTAATAATTAACTTGCTTAATCCACCTACTCCCAATGCAAACCTGCTCTTGAGAGGCTAGACAATGATATAATGTGGGTTATGATGTTCTTTTCCAGGCTACCACACAGTCAACTTTTCTCAGTGATGTCTGCTTGCCATAAATAAAACGATTGTATTCCATTTATTACACTGGTGACTGGAATTATTTTCTGTGAATGCATACAAAATAAGGTACAGCACAAATCCATGCATTCCGAATAAATGTTCAGAAGTCATGTCCAAAGAGTTGCCACCTGCCCTGGTTTTCCCTGGATCGTCTTAAAATTTTAAATCATGTCCTGGAAAATATGCAAGTCTTCCAGGGACATTAGAGAACAGGATTTGTATCAGTTGTGAAATTATAATAAAAAATAATACACCACCCAAGACAATGTGATGAAAACCATTTGTGTTCCCTCTCATGGTATTGTGAGATATTCTTTCCATGATGTGTCCCAATGTGTTGTGTATCATCTCCCGAGAGGTGGCAACGCGAGATGTCCGCCGTGGGGTTGGTTCGGGCTAATTCGTTAAACCTCGGGTGACACCCAAGATGGTTGCAACTCTTACACACTATCCAATACGGGCACTCAATATCTGCCATTTCTAAATGCACTATGTTGAACTTATTCTGCAACCGTGGTAATCGGAGGTAAAAGGCAATGTAATGCCTTGCTCACACCACCCTGACAGAAGATCCTCCACTCGAGGGAGCTTAAGACGGCCAGTTCTCGCTGGCCAGATGTCTCGGAAGAGATGGGAGTATTAACACTTTACCCCAAGGCCGTAATTATAATATAAATTGGAGGGGGGGGCACATCCCCCCCCCCATATTCAAATATGTTCAAAATGTCCCCCGCAATATATTGCTATAACATAGATTTCTGTTAATATGATTGTGGTTATGGTTGTACTTTATTAATCCCTAATCTCTGCTATTACATACAATGAAACAAGAATAGGTAAAAAAGAAAAAAAGCAGAGCACTATTATACATTTTTGTAAAAAATAAATAAAAAGTCCATCCTATGTGTTAGTGAATTTTTTTATATTTTAGGCAGGAAATTCGTTTTCAAATTTAGATTTTTTTTTCTGGGGGGGGGGGGGGCCCACTGGAAGATTTGGTCCCCCGCAATTGTTGACTCCATGGCTACGGCCTTGCTTTACCCCACTAGACGCCAATCGACGAGCCGTAGTGTACCCATTTATACTGGTAGGAACCACCTGGTTCCACCAGCCCACAGGGGATGATTGTGTCCGTCCGTCCGTCGTGCATCCAAAAATGGGAGGGGTGGGGCTGGGTGGAGAGGGGAGGGTGGGGAGGGGCTGGGTAGGGAGAGTGAGGAGGGGTTGGGTGGGGAGGAGAGAGTGGGGAGCGGCTGGGTGGGGAGGTTGGGGCTGGGTGGGGGGTGGGAGGGGTGGGGCTGGGTGGGGAGGGGCTGGTCACCCCGTGGTGCCCTTATAAAACTCAACTTTAACCTACTCACGCCGGCTTGTGCCCGCCCTCACAGTCGGGCATATTTGCAGAATACACCACGCCGCCGTTGACCTTGGCCATTGACCGAGCAACTCAACGTTTCTACCAGCTCTCTCCGCAGGAATGTGTTACTGCTGGGTGGACGGAGCTGCGGGGTATTTAATTGGACACCTTGGCGAGATGTTAATTACCTCGTCTGGTATACAGGAGGTCGTGTGTTCGATGTCTGCTGCATATTTTGAGTTTGCGTGTCTCTCTCTCCGTGGGTCGCATGGATTTTTTTCCAGTTCCTCCGATTTTCCCCTCCACATTTAGAATCCACATCACGCATTTCGATGATTTACCTGCCATACATTTCCACATGATGGTAAGCCACTTCGTTGAGCTATAATTTGTGGCCAAATCGCATCTGAAATAAATAGCTTTATCTCTCAGTGATCCTTACCTGGTAACATAAAATAAATGTTTATTTCTGGAAAAATCGCCTGATGAAGCTGGTTGTCATCACCAGTACTCAAATTGTAAACGGCGTGGGTTTACCATCCATCACACCGGTGTGCTAAAATCGTAACTAATATCACATTTTGTTGACGTGACAAACCATACTCATCGGCTGTGTCGCGTTTGGTGGTGGGTTACGACACGTTTATATTTACGCGATCTACCCCAAGCACACACATACAAAATAAGTAATATTAAAAAAAACTTTTTTTAAAACACGCTTTAATGAAATGTACCGTGCTAGTAATGTAAGAACTCCAGGAAGTGGCCCCGAGGCTTGCCACAACGTAAGTGACCGTGGCCAATTACAGCCAACGTCATTTGAGCGTGGACAATTAGACCCAAGCCGTAACATAACATATACAAAATAATGTTTAAAAATATTTATTTTTAATGATAGAATATAGTATTGCCATTAGTATGACATAAATATACCAAGTTTGCAGTCGATGCCACATTGAGAAGTGGCTTAAAATGCAGTTACAAGATTTGAGGATACAACAACAGACAGAGCGAGTTAAACGAAATCGTGCAACAAAAAATTAACCCATAAAAACAAAGTTTATCACTATAAATCCTTTATATGCGTGGCGGCTAGAGTCCTCTCGTCCTCTGGCTTGAGATGGCTGCCACATATGAGTCAGATGATTGCCTGGCAGCATTAAGCAATTGGTAATTAAATATTTAAAAAAAATCCTAAAAAGTGTACAATTTTGCAACATTTTTTTCACGAAAATTAATTGTCACGCACAACGAGTCTGTGTGCAAAATGTCAGCTCGATTGGATCACGGGAAGTGGGTTAAAACACGACCGAAAGATGTGCACGGTCGTAAGCGCGCAAGCAAGCAAGCAAGCGAACTTAATATAAAGGATTAAAAAAAAACAACCTTGCTTACGAAAAAAAAATAGTTTAAAAAAGTGCAATTTAATTTTTGTTTATTATTTTTAGACAAATGCAAACCGGGGGCCACAAGAGGGCGCAATGCACTCAACTATCAGGTGCAAAGCTCAACTGGGCAGTGACACGACCACGAGGTTTGACGTTCGCTCAGCAGCAGCAGCTGCTGACGTCACCCATCCTCGCTTTGCATAGACACGAGGAAGTTTCCTCTTCGGTGCCGACAACAGCGTGGGAATAACCCACACACACACGCACACAGACTTCTCATGATGCAAACGAACACTCCGAAATGTAGCGTGTCACTCCGCAATGCTGGTTTTTGTTCTAACTTCGCCTCCTATTCTAATGGACAACATCGTGGCGGCGTCCCGTCGCAATGAACGGTAAAGCTTCTTCGCCTGTCGCGCTGTTAATGTCAGTCAACTAACATCACCACCACCACTACGTTAAAGACTTCAACGTGTTGTTGTTGTTGTGCATCGTAACGTTGTCGCAACTGTGAATGGAGTCGATCTTCGTGCGTTGAACTTGACGAGATTTCTGTTCGCGTACGCGGAGCTAGAGAGGGAAGACAGCCTTCGAGTTGCTGGACTTGAGGCCATCACCGGCTTCTTCATCACCATCATCATCACCATCATCATCATCACCATCATCATCACGCGAACTTGCTCTTCGTCGTGGTTTTGTGTTTGACCATACTTCCCCACCAAGGTGCTGGTGGTTGCTGCAAGACGCAAGGCCTAAGCCAGGGGGGGGAGGTGAGGGCCAAGGTGGTCGATGATGATGATGATGAGGGGGTGAAGCTACCCGCACAAATGTCGCGATGATCCGTGATGTTACGGTACTCATAGGTTTTTTTTCGTTAAAGTCACGTAGGTAAAAAAATAATAAAAATAAAATAGTAAATGAAAATAAATAAATCAATTACTCTTATTTTTTTGGGTAAAGTCACGTAGGTAAAAAAAATATAATAATAAATGAAAAGAAATCAATCAATTACTCTTAGTTTTTTTCGGTAAAGTCACGTAGGTAAAAAAATATATAATAATAATAATAAATGAAAATAAATAAATAAATTACTCTTAGTTTTTTTCGGTAAAGTCACGTAGGTAAAAAATTATGATAATAAAATAATATTAAATGAAAATAAATCAATCATTTATTTTATTTTTTATTATTATTTTCCTACGTGACTTTACCGAAAAAACCTAAGAGTATGTGAATCCTTGCAGTCACGAAAGCTTCAAATCTAGAAGAGATGTCACGGATTTATAAGACTCGCACTGCTTAACCACCCCACCGCGTTGTTTGTGTGTGGTGTGGCGTGTGTGTGTGCCGGGTGGCTAAAGCACAACAAGTTGGCACAGTAGGGGGCACAGGTGGTCCATCAGCCACTCATCTCGGTCATCTCAGTTGACCCGTGGCACCTGCTGGGTCTGCCCCGTGACCTCCTGCCAGCGGGCGTTCGACACTTCACGTGGCCTCAACGTGCACCTAGCCTGGCACAAGCTTCTTGGTGACGTCACCGCCACTTAGTTTGCTGGCTAGCAGCCACTTGCCCTGGCAGTCTGTCGAGGCTACGCGGGGGATCTGTGTCTTTGTTGCGACTTTATTGACACCTGGCACAGGTTTTTGAAGTGTTGCGTCTTTTTTTCTTTGAGAGCTCGTCGCCATGTGGGAAAGATGAGCGGGGAGATACATAGAGCCTGGGGAGTTGCTGATATGGGTATCATTGCGTACAGAAGGTTGCCAGAGGACTTGGGAAATTAATTGTTGTACTGTCAGTCTATGCCCCCCCCCCGTCTTTACCAACCCCCGCACTCACCAGCGTGGTGAAGTATGGTTAAAGTACCGAAGGGTTAGACTAACCCCGTGACCCCTACTGCGTGGTGAGATACATTTATTATAAATCGTTGTTAGTCATAAATTGTGTTTTTTTTTGTTTCCGATGTTAATCATTGATTTAGTAATCGGTGTTTTTTGGTGACCCAGTAATTTGTATCAGTTTACCAGTGTAATTTGTTTAAAGAATGGCCTTGCAAGAAAGAGGATTTCACAAAATGTACTCTGACCTATGAACACAATTCGGAGTTGCACTTCCCAACACACACCTGCTACAGAGACGAATGCTCATGGCACTGTGATCACACCGAAACGTTAATTCTCAAGAGCTAGAAGTTTGCCAAAATACGTGAGTAACTACCGTACATGTGTGTGTGTAGTTATTGGTGGCCGGACTGACACCATCAACTAACTGCACTTTAAAATGCAGTTTAAATTGTCAAAATGTAAATTCAAATTAGAAATACAATCATTCTAATTGCAGTACATGTCTTTACCCAGATTCGAACCCAGGATCTATTCACCCTCTTTTGCACTGGCACATCCGAACCGAGCCTGTGCAGGGACCTCACGGTACGAGTGTTTTTTTCCACTGGCTCTTTGCTGACCTGGCCTCAACAACAAACCCTAAACCGGCTGGGGATTAACCAGGGCCTGGGGTGGAGCTAATACCACGGAAAGCCTTTCCCATTCCGATGACATACGTACGTGTACATCATCGGAATGGAATCAGAAGTAAAAGGTTAGCGGGAGGGCGTGTGGCGCCAGCTCTTGTTGAGTGCGGTCGTGTCGCTACTGTTCTCTGCGTTGAGTGCAATGTCTTTAAAAACAGCGGCGCTACGCCTCTTCTTCATAAAATTAACGCTGAGCCGCTTCCACTTTTCTAGATTGAGCGGTGAACGGGACACCCACCTTGCAACTTGCAGACGTCTCAGAGTGGGAAAGGGTTAATTGCGTGTGGCGTCGGCGGCACTGCTCGGCTTCTGCGGTGGAAAAACAACAACTTGGTGACCTCCTGAGCCACCCGGGCTCACTTGGCACGACCTCGTCGTGGCTTGGTTGTGTAGTGGAAAAAGAGGTGTTAGCGGTACCGGTTCAGTGCTCTTAACCCTGAGACAGCCGACCAGCCACCTCCTGCAGGAGATGTTCGTACACATTTTTTGTTAACTTCATCTCGATATCTGTGTGTTTAGATGGTGGTGCGGGACCTGATCCGGCAGACTTCAAGATGAGGGCTTCCGTGTCGCCCAGAAAGATCTCCCTCGTCCTGTTGTGTGTCGTCGTTTTCCTGCTGCCTGAGAACGGAATCGCTGAGGTGGTCCTCCATCTGCAGTCCCTCAGCTGTTCAAATTCAGTAAGTGGTGTTCTTGTTGTAGAATATTTTCAGCTCAGTGGGCTGTACCTGGAAAAATATAAATAGTTTATCTTGACAGATTTTTTTGTGAGTTCCTTACCTTTCTTGTACTTTGCACTGCTGGCGTGTTTTGTAGTTGAAACTTTCTGACCCGCCCCTACTGGGCATCTGTGAAAAAGAGTTTCATAGCTCATCGGATTCCTCCTGCAGTATAAAGAAAGTATTCTGATTATGCTGTATTGTTAGGCCATCGCTGGCTCGATTTGTTTAACGCACTCACTGCATGCCAGGCACAAACCTTGCTCTCGTGGCAATTGCTCAGGCCACGTTTGACGGTGACTTCAAGCCTCACAACTGTAAGATTTTGACAGCTTTAGTACCATATTCTCAGGTTTAAAAGACACTGCAGAAAGTAATACTTAACTTAAACTAGATTTTATACAGCGAAATTCACACAAGGCCTCAGAGATGCAAGTAAACTAATTAATCCCTTCACATATAAAACTGAATGCACGATTAGCTATGCACAGTACGTATGTATGTTGAACTTCTTTCGCGCCGTACGTAGCCAACCGTGCTAATGGGATAAATAAAACCCGACATAAAACTAAAATAAAACCAAACAATAAAAACAATATAAAAGGCACGTAATCTACGTAAACTGCAATGCAAATGACAAGTATGTTTTATTATGGTAAGTTTTATGGCAAGAAAAATGCATCCCCAACTTTTGTGTCATCTATGCAGGGGTGTAAATGTACAAGAATAGTACTTTTCTTTATGTAGAGTATTTTTTTTTCTCTTGAGGGTTCTTCTCGGCATTTACAGATTTAATAAATGCGCGTTAATGTTCCACAGACTGTGAGGATTACAGCATGCTGTACGAAAGACAGCACTCACATTGCACTACCACCGCACATTCAATGCTCACACTGCCACCAGTCTCAGCACTGTGACAGTACCGACACTAGCATGCAGCAGCAGCAGCAGCAGCAGAATTTTATTTCGTTAAATAAAATATTTTTACAATGGGTCTGTGCGTAGTACGTTGAAACGCTTTCTCTAGAGTCATTACATAAAATCCCTCTGGCTGACTGAGGACTGAGCGGTGTGAGACTTTGTGGCACATACATTTGATGCCGAGCACAATTTTAAGTTGCATGTCCAGTTGACTGGTTACAGAACACGTACACATCCCAGTTATTCTCAACACTGCTGGATAAGGGCCTCCCCAAGCCACCGTCACCTCTCACAATTACGCGGTGTAACAATGCACCGATCACCTGCATACAAACTGATTTCTTTGCTCCATCTCCTCAGTGGATGTTCTCTTGGACGCGTTCCATTGCTTGGCCATGTGCATCGCAGTTGGTGTGCGATGTTGTAAGTTTACTCGGCCACCTGAATGAATCAATGTTTCTTCACCGCTGGCAGCTTCGGGTTAGCATTGCTAATCATTAGACATTAGTGCCGGGTGAGTCTAATCGCTGAGGGTTTACGATTAACTTTCATGGGTGGTAATGTCAAGGAAATATTATTTTTCACAGTGAATACAACCTCTGGGAAACAGCAGTCACAACTCAGTCGAAATGTATTATTCTATTGCATGTTTTTTTAAATGTAATATTATTAATGAAGTCCATGGGCTACATACTGCAATAACCAGGAAATATCACCGTGGTCTCCGGATTGTAAGAAGCGCCGGAAAGTAAGAAGCACCCAAAATTTGTGGCCTACGTGACTTTACCGAAAGAACCAAGAGTATCTTCTTGGTTCTTTCGGTAAAGTCACGTAGAAGGGAAATAATAAAATTATAAAAATGAAACATAACAGACCTGTTCTTCACCTGAGGATGGCTGCTTGCGTTGTGGCCGAAACGTCGTGAGAATTGTATTTCATTATGTTTTATTTTTATTAGTTTATTATTTCCCTTCTACGTGAACTTTACCGAAAGAACCAAGAAGATGAATCCCTGCAAGCTTTAAATCGAAACCAAGAGTATGATTATATGTGTCAATAAAGTAATGAATACTGGGGAAAACGCGTGCTTTGTAACCTGGAATGTATGGTATATCTGGCTATCTGTACAAAGCCACTTCACATTTGTTCCATCAATCCCCATAACAAAATGCTGGCCAGTTGGTACATATTACAGGAAATGAAAATCCCAGTAAACATGGAACGTTGGGTCAACGCTGGTCCAATGCTACCAACCATATGCCAATGTTGGCCCAATGTTGCATGTTTACTGGAATGTTAATTCATTGGTGTTCAGCACTATATTATTATTTCACTATTTTATGTTTTTGTTGTAAAATATAGCTTTTTGCTTTGAACAGGGCCCCATAGTTTAGATGGAATGCTCTTGCCAACATCGGGTAGCCCAGCAGAATTTTTTTTTACAAGCCGGAGTCTGCCGATGGGACCCAGAAGGTCATAACTAGCAGCTAGTTTGCTTGCATGAACACATGTTGCTAGATAATATTTGTCTGGAAAGCCAGCCGGCTGATGGACTACAACTTGTTTTATTTTATTTAAGTGTGGAGACAAGCGTAATGGAGTTCTGTTCTGTACGCTTTATCTGATAAATATTTTTTCGTGACAAACAGTCGTGTCAAAGTGAACCAGAATGGTCCTTGATAAGATTAGTAATGGAACACTGGGTATGTGTGTGATTGCCAGCAAACCCTGGGGGATTATGGTGTTTTTACTTATGTTTAGTGGCTCAATCAAACTAATACTGGTAGGAACCTCCTGGTTACACCAGCCCACAGGGGATTATTGTGTCCGTCCGTCGTGCAAGGAGGGACTGGGTGGGGAGGGTGGGGAGGGAGGGGCTGGGTGGGGAGGGTGGGGCTGGGTGGGGGGTGGGAGGGGTGGGGCTGGGTGGGGAGGGGCTGGTCACCCCGTGGTGCCCTTATAAAACTCAACGTTTAACCGGCTTGTGCCCGCCCTCACAGTCGGGCATATTTGCGGAATACACCACGCCGCCGTTGACCCTGGCCATTGACCGAGCAACCCAACGTTCCTACCAGCTCCCTCCGCAGGAATGTGTTTAAGAGTTGTCTCTCGAGTGTATAGTTTTCCAGGTGAATGACTTGATTATTCTTTCATTGTGGATGTGTATTTAAAATTCTCAATGCTTTTGTTTTGCTTTTCAGGATATGAATTGTTCAATATTTGGTAAGTGTTTTCAATTACTTGTTTTGGTTTGGTGTGGGCTCGTATTCAAGTCAAATAAGGTTATATCACAGAACTAAGATTGAGGGCCGCTAAAGTGATCTCTTATTCTCCGCCAGGAAGCACTGCACTTTCCAACACATCCAGCTTACAGACATTTCATGAATCCAATTATCACCTGATTAAGTGATAAACTTTCTTGTGTGCAGTGTTAAAAGTATGGAAGAGCGGTTAGCATATTGCACTTTGAACCGAAGGGACCTGAGTTTCATTCGTGGCCATGGCTAACATCGGAGGCGAGTGACATCAGAACCTGTCCTGGGTCCCCCATTCACCAACCAGCGTGGTGAAGTATGGTCAAACAAATCCCACAACCAACACAGCACACAGAAGCCTTTATCCGGCAGTAAATTGATGTTCTAGATTTGAAGTCTTCGTGACTGCAAGAATCCATACTCTTTGGCTCATTCGGTAAAGTCACGTAGGTGAAAAATATACCTAAAACATTTTACTCAACTATTTTTTTTGTGCGTATATTTTTCACCTACGTGACTTTACCGAAAGAACCATAGAGTATAGTAAATTGATGGACTGTAAATTATCGTTAGTAAGATACTGTATTATACTATGGTAATAAGTTTGTTCATCTATGGCCTTTATATTCGACTTTTTAAAATATTATGTTGATTAGCATTGTGAGTAAGTGTACTTTCTGAAGATCTGAATTTAAAAAAATATTTAAATCAATTATACCGTGTTGTCTTTTCCGAAGTGAAATAACAGTTTTTTTTTACATTCAAGTGCTCATTGTTTAGTCTCTGCATTTCATTATAGACTCATCCATTTTGAGTAAAACAGCTTTCAGCAGAATTCACATGAACATTTATGTGTTTACGTGAGCAACATTTACCGGCCAAACATCCAGGGATCCCTCCGGCAGTGTGCGGAGCAGCGAATGCGCTTAATTAAATGAGACGCAATGCAGACTTGTCACTTCTCATTCGATTTATATTGGACTGTACCACCATATGGGCAGTTTGACGATTTTGGATGTACATTTCAGACACTTTAAACTTGTGCAGGATTTTCATGGTTGTGCTCCATTTCTCTCTGATGCGTTTTGGGGTTACGCCGCTTGTTGTTCAACACGATGTCCAACGTTCCGCTCCACGTGCTGGGAACAGCGCAAAACGTTGGACATAATGCCAAACAACATAATAAGATATCGTGGGACCGTTTTGCCAGTATCAAAGTATGAAGAATAATAATAGGTTTTACCCCTTCTGGAAATAAAGCAGGTGTTAAGATGTATAGGCTAGTCAGTTTCAAAGGACAATTCATAAATGATCAGAACATGTTTGTTTGCATGTTCATCTCAAGTACGTGTAGTTAATGCAGACTTGATTCCTTGCAAAAAGTATATGATTGGTGTTTGAATATCTTAACACCTGCTTTATTGCTAGAAAGGGTAAAACCTATTCTTATTTTTTCATAACATGACTAACATTGTTATGCAAGATATCACTAATACACGAATCGTAATACAGTCTGCGAAACCTACGTATTAAGTTATTTGTTCGATGTTTTCCTCCTCACTCCAAACCACATGGCCATACTGTCATACCCCCCCCCCCCAAGTTGTTTTGATGTCTTCAGTTCTCTTCTCATCTCTCGGTTTTGCTCCATCGCAGCATGCGCACTTCTGTTCCTTCAATCGTTTTCTCTTCCTCCTTCCTCATTGTCCGGCTCTCCACTCCATACAATACCACGGGTCTGATTGCAGTTTTGCATAACTTGACTTTTAAGAGTCATCGGTCTGTTCCTGTCGGACACTATTCCGGTCAACAAACTCAACACGTAAGAATCGGTTTTACCCTTTCTGGCAATAAAACTGGTGTTGAGATGTTCAAACACCAAACAAGAAACCCTTTGCAAGGAATCATGTCTGCATTAACCACATATACTTGTGGTGAACATGTAAACGAAAACATGCTCTTATAGTATATGCATTGTCTTTGAAACGGATTGGTCCACACCAGAGACAGCTTTCTGTAGAGCCTCGTCTCAAACAGTGTTAGACCAGAGGACGCCAAAAGGCGAACAGCACAAAGACAATGCCACTATCAGAGTAATGAGAGCTCGGGGGGAGGTGCTACATCACGAGACCTCCTTTTCCAGTATCAAAATATAACACATCTGTCATCAGGAATGTGGCCTTAAAATAAAAGAAAAAATATATAATGGATGACATTATGGAGTAATGGCCTTTCTCTCTGTCAGATATTTGCATCTCATCCAACCATAACTTATCTCTTTCCCTTTCAGCCTTCTCAGCATCTTCCCTCTGTACTGATAATGACATGCACTCTGTGTAACCATGTGATGTTTTTTTTGCTCTTAGTGGGACCGGCTGATGTCTGCATTCATGGCTGGACCCCCTCGAATCCCATATTGGAGTCGATTGAGACCGCTTTACTGGATGTGGGCCAGGAGGGGCCTATCGCTGTCCTCAACATCACATGGAGGTTTCTTACAGAGGGTACGTGAGCATTTGTTGCATGGAGTATCAAAATCCCTTTGAACGTACACAAAAAAAATCCTTGTGAGTTGCTGTGGAGCAAAGCGGGAAAAAGCGGTTTTAAAGTAATGTTTCGCTTTCTCCTCTAACACAATTGTTTGTTTTTTAACACGTAGGCTTTCACGACCAATACTCTTAGGTTTTTTCGGTAAAGTCACGTAGGTAAAAAATGTAATTAATAAATGTAATAATAGAAATAAAATAATAAATCACGACGTTTCGGAGGCAACACAAGCTTCCGTCTTCAGGCGGAACAGTCACAGCACGATTGCTGTATCACTTGATATCACTTGATACAGCAATCGTGCTGTGACTGTTCCACCTGAAGACGGAAGCTTGTGTTGCCTCCGAAACGTCGTGATTTATTATTTTATTTTATTTCTATTATTACTTTTATTAATTTAAATTAATTTTTTACCTACGTGACTTTACCGAAAAAACCTAAGAGTATGAATCCTTGCAGTCACGAAAGCTTCAAATCTAGAATTTTCACGACCAATATTATCCGTGATAGAGGTTTTTTGGAGGTTAGATCGCGTAAATATAAACGTGCCGTTAAACAGGAGGATATATCCACAATTCTGGCTGCCGCCTGATGATGCTGGCTGTAATTACCGGCGAAACATCATGGTACTCGAATTGTAAACGCTGCGGGTTTACTCTCCAGCCTCGCTTGAGGATTAGCCATGCTCGTGAGGAAACGAATATCCTTGCACTATGCCCTGCGGTTAAAACTCTGCTCCTTACTCATCGGGGGGGTCAGCGACTCGGTGCGGGCGAGAAAGCAAATTTCTATAAGAAGCAATAAAAACGGACGTCACGTTCTCCATCTTCACCACCCTCCTCTGTAGCTAAACAATTTCCATGTCCGTTTTACAGCTCGCGATTTACGTGCAGTTTTCATTGCTCGTGTTTTAGTTTTTTACGCGGGCTATCCAGTAGATGTGGCAGGTTGCGTGTGGTGGAGTTAAGTTGGGGTACACCGTCACCTCTTCCAGCAAGTCTGGGCAGCACGAAAGAGTTCACCAAATACCTCTAAAGATTCCTCCCGTGGAGGCCATTCTGCCAGCAGTGGTGTGAGCAAGCAATTGCAGGACTGCACCTAAACCTAAGTCACAATTATCCCTCCCCCCCACACCATTAACCATGGTAATTGAGAGTTGACTGCGTACAGGAGGGCTGTGGTTTTGGCTTGTGGTTTGCGGGGAGTGATATTTTTTTACGATTGTGGACAGTGTGCGACCCGGGTGACGCTTGCAAATGAGGCTGCTGCCCTGGGCTATTTTGAGTTTTTTCCTGTTTGAGCAAATGATACCTGAAACGTTTCGTGTGACCGTGCCTTGCAGGCAGCATCAAGTACCTGAACGGCACCGAAGTGTGCGTGAGAGAAGATGGCGTCAAAGGCGTGCCCGTGTGTGTGCGGTACCAGTACCACACACAGTTTACCAGCCAAACTAAAGGCCGCACCCTGCAGCGAGTGAGTGGCTGTCCCCGACAACATGAACAGACCCTCTTCTTGGTTCTTTCGGTAAAGTCACGTAGAATGGAAATAATAAAATAATAAAAATATAACATGATAAAATAATTCTCACAACGTTTCGGCCACAACGCAAGCAAGCAGCCGTCCTCATGTGGAGAGCAGGTCTGTCGAGAAGACAGAGTTCAGACTCTATTATGTTTTATTTTTATTATTTCCATTCTACGTGGCTTTACCGAAAGAACCAAGAAGATGAATCCCTGCAGTCACGAAAGCTTTAAATCGAAACATGAACAGAGTTGCAAAGGCCATTAAGCTAGAACAATATGCAGTATTGAGTCGGTGCTGCATGATGTCGCAATGAGCACATTGCACATTGGACCCGAGTTCGATTCCTCGCCATGGCTAACACCTGTGACGAATAATGTCTGAACCAGTCCTGAACTCTGCCCTTTGCCAATCCGCACTGACCATCATGGTGATGTATGGTCACACAAAGCGTCTGACCAGCAGTATGGGAAGGACTTCATCCAACGGTGGATTGACATTATTGTCACCTGGCGTAAGAAAAGGGCTTACTCGCAGTTGTCCTTTGCAGTGGTAGGCAATGATGGGTTTATTGTGCTGGTGAGTTCTAATAACGATTGTCTTACGTGTGGCTAGAATTAAAAGTCACATTGTTGGTGCTTGTTGTGGGAATATTGTGGGAATATTGACATGCAAACCATGCTGGGAATTCCTGACTTCCTGTTATGTTCTGTGGTCTAAAACACCCGTCTGTGTATATTATACTTCATTTAAACTCAGGTACCAGCTCAGCGATTTCTGAGTTCTGAGCCACCCGGCGACCTCACGCTTCAGTTATTTCTTCTCGTATCGCGTTCTCACTGCTGGTGAGCACAGGCCCCGAAGGCTCAAAGTCCCAGGCAGTCGGCAACAAACAGCACCGCTAATACTCACTGTGAATGATGTAAGTGATAAAGAGTTGGGTGTTTTGAATTGAGCGAGGTTATGGTTTGAACAGAAGCAAACGCAAGAGGGGCATTGGAATGGCTTTGTTAAGAGCTAATGTTATAATTGTCTTCCCATGACGCTATTTGCACAAATTACCATCTCCCTTGCATTTCAATTAGGAAGGCAATTATAAAAACTGCAGGATTTTCATTAAATTGCAATCGTTGGCATGAGGTTGTACTCTTACACTTTTCAAATTCAAATGGGATATTGTCTAAATGGCCACTTTATTTTGATTGCCTTGCACTTAAACATCGTGCTGTTCTCTTTGCGTACAGTGGCAGTACAGCTTCACTGGGTTTGAAGTGGAACAAAACAAGACCTATGAGATCAACATCAAAAACCTTCCAAGGCATTGTGACCGAGACACAAATCCACGAAAGACGTACCTAGCCCCAGGCGAGTGCTGCACCAACCATACTGCCAGTGTAGTCGGCGTGACTATTTCATATTTTAATTTTACCAGGTTAGGGCTCACTGAGCTATGTAGCTCTTTTTTAGAAATGACCTGGCCACAAATGATAGCGCAACGAAGTGGCTTATCATGATGTCGAAATTTATATCAGCCAAATACTCAAAGCGCATTTCGAACATAAATGTGGATGGAAAAACTGGATGATCTGGAGAAATATCCACGCGATCACGGGGAGAACGTGCAAACTCCAAATATACAGCAGGCTTCAGGGTCGGGATCGAACCCACGACCTCCTGTATACCAGGCGAGGTAGTTAACATCTAGCCACCGTGGACAATCACTTTACATCATTGTCATCGTCAACCATTATCTATTAACTGCTGAACAAAGGCTTCCCCAAGTTATCTGCATCTCTTATGGTTTTGTGATGCGACAATCCATCTAGCTGCTGCACATGAGCTGATTTCATCGCTCCATCTCCATGGTGGACGTGGTCTCAGGTGCGTTTCCTCCTTTGGGTGCCATTTCTTCGCCAGTGTCGACTACTGGGCATCATCCCTTGCTCAGCGTGATATAATTTACATATCAACTTAGCCAAAGTGAGGGAAAAGCTAATTACAGGCAAAGACAAGATAGTTAACATAAAATAAATCTATTTGAGGGGGCAGTCAATTTGAGACCAACTCCGATCCACATGCAATAATCTGTAACTGGTAAATTATTTAGAACACTGTTTTCTCTTAACATTATGCACTTTGATATTTCATTAACACAGGCTGCAAAGAAACACCGATGAAGATGACCTTTTACTGCATTCACACGGGTATGGAACAACTGCTCAAGAGTTGCACTTGCGATAAATACCGAGCACACATATCAATGCGTCACATGTGAGAATGAATCAGTAGCTAGTTTGTGCTAATTTATATGCTAACCTGACATGATAGCTAATGGCGTGAACACAACTGTACCAATGAGACGACAAAAATTATAACACAAATTGAGTTGTGCCGTGCCAACCTATTACGGCTCAGCAGGGAACAGGTCGTTTTTCCACTGCAGAAGCCAAGCCGTGCCACTTACGTTAAAAATGCAATGAAAAGTCGCATGTAAGTGACGCTTCGATGTTGTGCATTGAGTTATGCCACAGGCAATGAACGTGTCGGTAGCCCCTCCTCTGGCCCTGCTTGGCCCCATGTCTGATCCAGATGTCTTGTGAGATCAGCGTATCACGGTTTGGTTCCGGATCGGCATGGTTAATAGCCAGTGGAAAATAGGATGTGTCTGTGGAAAACGTATACGGGAGATTAAATATATTTTCATGGCAACAAATAGTGACCATCATATTGCTGGGTTGGAGCAGTGAATCATTGGACATTATAGGCCATGGCCAATCCACTGCTGGATGAAGGCCTCCCCAAGCTGACATCACCTGCCGCAAACCTGCAATGTAATGATTCACCTGGCACCTGAGTGAAGAATTCAATGCTCGATTAATACCAATGGCATTAAAGCTCCCCGTTATCAGTTAGGAAGCAGATTATGGTTGTTATTTTTTTTGTATATTGTAGCGTGCATATTTTGCATGTGCCAACCCTTCTATCCATATTAACCTTGAGGGTGCAAGCAAGTAAGGCCATGAAAGATACTGAATAACTATTAGTAGTACACTTCTGGTGTTATTGAAAAGTAATCCTTTCCTGTTCCAAGATGTCTGCAAGTTGCAGGCTGGGTGTCCCGTTCACCGCTGAATCTCGGAATGCACAAGCGTCAATTTTATTTAGAGAGGTGACATTGTACTCACCGCAGAGAACTGTAGTGACATAACCGCGCTCTATGATACCTGTTACCAAATTGTGCTATGCGCCCTCCCGCACGGCCTTGTGGGAACCTCGGTACCGTCTTCCGACCTGAAGATGTACCGATTAAGTAATTTTATTTAAGTTTTTCTTCCGATTCCATTCCAGTGATGTTCACGTATTATCATCAGAACAGAATCGGAAGAAAAACTGCTAGATGTAATCTCCTTTGAAACGTCGGTACCCATTTAAATGTTGTGAGGTTACTCTCCAACAACAACGCCGGTAGTGCTGCTGCTGAAGCAGTCATAGTTGACACGGCTGATTGCCGTGACACTTTTATTTATTGGCTGTGCCGGGTTGGAGGAGGTTTTACGACACACATTTTTACATGGCCTCACCCAAAATAAGCCAATTATGGATTATAATATCGGTCGTGAAAGCCTCCGTGCTTAAAGTAGAAGTAATGTTGCTATTTGTTTTCCCGATTGACGAATTTGTGGGTAATATTTCGAACGTGTACCATGACGCCGACACGAACGTGGCCTTGTCCTCTTCAAATAACAACGCGGGATCTGCAACGACCGCCGTGGAGCGGACGACGCGCGGTGTGTTTACGGCGGATACACCCGCAGCGTTAAGCAGGGCGGCCGCGGGGTTCGAACCGCATTTGGCTGCTATAAATATCCACGTGGTGAGCTATTGCATTGAACTACCATTTCTAGCCACGTCTCTTCTGAAAAAGAGCTTCATAGCGCAGTGGGCCATACCTGTTATAATAAGACATTGTTTATAGTTTGTCACTGTGAAGAGTGGAATACACTAAGGGAAGCCTTTGCCATGCAGCGAGATTTTAATGGATAACGAAGAATGTTATGATAATAATAATAGTTGTGCATCTCTGAGTGTAAAGTCGGGCGTGTGCTCTGACGTGACAGGCAAGAGCTGGGAGCCAGAAATCTCCGCTACTATGAGCGACGCTTTCCTGCACATCGCTTTCACGGCAAGCAACCACTCGCGAAACTACACGCTGCGGCTACAGGGCCATGGTGTAAATATACATCGACAAATTACGCAAGTAAGCTCCTCACAAATGTGTTGAGTGCGTTTACACCGTTGTGCGAGTGTTGTGTCGTGCTTAAAGAATGGCCGTGTTAAAAAGTATCCGCACACCAGGGGTTGCTGTACTTTTCCACACACCCTGCTACACACTCGTTACTTTTAAATGCAGCAGCTCCTATGTCGTTAGATTTATTTATTAAACATGTTTTTAACGTAAATGTGTTTCTCTTTTTCATCTTTTCCCCCAGCTTGATTGCGATTCTGCTCTTGGTTTCCATGTCACGATAAAAGGTGTCAATTTGTATCTCTCAAAAAGCAATGTAATCATACACCTTTAGGGAACGGGTCGAGGAAGGAGATAGCACAGAACTACTTCTGAGATAAATTCGAGGGATCTCTTATCTATACTACGGAGTACGGCACTTTCCCACACATCTTGCTACAGAATACTATTTGTCGAATGACACAAACATCGAAATATATATAGATTTTTTCAAGCTGGATCTTTTTTTTTACCAAATAAAGGGAAAAATCTTATGTGATCTAATGTGGTTTTTGCAAAAAGTATGAACATATAGGAGATCAGTGCTGGAGTGATCCTGTGCACTGTACTATAATCCTCCTGACCTGAGTTCAACTTGTAGCTATGGCTAATATTGGTGACAAATGGTATCTGAACTGGTCCTGTGGACCCAAATCCACCGACCCACACTGACCAGCGCGGCGAAGTATCGTCAAACAATCCTGATGACGGACACGACATGGTGAGGCCTTCATCCAGCTGTGGATTGACAAAGGGCTGCAATTACTATTGCTTTGAATTCGTCTAGCATAGCATGTTCCAGTACATCACAATTTCAGACGGCTCACTATAAAATTCACACGGTAACTTGATTAAAGCTTTACTTTTGGTCGGGTTCAAATTCATTGCCGCCGATGGCGTTGCACCTTCTGCCAGATCCCATAGCGATTGCAAAGTTGACGACTGGCCTCTGTCTTCTTGGTTCTTTCGGTAAAGTCACGCAGAATGGAAATAATAAAAATAAAACATAATAAAATAATTCTCACGACGTTTCGACCACAACGCAAGCAGTCGTCCTCAGGTGAAGAACAGGTATGTCGGAAAGACAGCGTCTGAATTCAGACGCTGTCTTCACCTGAGGACGGCTGCTTGCGTTGTGGCCGAAACGTCGTGAGAATTATTTTATTATGTTTTATTTTTATTATTTCCCTTCTACGTGACTTTACTGAAAGAACCAAGAAGATGAATCCCTGCAGTCACGAAAGCTTTACATCGAAATTTAACTGGCCTCTGAGGACCACAATTACAAGATCAACCACGAACCGGCTCTAATCCTTCCCTTCCCTTGGTCTCTCTGGTTGCCACGAGCTGCCCTCCTCCATCCTGCACATGCTGCTCCCATTTCAACCTCCTCTTCCTCGTTGCAACTACTCTTTTTGGCTTGCTTACAATATCCCTGCCACGGTATTCCCAGCTTCCTCTGCGTACGCCCGCATTCATCAAGGCCAGCGGGGCCATGGCATAACATAGCTGGGAGTTAATATTTTCCATTAGTTTGCAATGCAAACCGGTGTGAACTAAAGGGGGACATTTGACTTCAGTATATTGTGCATACTGGTCACAGATGTTTATTTCTATCGTTGCTTTGGTTGGTGCCATGCCCACATCATGTGCTCGAATTAACGTGTGATTACGCAACACCTGTTTTGGTAGGACATAGCGGAGCGGATTGAGATGAACATTACGGCTTTCAAGAAGCCACTTGAGTATGCAGAGTACACAATTACGGTAAGAGAATTAACTGGTTGATATTAAAATCGCCGAGGCCACATGTAGTGCCTACTGTTGTGGCTAATGCTGTTTTTTTTTTTAAGATTACTGATAGGCCCCTTATAATAGCCAATCTGGGAACTCAATACAAAAATGATACATGTTCATATACAGGCAATTACCATCTGGGTCTTGCTCAGTGCACTGATGAATGAATGCTGCTGAAATGAACTCCCAGAAGGCCGTAGGGCTGATGGGTTGCGTAAAAATAATCACATTTATTTTTATGCGGACAGATATATGAAGGAGGCAGTCTGCTTATCTAGTTTGTAAATGATCTAAGTCTGCATCTTCATTCAGACCTGTTAATTTTGTCTCATCAAAGTCGTACTGTGGTCTTTGGTGGGCAGTCGTCATCTGTCACGCTTGTTGGTTTTAGTCCACTCAGTCAAAATTGACTAAAATAAAAATACGAAGAATACTTTTAAAATAATATTTTCGACCCTAACTTCACGAACAAAATTAAATCTTGCGGATCGCCTCACGGAATGCAGGCTTCTGAAATGGACTGACTTGGCAGCTTGTTACTAACAACATTTATTGTTTCTTCACAGCTGAAGCCATACTTTGCACTCTGCGGTGATGCATGTGACGAGCTTGTCAAAACCTTTTCATTCTGTACGTATCTTGCACAGCAGCAGCAGCTCATTTGCTAATTTTAACATTTTCCCCTTCTGACGACGTACTTATGCGTCATCAGTTTTTCTTCCGATTCCGTTCCGATGAAAGAAAAAATTAAATGGCTTTGTTGGTACCGAGGCTCCCACAAGGCCATGCGGGAGGACGTGTGGCACAGTTTGGCGCCAGCTATCTTAGAGTGCGGTCGTGTCGCTACGGTTCACTGCGATGAGTACGATGTCTTCAAAAAAACAACGGCGCTATGCCTCTCTAAGTAAAATTAACGCTGAGCCGCTTGTGCGTTCCGAAATTCAGAGGTGAATGGGACACCCACACCCTGCAACTTGCACCTCCGATTAGCACAGTTGGTGCGAAATAAGTTTAGCATACATATAAATGGTTAATTTCTCAATCCCGGTTATGCGCTGGCCAGAAAGCACTGACGTTTGAAACGTGCTGTTTGCAGATCCACCTACACCAAGTCCGCCCCCGCCTTTACAGGTGAAGTCGCCGATCATCGCAATACTTGTGATTTTGATTTTCCTCATGGTCTTCCTCGCCATGGCCTTGGCTTATTACAAGAAGGGTAAGTTGACGTCGTTAGTTTTGTCACCAATTCGCACAGATTACACAGATGATTTGCAGCCGCTGTGACGGCTGTGGGACCTGCGTGGCATCACGGGAAGCAAAACTGCAGTGCAACACAGACGGGTAGCTGGTTTGATTCGATCTCCCGGCGTGCCAGTTGAAATGACGGATGGCCAAGAGAGTATAGATGTGTACACCACATTTCGTCAATCGGCGGGTCGCGTGCGGTGGGGTAAAGTGTTAGCACTCCCACCTCTTCCAACGCATTCCAGGTTCAGCATGGAATAGTACACCAAAAAGCCTCTCGAGCTCCCTCCAGTGGAGGCCCTTCCGCCAGCATCGGCATGAGCGAGCAATTGCAGGGCTGCACCTTTTAACATTACCACAGACTGGTACTATCTGTGTGGTGGCTCTTCTCAAGGTGTGATTCCTGGTCATTTGTCGAGCGACGGAAAACCGACGGAAAACCGACGGAGCAGGGGGCCCCGTCTCTGCCTGTGATGGTCTAAAGTTTTGGTGCGAGTCAACGCTGGGACTGAAATCGGCCGGGTATTTGTGTTATCCCGTGCAAAATCTTGAGGCCAGAACTTGCTCTAAAGCACGAGTAAACATTTAATAAACAATTGGTATTCACACCGTGTCTAATTGTAACTGCGTTTCAAGACGCTGTAAAGAAAAGTGAATGGGATAAGGGTGTCTATGGAAAAAGAGACGGTTAATAAACGGGAGGAAAACCTTGAGCCTGAAGTTTAACAGAGGTCGTGAGTCAACAGCGTGACAAGCAAGGGATTTTACGACCTTGGGAGCAGCAGAGGAGATAGAATGACCTCACTCTTGATTGTCATTCAATCATTGTATTACTTTCCTCTGCCTGGCTCTCAAAAATATGCTAAATGTATAAACCGTATCACATGTAATTAGTTTTATTGCACGCAGTGCACAATTGTAATCTGAAAGTGTTTGTCTTGCATTTTATGTAGGGGTTACAATGATTAGTTTCGTCGTTAAGTGTTAACATGTTCTTGAATATTTCAGGTGGAACAAGATGCAACACACCGGAAGTTAAGTACTTCCCACCGAGGAGCCCCAGGAAAGTTCTGATCGTCTACTCCCAGGACCACGCGCTTTTCCGAGACGTCGTTCACCAATTTGCAAATTTTCTGCAGAGAAACTGCAACGTTGAAGTGGTCCTTGACCTCTGGCAAGTGAACAATATCGCAGAGGTCAGCTACTTGCCGTGGCTGTCCAAGTATATCGATGACCCGGACGTGGCCATCATCATAGTGTGCTCCAAGGGAGCCCAGGCCAAGTGGCAAGCAATGTGCTGCCCGTCTGCGAAAGTCAAACTCAAGGAGGACTCAAAATCGCCCCTGGGAGACACGTTCACCCCGGCGATGAGCCTAATCGCCAGCGACTTCCAACGGGGCTCGTACGGAAAATACTTGGTGGTTTACTTTGACGATGGCAGCAGCAGCAAGGACATTCCCCTTCCGTTGCACGTGGCTGTTAAATACAAACTCATGAAGCACTCGGAAGAGCTCTTCTTTCGGATTCATAACATGGAGCAGCACACGCCGGGCACCAACTACAGCGTCCCTAGCGTCTCCGGAGATTATTACCACACGGACCGACGCGGCCAGGAACTGAAGGCGGCACTGGACAAGTTCAGGCAGTGGAAAGCAGAGCACCCACACTGGTTCGAAGAAGAGACCAGCGGTAATCATCACGACGCTCCAGGAGAAGACTGTGAAGACGCAGGTGATGACGGTGCTGAAGGCAATGGGTTGCTGGAAACGAGGCTGCTGTATGTGAAACCAGATTGTACGTCTGCAAGCTACAGAAATGTCAATCTACAGCCCAGCGTTACAGAGGCCGTCAATATGCACACCGTTCCAGTGGGAAATGTTTGCCTCACTGCAGAGTGCAGCATTCAGCCACCAGTAATGTTGGAAACCATGAATGATGATGCACAGGGACAAAACAACAGCTTGCAGTTTGTACCAAGTTGCGGCTGCGATGTTTCGGACCCACTTCTTATGGTTCACGCCGCTACGTTTAACGAGGGTTCTGCCGCAATGTGGAATCCTGTTCACCAGTCGTTTCAGAGACCGGACATATCCAATGGATTACTGCCAGAAGCCCAGTTCGTGCAGTTTCCAGATAGGGTGTTCCACCAGGATCTAGTATACCCAGAGATGTATCACGTTCACGCGGACGTCAATTTTCCGCCACAACTTGAAGATCAATGCTTGTCCATGTTTGGTGATGGACACGTGGGGTTACACGACGATCTAAGTAGCTCACACGGTTGTTCAGGTGGTGATGGTCTTAGGGATGACGATGCCCCATTATCAGAAGACGCAATGAAGCACCTCATGCAAGTGATGCTCCAAAGACAGTAGAAATAACTGGACTTTACTGGGTTGCATTTCCCTTAAGTTACCAGAAAAGGTAAACTATTTAATGACACTTTTACATTTATAAGCCTTTTCCGATTTAGAAACGAATACTCATGCAAGATGATTTACACCGGATAATTATTTTTGCAACCGGTTGGAAATGATGCTGATGATCTTTGTCAAAGGAACCCGTTTTTATATCCAAATGCCCTTAAGAATGTTGAGGTACATGGACTGGTCACATCTCTTTCGATCTACACTGTGTATAACTTTGTGCACAGTTATCCATTATTATTTGATTTTAGTACCATAACTCTAGAAACACTACAAAACAATGTTGCTGAACATGATCACTTTAAGCCTTGTACTGTTGAGGGTAAACTGCTGCAATAAACTCTATAATGAAAATTGTACACCACTCCGAACAACTTTATTCCCACCACAACAAAAAAAGTGTAAGAAACCCGACACGACAACCACTGTTCAATTTTCAACAATATATATACAACTTTTCATGTTTACAGCGAAACACTTGTAGACATTTACTTTTAATCAATTTTTAAGCCAATCATACAAAACTTTAATTCATATATACATTTTATATCCTTTACATAGCATGCTTTAAACAAATGACACGTTTATTGCATTTCCAAGCCTATGACCCCTCCTATAAAACTGCACGGAACAATCAACTTAGCGTAACATTCCAGGGTTTTATCTCTTTCACACCCATACATCCGAACCTTGCTGCCGGGGCTTTGCCGAGCTGGCACGGCTCAGGAGGGCACGCGTTGTTTTTCCACTGCAGAAGCAGAGCCGTGCCACTGACCTGGCCATGCAATGCACAAATATCAAGATGCATGTGGATGATGCAATCACACACACACACACACAAACGGATATTCTGATAAACAAGGCAAAGATCAGCTGTATAGCCTTAGACTGTTGGGGCAAGTGCTGTTAGCGAGCACCTATAATAAACACACACACTTCAACCCCCCCAAGGTTTCAAATTGCTCGATGTAATTTTGTTCATCCTCTTCATGTATGATGGAGTCACACGCAACGAGGGTCATTAGCCTCGCACCCCTCTCCACGAGCCAGATTCAGAGGCCAGCGTATCACGGTTTGGTTCCAACTCGGCATGGCAGTCAATGGAAAACCACCCCGTACCATGAGGGCCCCCCCCCCCCCCCGCACTGGCTCGGCACGCGTACGTGGCAATGGAAAAGGTGTGACAGTTCCCGATCCGTAAACTTGGGTTATCAAGTCTCCTCTGCGGTTCCAATGCAACAGCGGCTTCAGGCAGCTTCGGGGCAACAACGGCGTTGGGCTTGGGAGTCACCAAACGAACGGCGCTCGCTCGCGCAGCATTCTAACTCCGAACCGCTCCCACTCGCGCCGGTGAATCCACAGCTCCTGCGCCGTGTCGAGGCAGGCCAGCACCACGCCGCCCTTCCACGCGGTCAGCCGCGGGTCCGTGTCCTGTCAAAGAAACGGAAACCACACACACGCCTTTATTAGGTGTGCAACAGCTGGCGGCGGTGGAGAAATTATTAAAATACTCGTTCGTCGGCGGCGTTGGGGGACCTACGGCCTACGAGCAGCATATCCTTGCATGGGCCGACTGGCGACGCCAACTGCTTATAACGAGCGTGGCGTGTGACGGCACCCTTTTAAAATGAATCGGCAAGTGTTTGTGTCAACCCTTTGATAAATGTGCCTCGTCTGTAGAGTACGTCCCTTTAGGCAACACAGGTTTTTAATAAGGTGTCCTTCACATTGAATCATCTCGACAGCCCTGCAGTGTAACAATCCACCTTCACACAAGCCAATTGCAGCTGGGGATTAGTCCTGGCTGACGACTGCTAAAGGAACAGTCTGGTTTCTCTCCGCCCCAATGACAGTGGCCCGCTCTCAACCTTGTCAGGCATGACACTGATGAAACAAGTGGACTACTCAGGCACCACCCTGGATGCCAGAGAATGGCTTACAAAATGAAAAATACAATTGCAGCTTTTTTCGTTTGGATTATTTAGAAAGTAATTTTTTTAAACGATATATGAAAAATGAAGACCGTTACAGGCTGGTCCAGCACAGGGTTGTGTAAAAAAATACTTTATTTTTTTATTAACGTAAATGGAGAGGTGTGCGAAAGAACGTTTACTGTACAACAGCCACTAACATTTGTCTGGAACATTTGGTGCACCTTTGGTCGCGTGATGACCTCCACGGTTTCCACAAGGCGGCGGAAAGAGGGTGGCATCTTGTTGATGATGCGATGCTGGAGGAATTCCTGGGCTCCCGGGAAGAGAAGTCCCCCACCCACCACCAGGATACTGCTGTACATCTTCCTCTTGGTTTCCTCCGAGGCTAAGGAAGGTTAAAGGGAACACAGGAAGCTTAATGGCATCTCTTACATGTTACTGTCGAGGTTGGTGAGCGAGCCATTGGAGTGGCCTCCTGAGTATCTGAAATGCTGAAGCACATCGCTATAACAAACTTGGTAATGGCATTAAGCTACATGGTAAATTACATAGGGATTCATATTCTTGGTTCTTTCGGTAACGTCAGGTAGAAGGGAAATAATAAAATAATAAAAATATTAAACAATAAAATTCTAACGACGTTTCGACTGCAACACAAGCAATCATCAGGTGTGCAATCCACAACAAGAAAAATTTAAAAGAGTGGCAGTTTATTTTATTATTTCCCTTCTACGTGACTTTACCGAAAGAACCAAGAATATGAATCCCTGCAGTCACGAAAGCTTTAAATCAAAATACATAGGGATTGTCCGAAGGGTTTTGTAGCTTTTGTGAATGTGTGGTGTCCTCAGCTTCAACAAGAACCGGATTGCTAATGTGGAGCTTTGAAACAACTGCTTAAAGGTCACATAAGCTAGTTTTGTAAAATTATACACAGTACCCTTTTATACAGTTGTACAAAAGAAATTCAACACTCCAGCCAGCAGAGGCGTTCTTATCGTTCGGTGGATAAAGCCTACGTTGGCCTTTTAAGAGCCCAAACGCATCATCCGCATTACACTACATCGTTAAATGTGGGCATAGATTAAATAACGAGTCCTCAACTTTTCAATTTCACAAGCCCCCAGCAGGCAAAATAACGTGACGGATATGACGGTGCGACAAGGAATGACGCTGAACAGAAAATGGTGCGAGTGCGACCCAAGCAGTAAAGCTAGGAATGGGCCACACACGGTCAGAAGCCGGTGGGGGAGGAAGACTTCATTCGTTCATTGGGGCCTCATCGCCGCTCTCGAACTGCCGAGGGGATGGAACGTGAGAAGAAAGGCTTCTACTTACAACAGCAGTCAATGCTGTGCAGCACAGCCTTGTCCAGGCCCAGGGCTTTTCCCTCAAAGTGCGGCGAGGCCAGCTTGAGCTTGCGGGAGAGCAGAGAGGGGGCGCCCGGCTGGTTCAAGTGGTGCGTCTCTACCGCACCCCTTGACGGCCCTTGATCCCCATCGGGCGCGCGCCCGGCACCTTCCGACGCCTCCGCAGGTGCCCCCGCTCCTTCCGAATCGGCGGCACTGTGCTTGGCCAGCGCTTTCCTCTCCGCCACCGCTTTAGCAGCCTTTAACAACCGCAGCAACAAAAAAAAAATTGAGCCGCGAGGGGTTTCGTTGTGAACGGTTCAATTAGAAAACACCGACCTAACATCCGGCGTAAGCTGTTGCACTGCAAAGGTGGTGGATCGCACTAGTGTTTGCGAAAACACTCCTCCCCGTAGGCCAGAGGTCGCAACCGGGTACCCGATACCCGTACCCTACCCGATATCTGGCTACCCGTACCCGGCCGGGTACGGGTAGCCGTTTGCGATCCTGGTGCGGCCGGGTATGGGTAAGGAATCAAAACCCGTTTGCGACCTCTGCCGTAGGTGTCTAGGTGCTATTCTCTAGTTCACCAGCAGGTGGCTTGAATGCAAAGTGTGGACCGACATCATCTGTCCCTTCTGTGTGGGATGGTGTCGCCCCCTCGCGCGTGCACGGGTTTTCTCCGTGTGCGCCAGTTTCCTCCCACGTGTATAAACACTAAACGATTGGCTGAAAACATCTTAATATATAGAGGACTGCAGAGTTTGGTCAACTGTTGAAGACGCCTCACTACCTGACCGCCTTACAGCTTGTCTATTTTTCTCAGCGATTGTAAAATGCTATTTTAAACTAAAACATTATTCAAGTAAAGTCCAACACAACCAAAACTCAATTACACATGCTCGACACAGCTGTCACTGGGGGTCCCCCTTGTATTGATTGCACCAGGGAAATGGAATGGTTGAGATGAGGTGTTAATGAAAGGCACTTTGTGTTGCGGAGGCATTAAAGTGCCCTATAAATGCAAATCCTTGACCTAAAACATCAAAGACTGGAGGAAAGGTCATGTGGCTTAGTTCCCCCCCAGCCCCTCCCCCTTGCACCTCACCCCCCCCACTTCATTCCTCTGTGCAACAAAACATACTCAAGAGTTGAAATAGCCCGATTCTCAGATGGACAAATTAAATGTATAACATTGATTAGTACTTTTTAAACAAACGAAAAATACGAATTCAAAGCTTAAGTGGTTTCCCGCTTAATCACGTGGTAGTTTGCAGCCCCAGTTTACATCCCTGAACCATTAGTGTTGACTCGACATTACGATGGCAGGGCCAAGCACAGACCATACTGAAATGTACATTTGAGTGCAAAGAATACACACACCTGCTCCTGCTTGCTTTGGGTGGCCAAGAGGTAGTGTTCATCATACGGGTCCTCTGGGTCACCCTGTGACCTCTGCTGGGTCAAGGTCATCCTCTGACCGACGATCCCAAACACGGCCGGATAGAACATGGACATCGGTGCCTGCAAGCGCGCACACACATTGCCAAGGCAATAAGAAACCTCGTGTTCAGGCTGCCAATAATCACTTGACGAGTTTGCATTACTGCATTAGAATTGGAGACGCCCGTGTAATGTAGCGTAGTTTTCCGATGACCAAATCATCGAGTATGTTCCCAGATCTTGTCATACCTCGGAAGCTAAGCTTGGATGAGTCTGCGGCGAGTGGGTGGATGGGCGACCATCAACCGTAACAAGTGTTACAGGCTGCGGGGCTACATTAGTGAGCGACCAGAGGGGGCAGTGCAGCACAATCCATTGTCATTTTCCTTCCATGCTCCTAGAGCGATGGATCTCAGCCTCGAGTACTCGCGCTGATCAGCGCAGCGTGAAGTGCGGTCAAATAACCCCATGACCCCGCGGAGTGCGGAGAGACTCTCATGCGGCAGTGAATTGACAAGGCGGCCGTGCGCGTGTGGGGCAGTTCACCTGGAGTTTCTCGTCGCCCAGTTTGAACTGATAAAGCAAGGCCACGGAGTCCGGCTGCTTCACCTGGAACTCATGGTCTTGAAAA